CTAATCAGTGAGAGTTAATGGTTACTGGTATGGAACTAGAGAGACAATTTCGCAATATTACAAATAACGAATCATGCTGTCGTAAAGACAATATTGAACATTAGATGTTTGGGCGGGCGACATAGCTTTTGTTGGCGCACTGTATGGGTTGTCGCGTTCACGCTCATAGAGGCGTTGTAGTCGTTCACTGTTGTGGAAATAGATTATGTTTGGCTAGTTTTAGGCTTCTGCAGCTGAAAAAAAGAAATATTTTCCTGTATCGTGTTCGTATTAATGCGTAAAAGTGGCGTGATATTCCAGACGATTATTATTAAAAATGTCATCCTTAATATTATGGCAGTTTATCTATGGGAGTCAGGCATTAGAAAGATAAATAGCCCACAGAAATAAGTTATATGTATGTTTTGATGATGTTAAACGATTTATTATCATCCATGATGATTGAAATATTCCATAACACGTCGTAGAGATCATGCGATGAATGAGACAAGCTGCTGAATTTCCCGGTGATTATATGCATTTCGATGAAGTTTCTAGTTAAAGTTGCTCAGTCGTAGATGTGATACTAGTTTAATTCACATTGTCACATGGAATTTTGGAAGACCGCGTAATCGCTCAGTGCATTAAGTGGCTTCAGTGTGCATTGGGGTCAAGAAGATAAGTATATATTGTCCTTGTAAAACGTTAGACTGCTTTAAATTAGTATCAGCTTTCTGTCGAATAGCAGCTGTATCCTACAACTACTATACCTGTTACTTAAGTTATATCAGTCTTAATAATTATTCACTTTCAAATCACTAAGATATTCTGAGATCCTTAATGAATTACTTATGGCTATGGAGGATATTGAAGGTGCACTTATGGCCCCACTAGTAGTTATAGTTGGCAGGGTCAGATTCTCCCTTTGATATTAACCAGGTAAGTACCAAATCCACGCGTGCTTGCTAGCTATTTCAGAGGGGTCAAACAATTTAGGGAACAATACAGTTGAATAAAAGCATATATAAGAATAATATATCATTGGAAGTACCTCAGGAAGCTTTACCTGGCTACCAATAAGCGACTTCAAAGAAATCAGTTTGTTTTATCGTACTTCGGAAAAACAGTATTGGATCGACAGAGGATATACAAGAAACAGCTATACAGTCCTTAGAGTGATAATGTACATTTGCAACAAATAATGCTAACCATATTGTACTTATCATTAAAGTAAGATGATAATACTTATTTGTATACTTCTTGTATATCCTCTGTCGACCCAATACTGTTTTTCCGAAGTACGATATTGCAAACTGATTTCTCTGGAGTTGCTTCTTGTTAGTCAGGTAAAGCTTCCTGAGGTATTTTCAATGATATATTATTCTTATATATGCTTGTATTCAACTTTTTTGTTCCCTAAATTGTTTGACCCCTCTGAAATAGCTAGCAAGCACGCGTGGACGTGACACTTCTCTGATTAGTGTCTCAAGAAATGGTTGATTATCCGTCAAATACAACTACCTTTAAAAATCAAAATAAGATCTGAGATGCCAACTGAACCTTGGCAATGGCTTTACCACTCATCATGAAAATACATGAAGTTAAAAATGAACTATTCAAACTATTGATACGCTGTTGTTTTATATTCGGTCGGTGTTGCACACTCTGGGAATAGCTAAGTATGCAACTGTGCTTAGCAGTATAGATTCTAGAATATATATGTCTTATTGTACTTGGTCCAACTGCAGTTTTGATATGGCTTAAGCTAACGGTTTCCTGATTCACGTTAAATAGATATATGTTTAGGGTTGGAGGATAATGCACGTGTTCTGTAGCATCAACGTATGCGTAGATTCATTTAGTCTAAATATTCCATCGTTTTAAAGTAAAGAATCACAGATTCTTTGTCGACTTTATGTACTCGGAAATGATATTTTTAACTGCAGTATAGGTGCGAATCAGCAACAGCTTGGTAGAACTGCAAGTGTTGGTAGGCAGTCGACATTTCGATTATGGTGTAAATGCTTACTGTGTAGTAGGGTGGAGAATTCTCTATACTTTATTATGGGTGAAACTGTCGTGACTGTCTGTAGTAGTATTGTATGAACAATAGTGCACGTTTAGAAAAATGATAACCCACACTGATTGATGATTTATAAGAGGAAACTGAGTCAGTATTCACCACTTTAGAGTTGTGGATTCTAGGACACCATCTTTGTACATTCCTTAGAGGATCATCAGCCTATTTACTCATTAACCTCAGCTTGAAATGATATATTAATGGTTATAATGCGGACAGCTATTCTTACGGATTTAATACTCGTTCAAAGTCATCTGGATTTTTACCCTAGTCTGATCTAGTATGTGGTGTATTCTGATAAAGGCATTTAAAGCACACCGTCCCAGTACATTGCCGTCACCACTTTTGCCTACCTAAAAACACCAGTGTGCCATTACAGATGGTGACCTGAAACTTGAGGTGGCCGGGGGGGGGATAATCTGAGATTATATATTCCCTATAAGGCAAAACATACTTTATTTGTAATGTAGGAAGATATAATACAGGTGCTAACGTGTCTCAGTAAGTAAGGCTTATGCAGTATTTGAAATAGATGCACCGGCTGACACTGATTAGAAATATTTAGAATCGAATCATCTTGGAAACAGTCACATTTTAGCTTCACTAATCCTGAGGAGGTATGCTGGCTGATATCACAAAGACAGTTGAAGTAGGTCTGGATTATGGCACAAACTAGATAAAAGAGCTGATTCTGTAGAACTTCTACTCAGTGTAGGATCTTGATTGATGAAAGGCTGAATTAAGTACTGGATTTGTCCTCAATAGCTCAGCTTACCTAGAAGAGGGTTTATTAGCCGTAGGTACGCGGCAGCAGAAGCAAGCATGGAGGTAACTGCGTCTACTAAACAGGCTTCACATTTTATACAGAAGGAATCGACACACAACTAGTGTTTAGGGACTGGAGTGGGGCAAGGGTAACTATTCAGACAGAATGCATACCTTTTAAGGTTCGTATTCCCTAGTGGCCTCTATAACCTTGTTTGTGTTTGACTAGGCTTCACCACTGTGTTTACCAACCAGCGTGCTAACAGAGTACAAGTTCAGTTAAAACTGCTGTCTTTATGCTTGATGTATGCGACTAGCTCGGTGTATTAAGCTGGTCATTAAAAGTCTCCACATAACCTATTATCATTGACTTTAAGGTCAAGTTGAAGACATGAAAAGGTTGACTGTTTTTGATCGTAGATGTCTACGATCTCTTTCTCACGTTAGGTGGTTTAATAAGGTGTAAGTAATGTTGACGTTAAGCGTAGAGTGTTGGGCAAAGAGGGAAAATCAATCGACGAGGCTATAAAGCTACATAGATTGAGATGGCTAGGTCACGTGGTGCTCATGCCTAACCATCGCCTCTCCCGACAGGCATTACTAGCTGATATAGGTGCAGGTTGGAAAAGAGTAAGTGGTGGGCGGCCAAACAAAAACATGAAATCAATCCATGAAATCCTTGACAGTTAAACTGAGTCGGTCAGGTAGGGAGATTCAGACTTCTGGGTTGGGGCCCTCGGGACTAACTCTAAGAATCAATGGCTGGAGACAATAGGTGGTGACATGGCTCAAAATCGTTGTCAATGGCCAGCGCAGGTGTATTCAGTCTCTGTAATCTTTCATATTCCTTTCTATCATTACCCATTTTGTTTCACTCGTATACTTGTCAAACTCTATTGATTCTCTTCACTCATTTTTTTGTCTACCTTTGTGTGCTATTTGGAACGTGGCAACTCGAACTGGTGCACTTCGGTGCCAAGTTCTCTTGTTGAATCCAGACAGACAGACTTTAAGGTAATTTGATGACAATCAGGTAAGTAATGTGTGACTGGCTCACGTGAAGAGATACATTTCCCTCACCAGGGAATAATCTCGTTGACTTAGAATATGCAGACAATATAGTCCTTCTAGGCGAGGAGGCTGACAAAATAGAGCAGAGTTTTCTGATCATCTTCAGCTGCAATCTACGAATGTTTGGCATGCGATTCGCTCCCACCAAACGTAAGATGATATTACAGGACTGGACTACACTGACTTCTAGTTTAGAAATAAGGAGTGAAGTGGTTGGTGGAGCGTGTTGACCGCTTCATTTATTTGGGAAGTTGCATTAGCCTAAGCCAGCGGGTTGATCGCTGACGAAATCTCAACACGGATATAGAAGGCTAGTTTCGCGTATGCCAGTTTACGCTGTCTCTGGCGTAGACGTGATATCCGTGTATCGACCAAAGAGCAGGTGTACTGCTCAGCAGTCCGCTCCATCCTCCTCTATGGCTAGCTGTGAGACCTGGCCATTAAGAGTGGAAGACATGAAGAGGCTAGCTGTTTTCGATCATAGGTGCATGCGTTCTATCTCCTGTGTGAAATGGTCTAGTAGGGTGAACAATATTGTGGTTAGGCTTCGGTCGAGTGCTAGGTAAAGAGGGGAGATAATAGACGAGACTGTGAAGTTAGTTCGACTGAGATGGTTGGGACGTGTGTTATGTATGCCTAGTCATCGCCTTCCTCGGCCGACAGGCAATGTTAGCCGACATGGGGTCAGGCTGGAAAAGAGCTGGCGGCGGTCAAACCAAAACATGACACCAATCAATAAAATCCACAACAGTTAGTTTAAGCCAGCCACGTAGGAAGATTTAGACTTCGTGGTTAGGATCCTCGCAACGGTAAAAACCAATGGTTGGAAACAATCGGTGATATGGCTCAAAATTTTTTTCAATGGCGCAAATGCATCCACTCCTTGTGACTTATGATAGCCAATAAAACTATATTGTTCTTTGTTATTACCATTCCTTTGTCCCACACCTCTGTTTACTGTCCCTATTATGCATTTCTTCTCTTGCTTTGTGTGCTACATGGAGGGAATGTGGCGACTTGAACTGTCGCACATATGTGCAAAGTTCTATGTCCAAAACGGACAGACAGACAGGAGGAAAGGGGAGAATAAAGCCACCACCCATTTGCGTAAATCAGTTTTATTCATTTCATACAATCATACATACATGTATATATATAGATATAGAAATATCAAAATCATTGTGAATAACAGCAGCTATCTATCGTATGTTTTGTTTGTTAGAATTTTCTGCTCAAAGCATAATAGAATAAACAAAAAAAAAGAAAAGAAAGGGAAAATAAAAGAAAGAACAAACGGAGTCAAAGTAATAGATAGCATGAATACAATACACACACAATTATGATGATTGGATTTATTGTCTGTTAGTCAATCAGGTGTCCTGCCTAATTTTTGTACACTATGTGTGTGTGGTGTGTGCTTGCGTGCGTGAGTGTGTGTGACGAACACACCTACCTACCTACCACACACACACACAATCACAACCACGAAAACAACCAAAACAAATTAGAGAATGAATATTCATTTCTGTAGAAGTCAAAACTCATTTGAGAAATAAATAAACTAACTAACTTTGAATGGTAAACAGTGATTATTATTGTTGTTATTATTTGTGGGAAAAAGTTATCAACAGAAAGGAAGGAAATAGTATACTACTGATGATAGCAGTAGAAATGAGTAGTATGTTGTGATTGAGCAAATAAATCTCCAATTTATTTGTTTATTGTTACTGTTATCATTATTCTGATTAGCGTGAATATTATGATGAAAGGTAAGTACTCGGTGCTTCACAAAATAATCAATAAAACAGAACGAACAACTGATATTTTACACCATTTAATCATCATCGTGTCATTATTATTAGTAGTAGTAGTATATATCCGGTGTATTTTATGTAGGAGTAAGTAGGGGAGTATTAGGAGATATTAGAAAGTAGGGAAGGAACACATTGGTGTGATAAAAGGAGTAATTAATGAATTAATTAATAAAAAAAGAAGAAGTTAGACACAGACCGATGAAAGTCCTGAGTAGGTGTGTGTGTAGTTTATGTCAGAGAGTATATGGGTGTATACTTGGCATAACAGACCGCATGCATATACAGCAATATGCGAAGATGATAATCATGAATACGGTTTCGATATTGATGGAGGTGGCGGTGCTACTTCATGCGAAGTTAAATATCCACTATGCAGACTGCCGGATGCTGGTCCAGCTGTTAAATAGGTAGTTGCTGACTGTGGAATATTTGAGATAAACAGCGCATGCCCTTGATCACGATAATCTGCCCAATTAGGATAACTGTCCAAAATTGAAGTGACCTTTAGGTGGTAAGTAAATAAAAAGCACACATCAAGAATTAGAAATATCATATTTAAGAAAAACTATAAATATACACACAACTGATGTTAAAACAACATATGCCTAAATCCACTATTTGCTAGTTTATGGGAGGGAGTTAAACAATGTTTGATAGCCTCATATCTAGACAGTAGGCTTCAAGGGTTAAATGTGTCCTCCTATTTTCTATTCCTTTACGTTCCCAGTGGAACATAGGGCGTCTTTAAGCTAGAGGTTTGAAGTTTCTGTAGCAGCGGTGGTGCTTATTTTTTACGGGATGGGGTTGCTAGCCAGCCTCATGCCCAACCTTCTCTGTTTTCCAGTCTTATTACTGGCTTACCGAGGTGTAAGGCAGTGCATCGGTGACAGGGGATCGAACCCCGAACCACTTGAGACGTGGTCGGCAAGCATTCTACTGCCGACGTACAAACATGTCCTCTGGGTGATTTCTAATTGGCTTCTCACCTAGCTGCGCTTCAGTCAGTCGGAGACGTTATCACCGAGGTATTCTGGCTTAAGACTGACTTCCTGTAGGAGTGAAATGGATGTATTGTCTATTCACCAATGAACAGTAAGCAATGTCATGCGATTAGTCTTCCGGGGTTACAGATACTTAGGTTGAAATCTTCTAAGTAGTTGCCTTGAATTAGATAACATCAAGTTTTTGTTTGCAGGGATTTGATTGGTTTCAAGTTTGATCACGGAGTAATATCAGTTAGAGGGCCAAGGACTACTGGACAGCTATTTCGTTCCAGCTTGGGACTCTTCAGTATTACGAAACTGTGACCTTAGTTTCTAGTAGTCCTCAAACTCAAGTCAACTAGTTAATTAACTTAAAATTAGTCAGATTCTTATGCATCAACAACTGGAAATTATTCGAATGCTCATTAGTGACTGCCTGGAGTTGTAGTAAGAAGTTGTGACTAATAGGGTCCACAAAGTGATGTGTGAGGATTTTTTAAAATATTCCTTTACGTTCCCAGTGGAACATAGGGGGCTTCAAGCCTTTAGCTTGAGGTTTCGGTAGCAGTGGTGCTTATTTTGTACGGGATTGGGTTGCTAGTCAGCCTCACGCCCAACCTTCTCTGTTTCCCAGTCTTATTACTGGCTTACCGAGGTGTAAGGCAGTGCATCGGTGACAGGGAATCGAACCCCGAACCACTTGAGGCGTGGTTGGCGAGCATTCTACCGCTGTGCCACCGACGCAATGTGTGAGGATAAATACTACTATTACTACTCCTAAAACACAAACTCAGTATCAATATGAGTGCCAAGAGATTCACCACCCCAAATCTCAGACTTTTTGCGAGGGTTGAGATACTACTCGGTAGCCCAGACCGAAGCAGCTGGTTACTTTAAGAGGTCACGCCTTCCAGTCAGACAGGCTTATTGATCATTCACAGCTACCTGGTCCAGAATTCAATGAAGTGAAGTGGATGATTGTTGAAGGCATTAGTGAGAGTAGCGCTAAACCACTAGTTGACAAAGGTTGGGGGATACATGGGTTACTGAATTCCAACCCAAACGGCTTAATGGTGGCCAATGAGCTTGATCCTATAACCTGAATGGCCTGGGTTCGATTCCCGGTTAGGGGCGTGAGTGGTGTGCAGTGTTGAAGAGTCCCAAAATAGGACGAAACAGCTAACTGTCCTGTACTACTTGGTTTTCAATTATCTGTCTCTAACCGATGTTAGCTTGTGGCTAAATTCCTCGTCTTTAACTGATATTCTAGTGGCGCTCATTCAAAAAGGTGGATTTTCGCAGTGGGGGGTGGGGGTGTGCATCTTTACATCACTCAAACAAACAGATGAACTAAATAAAACAGTACTGTTATTGGTTGTGAAAACTACTCTGAAACTCCATACAGTTCTTCCTATTGATGAAATTGAACAGGGTAAGAACAAAAAGTGTTTAGGGGCATAGTATGAGCTCATCCTTTATTACTATTTCGACAATTCGTTTCAGCTTGCTTAAAGTACTTAGACAATATCAAAATGTAGGCAAACTATAAAACTAAGATTTGAACATACTTTTATCATACTGACAACGAAAGTATAAGTCCCATAAAGGCTCATGTGAGCTAAAAAGTGCGATTGATTACCATCTATTGAACATTTGGTCAGTCCAGAGGTGTTCATATTAGATGGTTGGAAGCAATCGGCCACAGGAAGCCCCCCCCTCTGACCTAGGTTTCGTGCTGGTTGGCACTCACCAGTCAGTCAGCAAGGCGTATCTGCAAGCTTGAAAAAAACTCATGACCCACTTCTGAGAACTGAGCCCACGTCATCCAGCGCTGCAGTCAGAGACGTTACCACTGAGGAGCCATTGGGGCTCACGATTGACCTCCTGTAAGACTGTATTGGATACTTTTGTTTCATTGGACACTAGATAGTAACTAGTGTAATGTGTGTGTGCCTAGTCCTTTGTTTGATGCAGACAGAATTCTATCAGTCAGGTTTGCAATGCGGCCACCATGCCACTAGGTAGCTCTATGCGTTGCGTCAGTATTTCTATATGGTTCAGAGACTTGGTACGTCACTAAAAGTAATTCCAGCAGGCTATGCACTTTCATCAACAACTGAGTAAGCTGGATAATGAAGATGAGATGGACGGGTTTCCATCACTAAATATTAATTAAGTCAGTGAGTGCTTTTCTATGTAGCTGCAGTGGGCAGCGAGGAAACAGGCATAAAATGGACCCTCACTAAAAACTTGGAGGATCTGGACTTCGCCAATAATGATATACGTGTCAGATTTCTCACAAACTTGAAGATATGCGAGTGAAAAGCAACAAGTTGGCGATAGAAGAAGCATCAAAAATGGGACTTCAGATAAACATAGAGAAAACAGAGGTGATAAAGATTACTGGGCAACACCAACAGCAGCAACAACAACAGACAACAATCGGCCAGCATAAATTGGAGGAACCTGAAAGAAACAACCTCCTTTACCCACCCATCTACCTGGGAAGTATCGTTTCACCTACAGGCAGGACTGACGAGGATATCAAAGCAAGGATCGGGAAAGCAAAACAAACTTTCATTTCTTTCAAGTCTGTGTGGAGGACAACAACACTACTCAGAATGAAAACGAATATAAGATCCGGATTTTCAACTCCAATGTGAAGTCACTACTACCTTATGGATCAGAGATTTGACGCGTCATGTAGAGCACATCAAACAAACTTCACACCTTCATCAATAGCTGTCTTCGCTCAATACTACTCAAGATCAGATGGCTGGCCAGAAAACACCAGCAACAGAGAGGGATCTCTGGCAATGAGCGAACCAACCAGGAACCATTTGTTCACAACAAATATGCAAGAAGAAATAGAGGTGGATTGGTGGCCATACTCTGAGAAAACAAACCATCAAGTGAGTGACATCACACGCCAGGACATTGCTCGAGTGGAACCCGACCGAATTGGAAGCGGCGAGTTGGTCGTCAGTGCAAAAGGGTGACTTGGAGGAGGGGGTGATGTGAAGAGGAAGATGAAAGCATGTGGGCAGACCTGGAGCCAGGTAGAAACTCTAGCAGAGAATCGAACGCAATGGAGACGTGTGTGGCTGAAGCCCTCTAGGAATTAAAGCAAATAATAACAAAAATAATGTCGCTCAGACACTCAGGGTATCATCATAGGCATTTAAAAAGACTTCATAATTTCATCAACAGCTGGCTTCACTTGACTGAAAAGGTAAGCAACATAAAACTCTGGCAACCAACATGCCATAATAAATGCAGAGAAAAATGGAGATGGATTGGGCATACACTGAGAAGATGGTTGAGTGACATTACACGCCAGACCCTCATGCGGAATCTGAATGGGAAAAGAAAGCATGTGAGAGTGATATCGAGGAGAGCACATATAAGAAGGGAATGAAAGCTTCTAAGCAGTCGTTGGACCAGCATAGCATCAATTCATTCAAGTGTTTGACTGTTGATTCCAGCCCAGGTAGGGAAGAGTAGACTGTCTGGTTAGGATCGTTCAGCCTCTAAAATCAATAGTTGGAGACTTTTAGTGTAAAATAGTTCAAAGTCATTCGCAATAGTGCAGATGCATTCACACTGAATGAACTACTTGAGTTATTAAATCCTCAGGATGCCTACTATCCCTATTTCAATTCAATTTTATTATAGATGTACGAATAGACTTAACAGTAACTCACTTCAGAGACTCAGGGATTGACTTGTTATCGTCAGGGAATAATCTCGTTGACTTAGAATATGCAGACAATATAGTCCTTCTAGGCGAGGAGGCTGACAAAATAGAGCAGAGTCTTATGAACACCTTGAGCTGCAATCTACGAATGTCTGGCATGCGATTCGCTCCCGCCAAATGTAAGATGATATTACAGGGCTGAACTACACTGATTCATAGTTTACAAATACGGAGTGAAGTGATTGGTGGAACGTGTTGACCGCTTCATTTATTCGGGAAGTTGTATCAGCCTAAGCCAGCGGGTTGATCGCTGACAAAATCTCAACACGGATATAGAAGGCTAGTTTCGCGTATGCCAGTTTACGCCGTCTCTGGCGTAGACATGATATCTGTGTGGCTGTCGATCGAATGACGTGTGTACTGCTCAGAAGTTCGCTCCATCCCCCTCCTTTATGGCTGTGAGTGAGATATGATGGCCATTGAAAGTGGAAGACATGAAAAGGTTAGCTAGCTGTCTTTGATCATAGGTGCATGCGTTCTATCTCCCGTGTGAAGTGGTATAATAGGGTGAGCAATATTGAGGTTAAGCGTCGAGTCCTAGGTAGGCAGGGAAAATCAATCGCCGAGGCTGTGAAGTTACATCGATTGAGATGGTTAGAACATGTGTTACGCATGCCTAGCCATCGTCTTCGTCAACGGGCAGTGCTAGCTGACATAGTATGGATCAGATCAGAAAACAGCCAGTGCTTAATGTTCAAACCAAAACATAGCCTCATCAGTCAATGAAATCCACAACAGTTAGTTAAAGCCAGCCATGTAGGAAGATGTAGACTTCCTGGGCGGGGTTCTCGGGAAGGTGAACACCAATGAAGGCTGGGGACAATTGTTGATATGGCTCAAAATTGTTCTCAGTGGCTGGCACAGGTGTATCCACTCCTTGTGACTTACGATCGCCAATAAAACTATATTGTTCTTCGTTATTACTATTCTTCTTGCCTCATGTCTCTGTTTACTGTCTCCAGTTTGCGTTTCTTGCTTTGTGCGCTGATTGAAGTGTGGCTACTAGAACTGGTGTACACCGGTGCAAAGTTCGATGCTGAAACCCGACAGACAGAAAGACAGATTAAATCTTCATTATTTCTCCATGTGCTTTTCTGTACATTTATTATAGTCTCTTCGTATACCGTTTTCTTCTATACCTTTTTGCGTACTTTTTCAATTGTGGCAAAATGAAATGTGTCCCACTTTAGTAGAAGGTTGTGCATCGTATATTCAGCTAATTTTCCATAAAATATTAAAGGGGAGGGGGGAGCAACACACACGAATACGCGAAGATTATTACATGAGGATTAAGCTAAAACGTACAACGCATATACGCCGACTTACTTTAGCCCCATGTACAGCACTATACTGCATAGCTTTCAATGCTTTAATAAGATAAGCTCGTGTCTGACCCGGTTCTCGTACTGACGATGGGAAACCATTTTGTAGCATACGTAATACAAATCCGATAAGATCATGTTTTAAAGCCTGGAGGAGAAGAATACAGAAACAATATTAGATAAAAATTTAAATATTCTACATTTTGAGTAGTTGTCTATGCGGTTTCAGTATAATAAATACAAAAGGATGTTCACATTCCATTGAAACGTCCATCCAACAATTTTCCTGTAGATATGAGGGCGAATAGGAGTGTAGTAACAGTAAGGTACTGCCTTCAGAGTAAAAGCAGATCACCTATGCATCCTCCCCGTTATGGGCACTTGAGGGGTGGGGTACATCCGAATATACCCTGAGGTGGGGCGTAACCAGAAAAAAGGTCTTAATAAAAATACACTTCTAAACACCATGTGAAACAGGTTATGTATCTGAACGGCCTAGGGGAGTTGTCCATTTCATTTTGTCTGTATTACTATTATTATTGTTTTCTTTCCTGCTGGGTTGGTTCGCTCGTTGCCAGAGATCGCTCCCTGTAGCTGATCTTTTCTGGCTGGCCATCTGATCTTGAGTAGTATTGACCGAAGACAACTGTTGATGAAGGTCTGTAGTTTGTTCCAAGTGCTCTTCATGACGCGCTGGCCAAGTCTCTGATCCGTATAGCAAATAGCATTGAATTCACATTGGAGTTGAAAATCAGGATCTTATTTTTGATGCTGAGTGCTGTTGACCTCCACACAGACTTGAGAGTATTGAAAGCTTGTCTTGCTTTCACAATCCTCTCTGCTTTGATATCCTCATCATTTCTGTCCACCTGTAGTTGAAATGATGCTTCACAGGTAGGTAAATGAGGCTGTTTCTTTCATATTTCTCCCATTTATGCTGGCTGATTGTTATCTGTTGCTATTTTTTGTGGCTGTTGGCCAGGAATCTTCATCACCTCTGTTTCCTCTATGTTCACGTGAAGTCGGTGATGTGTAGGAAACTTGCGAATATGATTAGGTAGCTAATTTAACCTATCCCCGTTCAAGATGTTTTAAACCACTATTGTGATTTCTAATCTTTAAACATTCCCATTTTTTAATATTAGAACAAGACATATAAGCGAACAATATTGCTGTTTTCAATTAGATCTTCTTCAGGCTTTACTCTAATTTACATAGACTTATAAATAAAAAATTGTTAACCAATGACGGTGATTTTGTGGATCAAATAATAATAATGTGGTAAATGTTTTGAACGAAATTAATAACGATGATTATAATGATAACAAAATATTGACAATAAGGCCTATGCAGTTGGCGATAAGAATAACAAAGGTAGTAATATGTGTGTATATGTAGACAATTCAATAAATAAATAAATTAGGCCAAGTCTGCAAAGGTGAAATGGAAACGATAATCAGAGTTTAAATAAATATCATAAAAATACGAAGGAGATAGAAGATAAGAAAGTGTGGGAGGGTTTTAAATAGAATTTACCTAGGCGAAGCGAGGGAGAGACAAAGGTAGAACAAACTTCTTTCTTTGTATTCAAAGATGACTAGGATTGTCCTCTTGAATTAATTCCCATAGCTTCGGCCATGTGTGTAAAAGACGGGTGCTGATTCCGTTCGAAAGACTCGATGGAATGAGATAGATAACTTTGAAGGCACTATTTGTGTCCACTTGGTGACCGCTATCAATCAAATGAGCCAAAATAAAACTTCCGAAAGATTTTATTTGACCTTTTCCAAACCATGAAGGAAGATGCTCATTAATGCGTTTGTTAAGCTGTCTCTAGTTGTCCGCTCGATATAGCTCTCTCCACAGGAGCAAGTAAATTTGTGGATACAGATAGAAGTGGCACAACTAGGTAGCTTGTCGCTTGCTTGGCCTAGGTGAATTCTAATCAAAACGCTCCCACCCTTCCTTATTTTCCATCTCCTTCGTATTTTTATGATATTTATTTAAACTCTGATTATCGTTTCATTTCACCTTTTAAGATTTGACCTAATTTATTTATTTATTGAACTGTCTGCATATACACACATATTACTACCTTTGTTATTCTTATCGCCACCTGCATAAACCTTATTATCAATATTTTGTTATCTTTATTTTTTATTTTTGGTAACAGCTTGATTCCACACTGTATTTTTGGTACAAGTATGGAATTTTCAGCGTGGATATCGGTAGCCCAAATTTCGCAGGCCGACCATAGATATCTGGTGTGCGCCGGTGTGGGCTCGAACCCCGGCCCATGTGCATGGTCGTCGAGAGTCGTAACCACTGTGCCACTGACGCACAATCATCGTTATTAATTTCGTTCAAAACATTTACACAAAAAAAAAATTATTATTATTATTATTACTTGATCCACAAAGTCGCCGGCATTGGTTAAAAATTTTTATATATAAATCTATGTAAATTAGAGTAAAGCCTGAAGAAGATCTAATTGAAAACAACAATATTGTTCGCTTGTATATCTTGTTTTAAACCACTATGTTGCATAACTGAAGACAAACAATATATACTGAAATTTAGTACAGATAGTCAGTAACTTCAGAGACGACGACGACGATGAGGAGGAGGACGATGAACAATTTTCAAGCATGTTACTAAGAATTTAAGAACTTACAATATACCTTAAGTTCTTAGTATGAACAAGACTTACGACAAACAGTTATAAAGTGGAGTGGAGTGGAATGGAGTTTTCTTCAGCTAACACATTACTTGTCGACGAAGATGATATGTTGGAAGTCGTCTCAGCACATTCTGTCGATGAAGACGCAACAAAATTATTGACTGACTGACTGACTTTCACTACTCCTCCTTACCCAACAATATTTCGAATCTTCAGCAATGTGATAAGGTCATATAACGTAAAATCTTGTAATGCTATCATATCATCAGCTTTGGAAAGTCACGTTTTAATCCCAAGGTGGAATAAAGCCATATTGTACTAATTTTCTTTGAATTACTAAAGGGAAGCTGACAATTCAAATGAACTGTCGTCAAGATTTGACAGAATAGTTCTAAAATATAATTGGGCGCCGAGTAAGAAGTAGACATTCGTAAAACAACAATTATATTTGTAAAATCTCAGCGAGATTGAAATGAGTAATTCCAACATTTCCTGCATTCGGCTATCTAGTCCGAACTTCTTCAGGGAAATTAATCGAAATTAACATAACAGAGGTTTATATGCAGAAAAGAGGGACATCTCTTGTTTTTAAGAAACTTTTTCCAATCACATGAGTCATAAAACAAGTATCAACAAGTACAATTAATTGCCGAACGAAACGTTGGAATTACTCATTTCAATCCTAAATCCGTACCTGTAGAGTCATCTGACAACTCCAGTAGGTCGAATAAAGCAGCTCAATCTTCAGAAAGAAGACAAAGCAATAAGTTCGACAGGGTGCTTCAACTAAATTCTAATCCTAAACACGATAATTTTGAAAATATGTCTAATCATAAAATTCTAGATACTAACAGTTTGAACAGACATGAAGGTGCGATGTTAGCTGATGCATAGGAAACCCTGATTAATAAATAAATAAGAATGGATATGTATCACTAATTAATAATAATTGGTCAAAATTCCCAACTGTCTACCTCTTCTTATGAAGACGTTGAAAAATGTTTTACAACTGTTCACATACTCACTGTGTTGAAAGTATTCAACAAAGGTAGACGATCAATATCTGTAAGTCCGAGGTCAAATGTTGATCACAGCTCATACAATTTTGTTTATTATACTTGTTGATACTAGTTTTATGACTCATGTGATTGGAAAAAGTTTCTTAAAAACAAGAGATGTCCCTCTTTTCTGCCTATAAACCTCTGTTATGTTAATTTCGATGAATTTCCCTGAAGAAGTTCTGATCAGATAGCCGAACTCCGGAAACATTGGAATTACTCATTTCAATCTCGCTAAGATTTTACAAATGGATGTGTTGACAATCTTCAACGATTTTGTTTTTCATCTCTTTGGCTTCTTAGTGGAACACAAGCCCTATAAGCTTTGAAGTTTCAGGCACAACCTTCTCTTTTCTCCAGGCTTACTATGCGTTTAGTTAGTAAACTCGACAAGGTTAAGTGAAGTACGTCGGTCAGGAATCGAACCTTGACCTCTAACCTGCATGGTTGGTTGGTGAGCATTCTACCCCTAAAATAAAGGACGCATTTTCAGTGTTCAAGTGTCACACATTTAGTGACTTACTACAAAATGAAGGAAACTGAACAAGAATCAATAAAATAGCACATGTTACCAACCATAAAAACAACAACAACAAAAAAAACAAACAAAATAAAATAGATCGTATTTTCACTATAATATCTACACTGTAATGATGCAGCAGACCACATACCTGTTCAATTAATGGATCAGAGTATTGTGTATCAAATAGACAGAATAATGTTTCACCGATTAATCCTAATTCTTCACCAATGCATTGATTAACAACACGTATTAATCCACCAATCATATCACTTTCAGCCATTGATTGTACACATAACTATATATGCATCACACATGAAACAAAAAGACAAGGTTATAAACGATGTAAAAATATTTATACATATACATATACAACAATATTTTATGCAATATATACAAAAATCATGTATATTTTGTAATTAAACGATTTGCTATAATCAACCCTGATAAAGTTATTGAAAAGTTACAATATTAAGCTAAGAAAGGGAGGTTGAATATAGGCCAGTAATGGTTAAACTCACCAGATTTTATGATGCCTCTTTAGATCTACTTCTACTAACTGACTGTCTGAGTTTCAACATAAAGAACTTTGCATAGAAATGAGGTAGTTCAAGCTGCCATACTCTATGCAGCACACAAAGGTATTGTGAGAGGAAAAGAACAGTAATATGGAAAGAAACATGTGGGTTTAGTGAATCTAAGGACATCCCAAACAGTGGATGTTTCTGTGCCATTGGAGACGATCCTGAGCTGCATCACCGACAGTCTCAAGTCATTGGTTCTTAGCATCCATAAGTCGACAAGTAGGCAGTCTAAGTCTCCCTGGACTGATTGATCCTATGTCGGCTAGAATGGTTCGTCGACGAAAGTGGTGGCTTATTATTCGCGACATCTCTCCTAGCCATCTTTCTCTTCCTTACCTAATGCTCTAGTCCAAAACCTGAACAAGGGAGATAGAACGTAAACATCTGTGGTCAACGATTCATGTCATTCGTGATGCCGTGGATATGCTATATCACACAATAGATTGACGTATTTGAAACAAACACACACAGCGCCTAGTCTTCCACGAAACACACTAAGCTACGGTCTTTCGAATAGTGTGCTATAGACATCGCAAAGTCGACATACTAGCTAGCTAATAATAATAAATCTAAGAGTCCAGCGATTGACTTAATGCTGAAACTCACTGTCTGAATGTAAGACACTCATGAAAAATACTTTTAGCGTGGATATTATTACTCAGAGATATGTTCGTTTTAGAACCGCTGAAGATCTAGAGCACTATACAATTGTTACATCCTATCATGGGACACCTGATTATGAAGAACTTATAAAGCCACGTAAAATTAAAGTTCAGGAATTGGCTTATTTCAAGACAAATCGATGTCAAAAGATAAAATTAGCTAAAAAAAAAAACTCCTGTGAAAGCTAACCAGAACTATTCTATTTTGGTTAGGGTCTCTTTAGCAGCTCTACTGCCTGACTTAGTTTCGACATAAGAACTTTGTACAGAAGTGCAGTACTTCTGTTTACCAGACCCCAAGCAATACACGAAGGTAAGAGGTAAAAAGAAATTAAACCCAACTATAATAAGCATCACTGTACGGGGAGAAGAACAGTAGCGTGGAAAACAGTAACGATATGGATATGGATATGAAAGGTCACAGAGAGTGAATACATCTGAGCCACTGAGAACAACTCCGAGTCATATTTGGTTATTAGAATCCCAAGCACGCCAGTCAGGCAGTGTACGTATCCCTACCTGGTTCATACCAACTGTCAAAGACTTCATCGACTGGTTTTGGATCGACCAATCTTAACTTTTTCCAAACTCAGTCCTTTATCAGTTAACCTTTCTCACCTAGGGGGGGGTGGTAGGGGTGTTGGATCGGTATGAGCAACACATATCCTAGAAACCTATTTAGCAGTGACAGCCTACCTGACTAAGAACATCGGGGGGGGGGGGATTGTATGAAAGATTAACAGGTTAGGAAGAGATACCGTTATCATACAGTGACTAATTTTCCAATGACGCATATTTTAGAACTTCTAGCTAATCATCGTACCGTGTTACTGTTATCAAACGCTAGAGATAAGTAAATATTCTCATCTATCCGACTTGTTCAACACCTCATCGATCAAACAACCCTCCCCCTTTAGAATTTCTTACCGTCCACAACAGGAGGTGAAGTGATATTCAAATTTTGGCTTTGATGGCTTTTGTTTGATTTCAAGAAACATTTCGTTACTAATCAACTAGAAACTGCTAGCGAGATTATGAGTGTACACTGTCCGAACTCCAAACTAAGACAAAGTGTTTTCCGTCCTATTAATATATCTGTGTAAAACTTGGGCACTGTGGTGGCAGTAAGTAATTCCATATTAGTTTGTTTATTAAATGTATCACACACAGTCACTGAAACAGTATTCATTATTTACTGGATGACACAGTTTCAAACAAAATTTATTGCTGTTCATAATCATCTCAGCAATTATAATCACACAACTTTGAAACCTGAGTTTTATAGTTTTTCTTTGTTCTCTCTTATTCGTCGTCGTAGGCGTGGTAGTAGAATTTTCCAGATATCTGACTGGACAGGTGTTGAATCATTCCTATTACACGTATTTTATGTCAGTTGATTCGATAAACAAAGCTCCTTCCATCTTGTGACATTAGATTTTAAAACTGTCATCTTATCCCATCATATTGTATGATTGTGTGTAACTGCGTGTAGTATAGTGCTACATAGCTGAACTATTCTCTAGGTTTCTTAATCTTATTCGGGTCAAATAATCTAGATTTTGCTGCTAGGTTTTTATGTTCGGCTAATCTGACTGACTGCCCCTGTTCTAGTAGTTTGACCTATGTATTTGACCTGACAATCATTGCAGGCAGGGTATTAGATAAATTGAATTGTTTTGTATTGAAGGCTACACAGGATTGATCTTTTAACCGACAAAGCTTGTTTCTAATTGAATTTGTGGGTGGTTTGAATGCCAGCAGCCACTTTATTCCTGCGTTGTTAAGAATTCTGCGTAAGGTGGTTTCCGAGTTTCCTTCCTTGTATGGAATTACTACTGATGATTTAGATTCCTTATTGTTGGTGTTGTCTTGCGCATATTTGACATGCATTAACATTACTATTATTATTTTCGTTGTTATTATTATCACTATCATTACTGTTACTATTTATTTTATTTTTACATTTCCCTACATACTTTCTGGTTAATTTATCAGGGTAATAATTAAGTTTAAGAAACTTAATTAATTATTAAGTTAAGAAGTGTTGTCTAGAAGGAAGGATAGTAAAAGCTTCGTAGTTAAACCATCAGGATTACTAAATGCAACAATAGCATTTACACACCCATCTCAGTGATACGCCTCCATTACATTCTATAGAAGCAAAGCAATTTTATACATTAAGTAATCAATAAGGTCTCTTTTAAAAATAAAAAAAATGAACAAAAATGACAGCAGGACTCACTTTACTTGATGACATTTGATGTAAGAGGATGACAATAGCTCTAGCCCCCTCAGGATCAGCAATTTTAGCTAATAATTCCAAAATTCTATGTACATTACCTGATCGTGGCAAGGAGTCAATCAGACCTGGACGATCAGTTAGAACAGTTTTACACGCTCTAGTCAACAATCGTACTAAAATATTCGACTCCGGTAGCTGATGTACTGCCTGAATAAACAGAAGAGAAAATAGAGAATAATTTATGACTGTTTTCGAAATCATTAAAGTAGTCAGTAGACGAACATTAAAGTTAAATGACACCTTCAAATATTTATTAACACTAATGTAAAGTCAGTCTGTCTGTCTGGATTCAACAAGAGAACTTAGCACCGAAGGGCACCAGTTCGAGTTGCCACGTTTCAAATAACACACAAAGGTAGACAAGAAGATGAGTGAAGAGAATCAATAGAGTTTGACAAGTATAAGAGTGAAACAAAATGGGTAATGATAGAAAGAAATATGAAAGATTACAGAGACTGAATACATCTGCGCTGGCCATTGACAACGATTTTGAGCCATGTCACCACCTATTGTCTCCAGCCATTGATTCTTAGAGTTAGTCCCGAGGGCCCCAACCCGGAAGTCTGAATCTCCCTACCTGACTCAGTTTAACTGTCAAGGATTTCATGGATTGATTCCATGTTTTTGTTTGGCCGCCCACCACTTACTCTTTTCCAACCTGCACCTATATCAGCTAGTAATGCCTGTCGGGGGAGGCGATGGTTAGGCATGCGCACCACGTGACCTAGCCATCTCAATCTATGTAGCTTTATAGCCTCGTCGATTGATTTTCCCTCTTTGCCCAACACTCTACGCTTAACGTCAACATTACTTACCTTATTAAACCACCTAACGTGAGAAAGAGATCGTAGACATCTATGATCAAAAACAGTCAACCTTTTCATGTCTTCAACTCGTATTGGCCATGTTTCAGAGCCATAGAGAAGGACGGATCGAACTGCAGCTGAGCAGTACACACGTCCCTTGATTGATAGCCGGATGTCACGCCTCGAGATTATTCCCTGACCACAACGTAAGCTAGATCCAGATTCAAGAAATAAACGCCGCGACGTATAAAGTACAGTAGGTCGGGCGTGAGGACGAATACTCTCCATCGACACTGACATTGGATAGTGGTCGGGCTATGTCGTGAATTCGTAGAAGTTGGAATTGTAGGGCCGGCCATTAGATCGGGTCCCAGTGGCCTAATGGTCTTAAGAGCCAGCTCGCCTTGTAACCAAACGGTCCTGGGTTCAAACCCCCTCCCCCAAAAACTAGGCCGAAGAAGCAGACCTCCAGTATGCCCAGTTGGTTTTCCAATGGTTCTCTAACTGATGTCAGCTCATGATGAAATCCTGGAACCAAATGCTTCTACTTCAGAGTGACAGACTTACAGTGTTGCCTCCAGTTTCGTCTACTTCCTATGAGTCTATATACTGTTGATAAATTTTGTGAATAGCACACGGACCACTGGGACTAGCAACCCGTAGGTAGTGGGTTCGAATCCCATCACAGCCCAAATTTTCATCTCATCTTCAATCATGCCACCCACTATACAATTATGTTATAGGAGTTATTAAGAAGACAATTGCAGCGAAGAAAATTTTCTTTTCGACGAAGTCATCATCTAGGCTGTACATTCGTGTATTTATATCAAATGGATGGGAAAGTTCCAGAATAATATCCGGTCAAGGGTCAAATTAATAAAAATTAAATTTAGGAATTAGAATGCCATAATAAACAGGAGGACGGATAAAACTCAAACAAAGTAGCATCATGATAGCCAAGAAGGTTGACATTGTGCAATTGGGGGTTAGAAATGTAGAAATAACAAAATAGACAGGATGTTTGGATAAGAACTAATGTGATGAGTAATTGTTCATGCAATCAGGGATTAAATGTGTGGAAATAGTAAAATGACAAAATAAACAGGATGTTCGGGTATGAAAATATGGTAGTGTAAACAGGGATTAAGAAAAACTTAAAATAAGATGAATAAACAGGAAGTTTAGGTAAGAAAGGCGATAGGATGGTCATTAACTAAAAAAATTACCTGTTTATGATGGCCATGGCAGGGACAGGGGTTGAACGTATTTCTTTTGTATACAAAGCGTGGGTTTGAGCTTTTGCACAGCTAGTGCCTCGGCTATGCCCAGATGTCTTGATTTCACTCCCTTTGATAAGTTTGATTAAATCTTGTACATTACTTTGAAGGATTTTTCGAAAGGCGCTGAATGTTCTGAATTAACCAGATGTTCTGTCACTGAACTGTATACACGCTTTTGGTCTCCTTTTACTAACCTGGCTGGGTAGTGTTCACGAGCGCGTTTTTCAAGTCGGCGCATGGTACGGCCTATGTACTCAGCTCCACAAGAGCAAATTATATTATACAACAAAACAGATTACACAACATTTATATAACAAAAGGCATCATGCTGGATATCTTGTGTTTTTGCATTTTTAGTTTTCCATTTTTCTTACCTGATACCATTTTTCCATTAATTCATTTAAAAACAATTCCGGATGACGTAATGTCCAACCAGGATGTGATATATACAAGTGTAAGTAGACACCAGCTACTTGAATTGGTCCAAGACAAGCGACATATTGAGCTATTTCATTCGGTTTATGCTTATTTTGTTCATTCGCTTTTCTCGCGATTACATCAGTATAAGGAACTTTAAAGGAATCTGGTAGATTCCATTTTATATTACGATCTTCAGTTTGTTTAGCATAAAAGCTACAGAAAAAAGAACAAATTTCAAAAGAAAATAAGACAAGGTATAGTTTATTGATATAAGAATAAAACTTGTTCACTGTGGTAGAGTATAATTCCATTATGGGTAGATTTTTGTTTCGATAAAGTCTCACAGTGTTATACAGTAATGTTTACTGATGACGTTTCGAGCACAATTTATTGCCACTCATAATCATATCAAGGTACTCACACAACTTCCTAACTTCATTTATATAGTTCCATTATTTTTCACTTGATTTGATTGGTAGTAGTATTTTCCATATTTCAGGTATGAGTGGTGAATCATACCTATTGCATGTGTTCGGTGTAGACTCGATGAAAAAATCAAAAGAAAACAAAATCATACATAACAACATCGGAAAGAGTAGCTCTAATTAGTCTAAAACAGGATAAAAATACTGTCATCGCAAGAGCTGACAAAGGAAACGCCACCGTAGTTTTGAATAAATCTGACTATATCAAAAGAGTTACTGAATATATTCAAACGCGTCCATATGAAGAAATTAAGAAGCCTGTAGACACAATAATGAATAAGGTTAAGAAATCTACAGCGGAACTAATACGCAGAATGAAGCCGTCACTGTGGGAGTCAAAATGGTTTAATTTAATGCCTAAAACTAATAATGCTAGTAGAATGTATGGTACTATTAAAATACATAAGCCAGGTTACCCCATACAACCAATAGTAGATTTTAGAAATACTCCTATTTATGAATTATCAAAACACTTAGCTCTAATATTATGCCCCATTAGAAATCGTTCAAACTCTACACTAACTAACTAATTCATATGAGATGAAAAAAAACTAAATGACATTCAACTAGATAATGATGAAAAAATGTTTAGTCTTTATACTAATATACCAATCAATATGCCCACCTTAGAAGCAGTTAAACAAGAATTAACTGCAGATCCTGAACTCACTTATAGGACGAAGCTGCTCATTGAAGAAATTATGTTAGGGATTCAGTTATGCCTCACATCTACTATCTTTAAATTCCAAGGCAAAATATATAGTCAAACTGAAGGTGTAGCAATGGGATCACCAATATCCCCTATCGTAGCAGACATATTTATGGACAGCTGGGAAAATATTGCTCTTAATACGTTTAATCCTACTCCAAAAATATGGTGGAGATATATGGATGACACTTTCACACACAGTGTTAAAAACAGAACATATCTCTCTCTAGCTTCCTCACACACATAAACTCACCAGTACAGAGAATAAAATTTACTTGTGAATCGGAAAATGAACAAGGAGAATTAGCTATGATGTTAGATTGTAAAACAAAACGAATAGAAGAAGGTACACTGTACATCAATGTGTACAGGAAACCAACTCATTCTAATAGATACTTAGACTTTAGTTCATTTTATCCGTTAACTATTAAGGCAGGCTTAGTTAAGTGTTTAACAAACCGAGCAGTAGCAATAAGTAGCACAAGAAAAGACCTAAATGATGAACTAAAACACATAAAAGACGCGTTGGTGTTAAATAACTAACTATCCTATAGAATTCATTAGGAAGATCAGAAAAGGTCAAAAGCAAAATAAAAATAATTGTGAAACTAGTAATAATAACGTAAATAAGAAAGAATATAAGACATTTACAGTTTTAACATATAAAGAGAGGACATCTGAGACCCTCCCTACGTAGGATTCTCAATCAAGCAGGAATTAGGGTGGTATTCAAACCTACCAACTCACTCAGGTAGGACAGGCTCCGTAAGCTAAAGGACCCTATCAGTTGACTCAATTAGACAAAATAATATAATTTACAAAATACCTTGCAATGACTGTGAGGTCAGTTACATAGGTCAAACTGGTAGTTAAGTAAGGGATAAAGCAAATCAATTCGTAGCCCTATTCTATCTCATCTTGTGAATATAGAACACAATATTGATGTTAACCAGGCGGCTTTCAGGGTCATTTACGGCATACCAACGAATGTCAATTTCACCTTAAGAGTTCGACAACTAAATATTGTTGAGGCTGGTTGTTAGGATCCATATAAACAAGCTTAATTTGTGCATCCAAAAGAAGTTAGTTCAGACATTATCATTACCTTGACCCTCCAGGTTTGAATGATCCTAAATTTTTGTGCGATTTCCCTAATTTTAGTTGATATTCTATTCGCTAATATAACTTTATTATCATTATTATTTAAGCATCTTTAATGAACTGTGGTGATTCCATTGTGATCTTACTTTACAAATTGATATTATTTAAAACAACACTAATATTGTTATTGACTACTAATCTAGAATATTCTATATGTGTAAACATGTAGGTATATAATTGTATTCGAATGTCTAATCAACAATTCCACTCATGTATATAAATGAAGCAATAAAGTTGCGTGAGTAGTGCCTTGATATGATTATGAGCAGGAATAGTTTGTGCTCGAAACGTGGTCATCAATTAATATTACTCTATAACAACACTGTGTGACACTTTATCAAAATGGAATTTTATCTATAATGGAATTATCAATCTACCAGCACAGTGCCCAAGTTTTGTACTTATATCGTTATGTCCAGCCTGGAAAAATCTTCATTCTTGCTTTATTCAAACTCTCTGGCTGAATTCTGATTGGACACTAGTAACTAGTGTGACGTTTCTAGTCCTTTCTTTGGTGCAGACTGAATTCTATCAGTCAGGTTTGCAATGTGGCCACCATTCTAGGTAGCTGGACATCACGGTGCACATTGATTTGATGATATTAGATGGCTGGAGGCAAGCGGCCACAGGAAGTCCCACATGACATAGGTTTCGTGCTAGTTGGCACTCACCAGTCAGTCGGCAAGGCGCATCTGCAACTGCCTTGAAGAAACTCATTTCCCTTCTGAGATTCGAATCCGCGTCACCCAGTGCCACCTGCAGTCAGAGACGTTACCACTGAGGTATTCGTTAGTTAGTAGTGCCCAATCAAAATACCCACTACAGTCCTACAGGAGGTCAATCGCGAGCCCGAATAGCTCAGTGGTAACGTCTCTGACTGCAGGTGGCACTGGGTGACGCGGATTCGAATCTCAGAAGGGACATGAGTTCCTTCAAGGCAGTTGCAGATACGCCTTGCTAACTGACTGACTGGTGAGTGCCAACTAGCACGAAACCTAGGTCCAAAGCTTCCTGTGGCCGATTGCCTCCAACCATCTGATACCTCTGGCTGAATAGCAACATAAAAAATTCGTGAAGAAGTGAAGCAGTAGTCCAAGTTGCCATTATAACTACTCCATGTAACACACAAAGGTAAGGCGAGTTAAAAAAGAGGGAGAGAGAGAGAGCGGAGAAGAAGAAACAGATTCAAAGGGGAAAGAGGAAAACTAACAACCGAAAATTCTACCCCCACAAAACATTTTGCCAAGGAGATAATAGATAACGCTAAGAATAAGCCTACCTTTGACTCTGTTCATTTAAAACTTTGCTTAGCATATCCCGTAGACTTGCATCCCATATAATCTCTGGATTTTCATGATCAGCTGAAAAGACAAACACGAAGAAACTTATTGTAATTACAGAGTGAAAGATTATACTGGACAATGAAACTAAATATTATGCAGAAATTAATTACATGATAGTATATACTACTGACTGGTTAATTTAAGTAGTTGAAAACCACTCACATAAACTGATAGTGCTTGTTAACGGGATTGGGGGGGGGGGTGATTTAAACTCTGAATACCTATGCTTGGCTCGTCTGAGGTTGAGTTCATCGGTAGTGTACTGAAATACGACAATACTCATTGAGAGAAGAGAACTTCACAACAACAACAACAACGATAACAAAGAATGAGTCCTGAAATAATAGAGAAGATTTGTAGCTCAGGTGGATGATTCGCTGGTTGGTTTAGTTGTGGAGCTTTCGTCGTCCCCATGCTGCTGGACAACATCTTCAGCGCAGTATTTAGCATAAAGTGAAATGATTTAAATTTTTCTTCATGAGCGATATAATTGTGTCTCCCGGTAACCATCTTTACATGTGTATGGATGATTTTCTATTGACTTGGATTTTTAACTTTCTGGTCACCTGATTTACTTTTTATTAGTTGGTACATTTCGTCTATATTAACGTATTTGTTAATTGCATTTTCGTTTGAGTACCAGGTTTAGCTTCTAGGAATTCCCTGACTTCACTTTTGGTGGCGTTTCCTCTCTCTAAGATTTCGCCATTATCTCAATCATCAAACTGATGTCCATAATTGTCTATGTGCATTGATACGAAACAGGAATACATATCATGTCTTTTCACGGCTGATTTGTGTTCCTGGATTCTGATTCAAAGGGGAAGTCCACTTCGGCCACCGATATAATGCCTGTTACAGTTCATACATGCAATTTATTTTATAAATGGTATTAATTTTATCTCCTTTTTCTGTTGGATGGATTTTTCGGTTTACATATTTGAAGACATCAAATTCACAAGAGAAGAATTAGATAACAAAATCCTATTTTTAGATGTCTTGATCAGGAGAACCAACACAGGAAATTTAGAAACACACAAGTATATAGAAAATCAACGCACACAGATCAAATACGCAACTATACTAGCAGTAATCCAATTACTCACTCACAAAAGAAACTGTGTGCAGACATTGTTCAAAAGAGAGTTCAAACACACTGTTACACTACTTCGGTGTTCAAAAGAATGGAAGAAAAGTACCTACAGACGGTCTTCAAAAAGAATGGTTGTCAATGTAGTTGAAGATTGAACGATCAATTCTTGGTTGTTTGCTTAAAATCAACTTCCCCAATTTTCGCGGAGGCATCAATACGACAGTCATCGTCTCATCGGTCGCTGTTCAGAAAGAAGAGTGAAACATCGTCAGAAACCTTAGTTCACTTATTCTTTTTATATGTTGGTGTAACAATAAAGAAATATCAAGCGGCAGATCGGTGTTTTGGTTTTTTCGTCCGTTATAACTAAGCGTTTCTGAAATCTTCAAAGAACAGCGTGGGCCCGAGCGTAGCGAGAGCTGGGCATTAACGGTTTGTGAGACGTGATTGACAATGGTTATCTACAAAATCTCATCAAAAAGTGTTTCAAATCGAATCACAACACCAACAAGGAACCATCATCAAAGACCATAGGAAAATTCATCCTACCATACATGAGAAATACCCATGAAATAACAGCTAGAATACTGAAACCGTTTGATATAAATATGACACACAAGCCAGCCAGTCAAATCGCTTAATTCGATATTATGCTAACCGAAAGAGCCATCCAACAGAAAAAGGAGATAAAATTAATACCATTTACAAAATAAATTGCATGTATGAACTGTAACAGGCATTACATCGGTGGCCGAAGTGGACGTCCCCTTTGAATCAGAATCCAGGAACACAAATCAGCCGTGAAAAGACATGATATGTATTCCTGTTTCGTATCAATGCACATAGACAATTATGGACATCAGTTTGATGATTGGGATAATGGCGAAATCTTAGAGAGAGAAAACGCCACCAAAAGTGCAGTCAGGGAATTCCTAGAAGCTTGATACTCAAACGAATATGCAATTAACAAACACGTTAATATAGACGAAATGTACCAACTAATAAAAAGTAAATCAGGTGACCAGAAAGTTTAAAATCCAAGTCAATAGAAAATCATCCATACACATGTAAAGATGGTTATTGAGAGACGCAGTTATATCACTCATGAAGAAAAATTTAAATCATTTCATTTTATGCTAAATACTGTGCTGAAAATGTTGTCCAGCAGGGGGACGACGAAAGCTCCACAACTAAACCAACCAGCTCAGAGAACACTATTAATTGCAAAGAATTTAGTTCTGTCAGTGGCTAAATCCAATTTTATAAAGTCAAAAGATAGAAACATCACTCCCCTATAGGTACAATTAGATAGTTATTAGGTGGCTGGATGCAATCGGCAACAATCCTTGAACCTAGATTTCGCAATGGTTGTTGTTGTCGTCGAAAAAGCGTAGGCAACCTAGTGATGAGCTATTAGACTATGACTAAACAAACAGAAAAAGAATCTCTAACTATTCATGCAGTGACTTATGAAGACGTCACCTAGTTTGATGACGAAACGGCCGTGATCAATTATCACACCTGGAAGCAATAAGCTTCCACTGAAGATTTTTCAGTGCATGGAGTTATATTATGGGGCTGAGTGATTTTCCAGTAGGAAGAGTCAGAGTTAAGAGTAGTACTCTGTTTACTATATTCTTTAGTGAATAAACATTCTTAAAATTTGAGTAAAGCGCTTCGAGGTTCCATAAATATAACTTAAATCTAGTCACGTTATCAATTATCACCCACTACAGCAAAAAAAGTCTTGTTATGTGGTGTGAATTATGTACATACCAATTAATGAACTGCCTCTATAAACAACTTGGTATGGTCAAGGGTGGGTGGACACCGGTCTCCCCCCCTCCCACCCAACTCGAAATATTCTCATGCCACCGGGCGTTCACACCCTCCACCACCTAAATTCTATTCACTCTATTTACATGACGGCGGTGCTCCTCACAAAAGAGAAAGGGAGATTTATAATTTATGTTGCTCACAATCGGACTGGTGAACATGCATGTCTACCTAGGGGAACCGGAAAACCCAATTCCAAACCTATAGTGTAGATGGGCTCCAAAATACAAAAGGAGCAATTGGCACGTGAACTTGTTTTGGCACTAGCAACCATGGGAACGTTTTCTTCTTATTTCTTTCCGTTCCCAGTGGAACATAAGGCTTCAAGATAGAGGCTTGAAGTTTCTGTAGCAGTGATAATTATTTTTACAGGATAGGGTTGCTAGCCTCACTCCCAACCTTTCTTCCTTGCCAGCTTTACTACTGGCTTGGCGAGGTAAAGGAGTGGATCAGTGGCTGGGGATTGAACCCCCGACCATGTGCATGGTTGGCACAACCATGGGGACGTAGCTCCTGATATTGCCACACTGCCATGTGGATTAGACTTCAAGTCAAAGGTTGAAAGACGGCCTATTAAGACAACCACAGGTTTCAGTCTGTGCATGTGGCGCATCTTCTGGTGCCCACAGAGTATCAAGTCCCTATTCTAATAATAATAACAATAATAATAATAATAAAACGAATTCCAGTTATAGACAATATTTTCCATCAGAATTCTTACTACACTATTTCGCATTCAGTTTACTAAAATTGCATCTCTCTCCTTACTTCTGTCCAGCATACAGTCTATCTTTCTAGCTAATGAAAACTAAAGACCACACACTACTTATTTAGTTGAAATTAGTTGTTACAAATCATTCAGTTATATACCTTCACACCATAAATTACTTGGCATGACTGAGAGTGGGAATTCAACTCTTTACTTTACCTTACTCTCTGCTATCTACGATATGGAGTAAACTTCAAGTAAAAGACTTGGACAGTTACCTCTTACGATAAATGTTTGCTTTAGTTTAACTGGTCAGACTATAACCTCAGGCCTCAAACGGGTGTGCTGCATTTCCCACAGTCCCTACTGATAGCTGCTAATTTTACCGTGGTAGGGCTTGCACATATCTTAATGGCACAACGAAATACACTGGCTGGGACCAATGTTCCTCCAGGTCCTACTATGCTAGAAAGATGGTTTGGATAGCCGTTAGACATAGATTACGTCTCTTACAGCTGTGTTAGAAATCTGTGGGCAAAGTCATACTTCTGGCGAATAAGGATATCCAGGGAGTAAGGTGCCACGCGTTTCCGGGGAAGTAAAGGAGATGGAAAAGGTCACTCCCAGAATTTGTCTTTCCAGACATAACCTGCGACAGTCCTATCTTAATACTGACATTATCCAAAAAACCGCTTCAGAGACGCCATGTGTGTGACCCGTCTCAAGCAGTTATCCCCTTTGACTCCACTTCCGCGGTGTAGGCAGACAGCCGGGCAGTAATAAGTGGGCACACACTTGCACGAGCACGCAAACAACGTCGTATTCAAGCTTATGTTGACATGACAGTTGTAAGATTGAGAACAATGATATAGGAATTAAATCAAAAATTAAGTATCTTGGACTTATTCTCTCTTCTGATCTCTGCTGGTCTTTCCATGTCTTAGCGATCTCCAGTAAAATGTTCCGCCAAACATTTTACATTGGGAAGTTAAGATACTCGGGTATAACTCAACCCCTCCTCTTACAGTTCATAAACTCTTGCATCCTACCCATTCTTCTTTATTGTTCACCCCCGCTTATTCTTTCCTGGTTTGCTGCTTAAAAAGGACTATGTCACAATTCGTAGAATGCTGAAGACTGTCAGTAGGGTGAGTGGTGTCCCAGTGAACCACATAGTTAACGTTGTTGTCGATAGGCACTTGACTTCGTGCAATAAATTTGCTAAAGGAATTTTGTCTGACTTGGAGCATCCGCTTTACCCTCAGCTTTCACTCTGCATCTCCTCAGGTAGAACAAGAAGTAACTTCAGAAAACTGTATGCTCGCACGTCTAAGTATAAAAATTCTATAATACCATACTGGGCACGTATTTTATGTGATGAAAATATTATCAGGCAAGAACTAACTAACCTTTTTTCATCTAGCAAATAAACAATTTCCTCCATCCATCCATCCTTATATACTTTCAAGTTTTACTTTATTATTTCTATGATATTTATGGTCCTGTTGCTTCTTGGTTTGTTTTACTCTCATAATTGCAAACACCAACTTATCTCCATGACGGCTGTAATCTTTGTTTCTCCCCTCACCATATTATCATGTAAAGAGAACATTATATTCAATATTTTTAAACATGTTAGGATTTCTATATCACATTGCCAATACTGTGTGACACAAGCCAACGGAAATTTTCACCTGTATTATTATTATTGTTACCTTAGCTGTTATCATTATTATTATTTCCACTTTATATGCTGCATGTTTTTGACATTACTTCTATTGTAAATGTGGAAAATTTTCTGTGTGATTAATTTTTATTTATAATTTGAGGAAATGAGATGCAATATTGTGATTAATGCTGAAAATTCCATTCTGTATCACAAGTACTGTTTTTGGAATATAGTAAATCATTATTATTATTATTATTATTAAACAGAAAATAATTAAAAAAAACGGAGAACAAAAAGGTGAGGTGATGAAAAAAGCAACAGTCAGTACACTCACATAAAAAACTTACCATCAAATAATGATAAAAAATTCTCTGGTTGATCCCGCAATGTATCAACAAATACACTCGGCAAATACTGATTCATAATGGCTTGTATCCGTCGTCCAAATTGTTTATTAATTAAACAGTGCGATAATAGGCGTACTGTAGCTTGACGATCTTGTTGTTGTGGTGAACTACACACCAGTTGGAGTAAATAGATTAAACCACCAGCATAGATAAATTCTTTCAGTAGAGTAGATGATGCTATTAAATGATCCACTGTTTGTACAAGAATAAAATGTGCTATAAAATGGAAGAAAAGAGGGAGAGGGGGTAAGAAACATCCAAAGATGAAGAAAGCAGAGGAAGATAGCGATATGAGACTGATATACGACTGATTAGATATCAAGTGAAGATGGTCTGTTTTCGACATAGAACTTTACACAAATGTGCGGAAGTTCAAGTCGCCACACTCCGTGTAGCACGCGAAGCAAGAGAAGAAAGTACAAGAAAAGCATAATACAAACAGTGAGCAGAGGTGTGAGACAAAGGAGTAATAAAGAAAAACAAAACAGTTTCATTGGAGATCATAAGTCACAGGGAGTGGATGCATCTGCGCCACTGAGAACGATTTTGAGCCATGTCACCAATTGTTTCCAACCATAGATTTTTACCGTCCCGAGGACCCCAGCCTGGAAGTCTACACCTTCCTACGTGGCTTAGACCAACTGTTGTGGATTTCATTGACTGGTGCCAAGTTTTTGTTTGACCGCCGCTAGCTTTTTTCCAGCTTGACCCTATATCCGCTAACATTGCTCGTCGAGGGAGGCGATGGCTTGGCATACGTAACACATGTCCTAACCATCTCAGTCTATGTAACTTCATAACCTCGTCGATTGATTTCCCCTGTTTACCTAGAACTCGACGCCTAACCTCAATGTTGCTCACCTTATTATGCCACTTTACACGGGAAATAGAGCGCAGGCACCTATGATCAAAGACAGCTAGTCTTTTCATGTCTTCCACTCTCAATGGCCAGGTCTCACAACCATAAAGGAGGACGGAGCGGACTGATGAGCAGTACACCCGCCCTTTGGTCGATAGTCGAACATCTCGTCTACGCCAGAGTCGGCGTAAACTGGCAAATGCGAAACGAGCCCCTTGTATTCGTGCTGAGATTTTGTCAGAGATCAGCCCGTTGGGGCTGATGGTACTTCCCAAATAAGTGAAGCGGTCAACGTGCTCTACCACTTCACTTCTTATTTCTAATCTAGGAGTCGATGTAGTCCAGTCCTGTAACATCATCTTGCATTTGGCGGGAGCGAAGTGAAGATGAGAGATGGATGTGAAGAAGAACATGATGGTAGACTACAATTCCTTAATGTTCAAATGAGCAGAAGACAGGATGGTTCACACTCAAGAGAGATGTCTACAGAAAACCTACATCTGTAGGACAACATACACATTGCCTCAGTTTTGTACCAATACGATACAAAGTCAATTTGGTCAGATGCTGCCTCACGAATAGACCAAGACGTATCTCTAAAGATGACTTTCTAGAAAATGTGTTAGGATACATCCTAAATACGCTGATCTAAATAGGTTATCCTAGTAGATTTGTAGGGAGACTGGCACATGGACACCACGTATAATAAAGAGAAACTGACAACAGTTTAAAACAAACAACTGTTCTTAAAATTGCAATTTAATAGGGACGTGGCTAGTAAAGTTTTACATGTAAGATTAGCAAGAGCAATAAAACTGACTTATACACCCACCAGCCTTTGTCTGTCATTTTCCAGTCGACCAATTATGGTTACTCAAACGAAAGACAAGCTACCTAGCTGTGCCACTTCTATGTGTACCTACAAATTTAGTTGTTATACATAGGGTGAACAACTAGACAGCTTAACATACGCACTACTGAGGATCTTCCCTCATGGTTCGGAAAAGGTCAAATAAAATCTATAAGAAGTTCTATTTTAACTCATTTGGTTGGTGAACAGTGGTCACCAAGTGGACAGAAGAAGAAGTGCCTTCAAAGTTATCTATCTCATTCCATCGAGTCTTTCGAACGGAATCAGAACCCGTCTTTTACACTTAGCCGAAGCTATGGGAATTAATTCGACAGAACCATCCTAGTCATCTTTGCATACAACAAAAGAAGAAGTTTGTTCTACGTTCGTCTCTCCCTTGCTTGGCGTAGGTGAATTCTATTCAAAACCCTCCCACCCTTTCTTATTTTCCATCTCCTTCGTATTTTTTATGATATTTATTCAAACTCTGATTATCTGTCCACTTCACCTTTAGTATTACGCAACTTTTAAGATTTGGCCTAATTTATTTATTGAATTGTCTGCATATACACATATCACTCACTACCTTTGTTATTCTTATCGCCACCTGCATAAACCTTATTATCAATATTTTGTTATCATTATAATCATCGTTATTAATTTCGTTCAAAACATTTACCACATTATTATTATTTGATCCACAAAATCGCCGTCATTGGTTAACAATTTTTTATTTATAAGTCTATGTAAATTAGAGTAAAGCCTGCAGAAGATCTGATTGAAAACAACAATATTGTTCACATATATGTTTGTCTAACACACCTCCTGTTTAACTCAGACCACTTTGTACTAGCCACTCACTCACCTGACACCTTTTATAACCTTGAACTGATCTGTCAATTTTCCTACCCTACACTCTACAATTCTATTATGATTAATCACCAACATTGTCTCCCGTTTTACAATATTTTGGTAATCGATTTCAGCCAACTAGCACGTTTGTCACACAAATATGACTATTTATTTGACACCCCATAACTAAACTGTTATTCTACGTTAAAAATGTATCCGCCGCATATCTGGCTATCTTTATTGTAACGACCACAAATATTATATTTTATAATTGTAAGAACCTGAAGAGGAGAAATTATTGAAAGAAATATTCTTCGTTCAGATTGACTTTTAATAAAAGCAGACTAATATTTATAAGTCTGAGGTCCAATTTTGATCGCAGCTCATACACTTTTAAAACAATTAGTCCCTTTTATAAATTTTGATAGCGTTATTAGAAGACGGAGACTATCTGAAAAATGTGATCTATTTGCGCCGTACATTTCGAACAATCTGATCACACATTTACTTGTCAAGTCAATATATATAAAGTGAGAGAAAACGGAATTAAGAATAATTAACACAAACGTTTGGTAATCCAATCAAATAAGGATTACCAAGGTAGGTTACGAGTAATGACGAACTGTTTTTGAATATACAAGGGGGGCTTAAGTCTATGAATAGCTATAGCCTCAGCGTATTTCAGTAAACGCCCTTGACCGTTTTTATAGATGACCTTAAAGGCTGAGTTAACATCAATCTTATGGTTCATCTCGATTAGGTGTTTAGCTATAGACGAATTTGGTAGTCTGCCACCTGCATCTATTAGCTTGTCACAATTCACCTGTTTTTCTAACCATTTTGGGATATGCTCTCCCACCCTCACGTGCAAAGCGCGATTACTCCTCCCTATGTATGTATGTCCACACACACACACACACACACGAAAATTGGTAAATTGTATGGGATGTGATATAATCACTTGTGCACTTTTGGGGTTTACAGTGAAGCATATTTACACATTTGCTTATTATACATGTTGATACCTGTTTCATGACTCATGTGATTGGAAAAAGTTTTTAAAAACAAGAGTAGGCCGGCTGAATGGTATACGAGCTTGCCTTGTAACCGGAAGGTCCTGGGTTCGAAACCCAGTGGGTGCGTACTGCCGATGATTCCCAAACTAGGATGAAACAGCAGCTGTCCAGTACTCCCTGGTTTTCAATGGTTCTCTAACTGATATCAATCCGTGATCAACTCGTAAAACATAACTAATCCTTACAAACCAAAACAATAGAAAACAAGAGATGTCCTTTTTCATACATAAATCTCCGCTGTTAAGTTAATTTCGATGAATTTCCCTAAAGATGTTCGGATCAGTTTACCGAACACAGGAAACGTTGGAATTACTCATTTCAGTTTCGGTGAGATTTTAAAAATATAATGTTTACAAATGGCTACTTCTCACTCGGCGCCCAATTATATTTTGCAAACTATTCGGTCAAGTCTTGATCACAGTTTACGTAACTGTTTGTTCATTACAGCACACTAGCTGCTGCTCAGTTGAGTTCTCTGTCAACCCAAGGTTATCACAGATGGTTTTATCATCAGATGACAATATCATTTTTATTTATTTATTTTTGATTACAGCTTGATTCCACACCGTATTTTTTGGTACAAGTATGGAATTTTCAGCATGGATATCGGTAGCCCAAATTTTGCAGGCCGACCATAGATATCAGGTGTGCGTCAGTGTGGACTCCGGTTTGAATCTCTCCACAACTTAGATATACAATTCACCTTCATTGATTGTCATTCGATTCACCTAACTGGTTCATAATTCGATAATCCTAACACTCATATATATATATATATTTGTCGCCTTAATCCCAACACAACTTTAGTGCAATTTGATTCGGATCTTATGTTTAGGGTTTCAACGTTAAGATTTATAGGTAATTTAACTGATTACAACAAGTAAGATTTCATCGCGAATCAACACACACTTGAGATAATTTTAACCCACTATTCATTTGTAACTGTGACTACAGAAGATGAGATTTCCCGGAGTTATGATGCGAAGCTTCATGACATATGAAGTCGACTGAAGGAGGAGGAGGAGGAGGGGGGTGGCGATACATATCGTCAGTTGGCAGACGTTAGAATTCATGGACTCTTGAATTCCGCGTCCAGGTGGTTAAATGATCAACGGACTCACCCAGTAACCTGAATATTCTGAGTTGAGTCTCTAGTGGTGTTAAGCATATGTAACGGTGAAGAATTTTGAACTAAGGCGAAACAGCTCCTCAGTAGTACTCCATAGCTTTCATTAATAGTTTTCCAGCTGATGTCAGTTAGTTAGTTAGCGGTGAGACCTATTTGAGACAGCTGTCGGTGGTTGGCAAATTACCAACTGAAATAATGCGTGATATGACTGAGTGTGTATTGAAAATCCAGGCCATGGAAAGGTTTGCAAACATCGGTTTCCAAACAACTATTTCGACGAGCTACCACCAAACGAGCTTCGAAAGCCGACTGATCAGACACCAGATTAGTAACTCAGGTGACCCAAGAGTGTTTTGAGTCCTGCACGCTAGTCAGATTTTCATTTCACACTCATTTATTCATCGCTCATGGCATGAAAGAAAAGAAGCATTCCAGTAAACACTTACTAAATTACTTACTTACCTCGTGGGAGTATAAAAAATAATACAACCAATGATGTTAGTAATTGTGATGCTGCCATATCTTCAAGGCACTGTGGATTGGTTGAAACAGACTGAATAACCTGAATAAGTACAAAATGAAGAACATTATATATTTTTTCAAGAAGTATTGGTTTTGTAGGGATTTTGTGTTTGATTGCATAGAGGACTTCATCATGATGAGCTGATACCAGTGTTAGAGAACCAGTGGAAAACCTGCAGGGAGTACTGGACAACCAGCTGTTTCGTCAGTCTAGTTTGGGACTCTTCATCAGTACCCACCCGCCGCCACGGTTCGAACCTTCTGGTTACAAGGCTAGCGAGCTCGCAGACCGCTGAGCCACTGGGACCCCATCCAATGGTCCTTGAATTCTAACTTCTGATGGTCACTAGCAACTGGCCCTATTCAGGCGGCTAACCTGGGGTTCTAATGGGAAGCCGTGATCAGTAAGGTACAGCAGGTTGAAGATGAGGCAGTAACTCATCGAAGAAGACACAGCGAAATGGTCACGCTATGCCGTGAACTGGCAGAAGTTAGAAATCATGGATTGGCGATTGAATCGGGTCCCAGTGGTTCAATGGTCTACGAGCTCGCCTTGTAACCAGAAGGTGCTGGGTTCGAAATCCGGTGGGTGAATACTGATGAAGGGTCCGAAGCTAGGACGAAACAGCTGTTCGGTACTCCAAGGTTTTCCAATGGTTCTCCAACCAATGTCAGCCCATGATGAAATCCTCCGTTCAATATATATATATATATATATATATATATACATATATATGCTCGGTTCAATATAATCAACCAGTGACAACTGAAATCTGTTGCACACGATTTGGTTCTCAGAGTCTGAAGGATAATGTTGTAGCGTTTGGAACGATAACTGACGCTGGATTTGAGTCGCAATGTGGAAAGCTTCACACATTGGGGGGGGGGGGGATGCAAGTACATCCATTAGCTGATGATAAGTGCCAAATTTAGGACAAAAAACAACACACACTGGAGTCCACTACGGCTAGTCACCTCCAACCAAATAATATTATATTACTGTGATTGGACACTAGTAATTATTTCTTTATTATAGCTTGACTCCACACAGTATTTTTGATACAAGTATGGAATTTTCAGCATGTGATATCGGTAGCCCAAATTTAGCAGGCCGACCATGGATATCGGGCGTGCGTCGGCCGGGGATCGAACCTCGGACCATGTGAATGGTCGTCGGCGAGCGTACTAACCACTGTGCTACCGATGCACAGTTAGTGTGATGTGTCTAGTCCTATCTTTGGTGCAGACTGAATTCTATCAGTCAGGTTTGCAATGCGGCATGCCACCATGCCACTAGGTAAGTCAGTGGTAACGTCTCTGACTGACTGCAGTACTCACTGGGTAACGCGGGTTCGATTCTCAGAAGAGGGATATGAGTTCCTTTAAGGTTGCAGGCACACCTCGCTGACTGACTGGTGAGTGGCAACTAGCACGAGACCTAGGTCAAGTGGGGCTTCCTGTGGCCGATTGCCTGCAACCGTCTAATATCATCAAATATTATTACTGTGTTAATAAGATGTTGACTCTTTTTACAACTTCAAAAAGATCAGTTATTGTCTGTTATATGAGTAGCTTTCAGTTACCAAAAGAAAATCACGGTGAGATGTCATCTAAGGTATGGCAACATTTGCAAAATAATATCTGCGCTACACACTACAGGATTGGCTTTTGAATCTATCAAGGCAAAGTTAAACTTTAAGCACCACTAACTACCACCAATCAGCAAATGACCTCGAACGCAACAGCCATGTGAAAGAGGCATTTTTGTGTCTGGAATACAAATATTTATGAAAACAAATGCAAGCTGTAATCAAAAATCAAAAATAAATAATAAAAACTGTATAAAAGTGTTATAGAGGATACCCTCCTCTCACATGTGATAAAAGTAGCTCTCAGTTTTAGATTGGAGTATCAACAGAGTATAATTCCATTGTGGGTAAAATTTATTTTGATAAAGTTTCATAGTGTAATACAGAAATATTTTGCTGAGCAATAAATTGTGCCCGAAACATCATCAGTAAATATTACTGTATAACACCACTGTGAGTGTAAGATCAATTCAATTTCCATCCTTGAATCAAGTCAACCTGTCCCGGATCAGTCTAGCGTTGTTGCAACCCAATTATCCATGCCTAAGCTGTCTATCCCCTCTTGTTCAATGAACTGTGTATATGTGTTTTTACCTCGATCCGTTTAGTCAGACAGTTGAACTCATGACTCAATCAGAGTATTTTGTGAACTGTTATTTTTGCTGACCCATGTCTAACTTTGTACTATTCTGTCGAGTTTATCTTATTTATTGATCTTCATCTGTATCTTCCTACCTGGTTAAGTAGCCAATTAAATTCTATCTTTGTGCCTATGCTCTGTCTATCTCTTAACCGCTCTCTGTTTTATGCCATGCCTTACTTGGGTTCATTCTTCTACTGACTGCTTACCTGAACGGTCGTGTCTGGTTCCGGCTAGTTCGCAATTTTGGCTTTAACGTTATTCTGCTCTGATAGCGGTACTTTGCTTTCTGTTAAGCGTTGTGCTTTGTACTCTTGAAACCGTTAAGGTTTGTTGTATATATAATTATTGATTTGTTTACTAATAGTACCGTAGAAACAGTGACCGGCTTCTTGTTTGTTCTGGACCGGGAGAGCCTTTATCAACGAGTGACTAAATTTCAAGCGATATTGCGCTTATAGTGAGACTTAATCAAAATAAATATACCCACAATGGAATTATACTCTACCACCATAGTGCACAAGTTCAATTCTTATATCATCAACAGAGTAATTTAACCACATTCTATGCATGTAATTATTTGCGTCTTCTAACACTAACAATAACCCCAATCTTTCCTGAACCTAACCTTAAAATGAAAATATCCCTAAACTAACTGTAATCTGACTCGAACCAACCTTGATGTCGCCTTTATTAGGCTAACCTAACCTTGACCTGTCCTTGGCTTTAAGCCTAACTTAAACTTTCCCAAAATAAATAAGCTGAAACTTGCCAGATATCCTGTTGAATAGCATAACACTTCGAAAAGCATACTTTATTGATGATGACACAACATTATTTTTCAGGTTTCACTAATTTGCCCAGTGAGCGCTTCAAGGTCATTAGTGTGGTAGCACTCCATTTGGTAGTTAGTGGTGCTTAAAGTTTAACTTGGCCTCTATCAATCCTCAGTTCATATCACTTGCATGGAAACTGTAAAATATATTAAATGACAACAAATGTTGCAACAACCAAATGAAAGAGTGAACCAGACGACGTTCCAGCGGTAGAATACTCGCCATCGCGTACGTCGTCCAGGATTTTATTCCCAGTAGACGTACTACTACCAAACCTCTCCCAGTTTACTAGTCAGTCGATAGTAAGTCCGATAAAGATGGAAGGTTGGGTGTGAGACGAACAACAACCTCACCACGTAAAAAAAACTAAACACCACCTCTATTGAATACTTCAAGTTTTGTAAGTTTGAAGCATTTTATTCTACTCGAAATGCACAAGAAGAAGCGAGGAAATCAAATGGAAGAAAGTTAATCCAAAACTTACATCTAATGCACGCAATTGAATTTCAGGATGTTCATGAAGGTCAAGTATTGAGAATAGTAAAGAGAAATGACCTATGCATTGGATATCTAGACCTGTTAAGAAATCAAGGGGGAGGGCATTAAAAACATAAAAGGTGAATGGTTAATCGATGTGTGTACAGTAAAACACAAATGATAGCACAGACTAATACAGACACGAAAACGTGATTTGCATAAATCGTTTGTAATGTGTATTCGCGCAACACATTTCCAACAATCTGATCACACACACACACACACACACACCAACTTGTCATAGGAATATATACAAAGTTAGTAAAAAGTTAAGAGGTGAGAAAATAGACTACTTAGGTCAAGTTAAAAGGCCGCCATATTCAAGGTAATAGTACATTTACCCTAACTGGTATCAAAATAAAGTTAACTAAGGACGATTTAGTGTGGTGAAGACGAATTATTTTTGATGAACGCATAAAGGTGGTTTAAACATCCTAGTTGCTAGCCAGGGATTCCACAAACTTTAGGATACACCCCAAACACGTTTTATGGATAGATAGATAGATAGATAGATAAGTTTAAAAGACATATAAACATCAATGTTATATCCTGTCTCTATAATATGTTTCACGGTAGAGGAGCTAGGTCGTTGTCTGTTCTCACCATTAATGGGTTCTGGGGATTCTATGTACTTCTGAAGCCATTTATTGGGATATGCTCTGAAGGCAGACCTTACTTGCAGAGATCGATGTATGTGTGTCTACATGTACATTCAAATTGGTAAATACAGTGGGATGTGACATCATTTTACGCATGTTCGAAGGGCTTACATGGATGGATATATTGGCTTCATATTTTCAATTATTGTCATACTACCTGCAAAAGAGATTGAAAGCTGATGTTAAGAAGACTTTTCATGCAGCTAAGATCGTAATGATTGAGAATATGAAGCCAATATATCCATCTAAGCCCTTTGAACACGTGAAAAATGATGTCACATCCCACTGCGTTTATCAGTTTGAATAAACATGTGACCACACATACGCATGGGGAGGACTTATCGATCTCTGCAAGTGAGGGTTGGCTTCAGAAGCAGATAGAATCCCCAGAACCCATTAATGGTGAGAACAGACGACTTAGGTCCTCTATTGCGAAACATATTATAGAGACAGGATATAACATTGATGTTTACATGTCTTTTAAACTTATCTATCTATCCATAAAACGTGTTTGGGGTGTATCCTAAAGTTCGTGGAATCCCTGGTTAGCAACTAGGATGTTTAAACCATCTTTATGCGTTCAAAAATAATTCATCATCACACTAAATCGTCCAGTCAGAGTAGATGTACCACTACCTCTGTTATTCGGTTTAGTGATCTTCATTGTTATTTTGACGTTCAATATGGCAGTCTTTTAACGTGATCTAAGTAGTCTATTTTCTCACCTCTTGACTCATTATTAACTTTGTATATATTCCTATGACAAGTTGGTGTGTGTGTGTGTGATCAGATTGCTGGAAATGTGTTCCGCAAATACACATTACACACGATTCAGACAAATTCTTATTGCTTTGTCTAACTAAATTCATAAAGGTAACTGATTGTTTTAATATACATGAGTGAAGTGTTTGGAGAGGTGATTAACTGAAAATCTTTCACCTAGGTTAAATACTTACTTGCACTCGTCAGCGTAGCGTATCTATAACCTCAAATGAGGAAGGGAGCTAATATCCCCCAGAGAGATTCGAATACAAGAAGTTATCCAGTAATACAGTGAGCAACTTTCTTACTGAGCTTTTCCAGCTGACAACTGACCTACTTACTCGTTAAGACTGCAACGGATAATACTGATTGTTTGTTTATTAATGTGTAACCAATATCATATACCACAAATCCTTTGAAGTTGATGATGTGCCTTGTTGTGACAAATACGAATATAGACGTGAAACGTGTATCCAAAACTGCTTCCCAATTACATGCAACTATGTGAAATCAATTCAAACTGCACCCTACTTAATGACAACATATTTCAAATTTGATTGATGCAATTCAATCAGTACCAATACACACTAAGGACTAGACACACATGATACTGGTTACTGGTTAATTACTAGTGAATAATATTAATGTATATTATTGAACTGACGAGGACATCAAAGCCAGAGTCGGAAAAGCAAGACAAGCTTTCATTACTTTTAAGTCTGTGTGGAAGTCAACAGCCCAGCTCAGCATGAAAACGAATATAAGATCCGGATTGTCAACTCCAATGTGAACTCAGTGCTACTCACTATAAGGATCTTGGCGAGTGCGTCATAAAGAGCACCTCAAACACACTACAGGCCTTCATTAACAGCTGTCTTCGCTCAATACTCAAGATCAGATGACTGGCCAGAAAAGATCAGAAACAGGGATCTCTGGAAATGAGTGAACTAACCGCAGGAACCGATTGTGCAACAAATATACAGGAAGAAATGGAGGTGGATTGGATTGGCTACACTCTGAGGAAACCATAAAGTGACATCACTAGAGGAGCCATTGCTCTAGTGGAACCCGAAAGGGAAGCGGCGAGTTGGTCGTCAGTGCCAGGATGACTTGGAGGAGGAAGTGATGTGAAGAGGAGATGGAAGCATGTGGGCGGCAGACTTGGAGCGGGGTGAAAAAGTCGGCAGAAAACCGAAGGCAATGGAGACGCGTGGCTGAAACCCTATGTTCCTCTAGGAATTAAAGGATATAATTAATAATAGTAATAATTGAAATAATATTGTAATCTGGAGTTAAATTAGTATTCACAGTGTTATGGCTTCACAAACTATGCGCATATTTTATTTTATGCTCATACCAGTAAACACAAAATGCGATAACATGGCCATGAGATCACATATGGTGTTATCGAGACCCATTATTGAGCATCGTCAGCAAACAACCATTAGGAATTAAAGAATTCGTGCAAAAGACGCCTGATAAAAGAAATATTTCTGGGTTTTTTTTTCTTTCATGCTCCCGGTCGAAGATAGGGCTTCAAGCTAGAGGCTTGAATTCTTTGTAACAGTGTTAATGTTTACAGAATGGATTTGCTAGTCTCATGCCCAAGCCTTCCTCTTCACCCGCATTGTTTCTGTCTTAGCGAGGTAAAGGAGTGAGTCGATGGCCGGGGATCGAACCATAGACCATATGCATGGTCGGCGAGCATCCTAACCGTTGTGCCACCGATAATTCATAGTTTACAACTTGATAAAATGTTTCACAATCCAGTTGAGGAGGAGAAATTGGCAATTTGAACGAAGAATATTCCTTTCAATAATTTCTCCTCTTCAGGTTCTTACAATTATAAAATATGATATTTGTCGTCGTTACAATAATGGCCAGTTAGTCATGCGGTGAATACATTTTTACGTACACTAACAGGCTAGTTATCATAGGATGACAAAATATAAATAGTCGTATATGTGTGACAAACGTGCTAGTTGGCTAAAATCGATTACAAAATATTATGAAATCGGAGACAATGGTGGTGATTCGTAGGATGTTGTGGGGTAGGAAAAATTGACAAGTCAGATCAACGATATAAAAGGTGTCAGGTGGGTGAGTGGCTAGTACAAAGTTGTATGCATTTAAATAGGAGGAAATAGTAAGACTGCAATGAGAGGTTCATCGTGAAACAACCAATGTGTGAAATGAAACAGATGGAGGCATATATTGAGAAAACAGATAATATCACTAATAATAAGTTCGGATAGTATAAATGAAAATTCGATAGTATTGAGAGAATGTTTGCATGAAGGGTATACATTATGGCGAATAATAATAAGTGTAATAGCAGGCGTAGAGAAACACAAAAACACCAAGAGGGTTAAGTAGCTATTCAGTGTTCACCCAGTAACTCCAAGATATCTTACCTAACCTTGGCTCTTCTTCATGCATATACCATTTCAACTCTTCCTGTAGTCCAATTTATATTGGGCGGACGATTGGGCAAGTTCGCCTTAGGGGTTCAAGAACAGCTACTAGTTTGGTTAAGCACGAGGGGGGGGGGATTAAGTGCATAAAAAGCTGGGGTTATATGCCGGATTCCGAAGTCGTTATCACGTACAGTGCGCTTACGTCTCCTACACAGATAGCTGAAGCTGTTGCGATAAGATTGAGTAAATCGGAACTTTTTATCCAAAAAGAATACGTCTAGATGCTGCTCCAACTGTGGCGAAACTTGGAAACTTTGTGTTTCTCTTTGCCTACTATTCCACTTATCATTATTATTCGTCATAATTTATACCCTTCATGCAAACAATCTCTCAATACTATCGAATTTTCATTTATACTATCCGGATTTATTATTAGTGATATTATCTGTTTTCTCAATATATGCCTCCATCTGTTTCATTTCACACATTTTGGCTATTTCATGATGAGCCTCTCATTGCAGTCTTACTATCTCCTGTTTAACACAGACCACTTTGCACTAGCCACTCACTCACCTGACACCTTTTATATCGTTGATCTGACTTGTCAATTTTTCCTACCCCACAACATCGTACGAATCTATTATGACTCACTAATCACCACCATTGTCTCCGATTTCATAATATTTTGTAATCGATTTCAGCCAACTAGCACGTTTGTCACACAAATACGACTATTTATTACTGATCTGTTATTCTACGTTGAAAAGAATGTATCATTATTGTAACGACAAAAAATATTATAATTTCTATAGTTTTTGGTTTTTAAGGGTTAGTTATGTTTGTACGAGTTGATCACGGTTTCATACAAGTTAGAGAACCATTGAAAATCAGCCACAGGGAGTACTGAACAACTGCTGTCTCATCCTAGTCTTTTGGAATCATCGGCAGTACGCACCCACTGGGATTTGAACCCAGGAACTTCTGGTTACAAGGCAGGCTAGTATACCATTCAGCCGCTGGGACCCGATTCAATGGCTAATGAATTCTAACTTCTACCAATTGGTACACGAGCTGGCCTTGTAACCAGAAGGTCCTGGGTTCGAATTCCAGTGGGTGCGTGCTGCCGATGATTCGCAAACTGGGATGAAACATCAGCTATCCAGTACTCCCAGTGGCTGGTTCTCAATGGTTCTCTAACTGATATCAATCTGTGACCAACTCGTAAAAAAATATTATCATTTTATAATTGTAAGAACCTGAAGAGGAGAAATTATTGAAAAGAATATTCTTCGTTCAGACTGACTTTTAATTCATGTGTCATGGGAATATTTCACACTCTATTAAATCTAATTATGTCAAGTTAACCTGAGAAAAATTTCAAAAACGAGATAATTCAGTGAAAATGAAGGCAGTGTCGATTACAAACAGATAACCGAAAGTTTCACAATAAGAATGGACTGTATTAATAAGCTTTCTGCGAATGTGCACAGCTGACAGTGTCACGTAGAAAATCTTTAAGAAAAATAAAGCGATTGAAATTGAAATTAAAAAATGTATAACGCATAACAGGATTTCCTTCTGTAACATTTCTGGTAAATCAGTCATCCGAATACGCAACAATACAATATTCGGATGCCGAGGTTAAACATTTGGTTGGTAGTGGCTAGACATAGGAAGCAAGAAGGCGCACTCCACGTACTTGTATCCATAGTGAGTGACGTTGTTCCCATTATCCCTTGAAACCAACACACTTATCGTTTCCACACACACACACACACACAGTGAAGCAGTATTAACAACTGGATGACAAGGTTTTGAGCATATATTATTGATCATAATCATATCAAGGTACGTTCCTTCTTTATACGCCAGTCTCCAACTTCCTTGTCGCATAAAGAAGGAAAGTCATTGGCTGCCTGGTGCATGTTGGTCTTTTTCTGTTTGCTCGGTTAGTCTGTGACCACTTCACTTGTATGGACTTGTCTCCTTTATAATGTGTATTATATTAATAAATAGAGTGTTTGTTGACAGTCCGTTGTGGGACATATATTCATATATGTTGTTGACATGTCTGCCAATTCGCTATGTTTGGATCGACACTCCATTATAATTAGCCATTCATGTAAGACTGTCTAATGATTTTTCCCACGCTTGTTGAATATATATATTCGCATTCACAATTGACTACTTTACTTTACAACTGCTTTACTTACTTACCACTTTGGTGTGAGACCATTTATTTTCGTCTCCTTGTGTTGGACAATAGAAGTATCCTTACTTAGAATTCTCAATGAGGCTGGAATTATTCGGGGGTGACATTTCAACCAACCAATTCACTCAGACATAAACTTTATCGGCTTAAGCACCAGCCCGATAGATCCAATTAGGAAAAATAATACAATTCGCCAAATAGTATGTGTAACGCAGACTGTGAGGTCAATTAAAGCATAGGTCAAACCAGTAGATCAAGCAGGGTTTACTAGATTAGTGAAGCACAAAAATCTAGCTAGACCTAGAATAATTGATCCTACTAAGTCAAATAACTTAGAAAAAACAGGGCTCAGCAGTTGCACTGCATTCCCTAGCATGCAATCACAAAAATAGGGTGGGTGGGACAGGGTGAGAGTATTAAAAAGTAATATAGTTGGGTGATAGGAGATAGGGCGAGGTCAGTCACTGACTGAGGCTTTGTTTATCGACTCAACACCACGCACACATGTGCTATCGGAATGACGCGACGCAATGCCTGTACCAGAGACATAGAAAGTGGCAACAAACAACATAGGAAAGTTGGAGAGACATAAAGAGAGAGTATATGCATAAGACAAATTGTGAAGCTGTGTCACTAAACTGATATGTCCCAAGCAAAATACTAAGCCGCATCATCCTGGAGAGAATCAAACAAGCCAACCTGGATGAAAATCTTCGACCGGAACAAGCTGGATTCAGGAGAAACAAGTCATGTATTGATCAAATCGCCACTCTACGGATCATCATTGAACGGAGCTTAGAATGGCAGTCACTTCTCTTTCTCACTCAACTGCATCGACATTGAAAAGGCCTTCGACAGACAGAGTCAGTCGGGAGGTCATTTGGAAACTTACTTCGCTACTACGGGGTGCCCCATCGACAATTATACATCTCATTCAACAGTTATACGACAATGCTGAATGCCAAGTAATCCACAACGGGAAACTTACCGAAGCCTTCGAAGTAAGAACGGGAGTAAGGCAAGGCTGTCTACTATCGCCAATGATCTTCCTGATTGCAGTAGATTAGATAATGAGACAGACAACGGGAAATGAGGAAACAGGCATAAAATGGACTTACACAAAAAACTTGGAGGATCTGGACTTCGCCGATGATATATATCTGATTTCCCACAAACTGGAAGATATGCAAGTGAAAAGCAACAAGTTGGCGGTAGAAGAAGCATCCAGAGCAGATAGGACTTCAGGTGAACATAGAGAAGGTGGAGACAGAGGTGATGACGATTCCTGGTCAACAACAACAGCAACAACAACAGACAACAATCAGCCAGCATAAATGGGAGGAACCTGAAAGAAACAACCTCCTTCACCCACCCACCTACCTGGAAACATCGTTTCAACTACAGACCAACGGAACTGACGACGATATCAAAGCAAGGATCGGGAAAGTTGGACAAGCTTTCATTTCTCTGAAGTCTGTGTGGAGATCAACTCCTCAGCTCAGCATGAACACGAATATAAGATCCGGATTTTCAACTTCAATGTGAACTCAGTGCTACTCTTCGGATCAGATACACGGCACATCATAAAGAGCACATCAAACAAACTAAAGACTTTCATTAACAGCTGTCTTCGCTCAATACTGCTCAAGATCAGATGGCCGGCCAGAAAAGATCATCAACAGTACGGGATCTCTGAGAGCGAACCAACCCAGCAGGAACCGATTGTGCAACAAATATGAAGGAAGAAATGGAGGTGGATTGGATTGGCCATACTCTGAGGAAACCAGCAAGTGATATGATATATAATGATAATAATAATAATTTATGCTCGAAACATCATCCACTTGTTAATACTGCATCATCACTGTGTCATTTTTAAAATAAACTTACCTCGTATGGAATTTCTAGAAGTCTGGTACTCAAATGAATTAGAGGCCAATAAACATACAACTATTCAAGTGTTGGTTTGTAGGGATTTGGTAGATTGGTTACAGGATTTAATCATGAGCTGGTATTGGCTAGAGAGTCATTGGAAAACCTGGGAGTACTGGACAGCTATATAGAGCAACCGCTAGCCGATGTCTTCGGCGAGTATTCGTCCCCACACCCGACCTGCTGCACCCTACTGGTCACGACTCCCATTAGAACCCCAGGTAGCGCTATATCGTGAATTGGCAGAAGTTAGTATTCATGGACTGGCCATTGGATCGGGTCCCAGTGGCTTAATGGTATACGAGTTCGCCTTGTAGCCAGAGGGTCCTGGGTTCGAACCCTGATGGGCGCTTACCGCTGAAAAGTCTCAAACTAGGGCGAAACAGCTGTCCAGTACTCCCGGGTTTTCCGATGACTCTCTAACCAATACCAGCTCATGATGCAATCCTGTAACCAAACATACGACTGTGGACCAAGTCTACCAACCAATAAGAAGCAAATCACATGACGAGAAAGACAAATCGCAAGTCAATAAAAGGGATCAATATAGACGTAAATTAACAACAACTAGTCAGCACAATGGTTATCAGGAGATACAAGTAAATATCATTTATACAGAGAGAATGCGAATAAGTTCATTTGATACTAAGACCTGCACTAAAGATGTTGTCGAGGTGGGTGGGGGATAACAAAAGCCTCGCAATTAAATCAACCGGCTCCTCAGAGAGCACAATTTCACTTTAGAAAAATATAAAATCACAACTGAACAAAAGAAGACAACAAAGGAAGAAAATCAATTAACCAACCTACCAGTATTATGACGTATTACATTTGTTAATGCTTCCAATGCAGACGTGACATTCATTACACATTGACTGGTAATATGTGAAGCTTCTGCAGCCCAATCAATTTCACCATCATCATTATCTAAGCTAACTGGATCATCAATAGAGATGACTTCTTCTTCTCCTCCTCCTCCTTTTGAAGTGAATTCCAACTCTGAATTAACACGATTTGTTCGAGATAGCTGATCACTGGAGTAGAGTTTCTCGGAATTGAGATTTTGTAATTCAATTGTTAGAAATTGAAACAGATCAATTATGAAACCTTTAGGATCCTGAGGAAAAAAAACGTTTAGAGAAGAAGTGAGAGGGAGGGGTACTATATAAAAATCTACACTGGATTTTAGTATATTATAACAAGTAACACTACTAAACGTAGAATTTCTGAACACCATCCACATTTGCGTTAGGCAAAAGACCAAATACAGGAAATCAACTCCACACTAACCACCTCTGTCATGCTCCAAGAGTTTGATTGTTACATGCTACAGAGGGAATCTGAATTCAACTGAATATAAGCCAAATCTAGGTGTTCAAAAGAAATTTGCACATCTCCTTTATTTGTCTTCGCTGTCCACCTAATGCTGTATACACACTGCAGAAATGGTCAACAGAAGACTGAGAACGTCACTAACCAGAGCCTATCCTGCAGTTAAGTTGGTTCCCGTCCATTGAACAACATGCTCTTTGGTGCAGTCAAAAGTCGTTAGATACTCTTCTCATGTTAACTCCAACTGTGTATACAAATTTATGTGTATCTGTGGGAGCAGTCTCATTGGGAGAACAGAAAGAAGGGCACACCTCCGATTTTCTGAACATGTGCCGAAAAGTCTACGTCTCAAGGGAACAAACTGTTATAGTAGCGCTATTACCAGACATCTCCTCGACACGGGTCATGAGATGGAAATTGAGAAATCCTTCAGAATTATCAATAGGCAAAGGAGCTCCTCAAGTTTGCTGAAGCAAATTCTATCAAACGATTGAAACCAGATTTATGTGTTCAGAAAGAAGCAGTTATTAGTCTTTCCTTGCCCGTCCTGGTAACTGGATGTCTTTATTCTGTCTTTCATTTGACTACATAATCTTTGGCTTTAACCTCACCCCACTTTTATAATCTGTAATTTTGTTTGTCTCTTGTTTCTAAGATTTGAGTTGAACTCAGTATATTGTTACCTAATTAGTCACTCTGCCTCTTACGCATCTCTCGTCTATATTACGTAACTTCTTCACCGTTGTATGCATACAATTATTTTGTTTAAGCTAGAACTGCCTGTGTAAAAACTATATAAGCACAATTTTCTGAGCAATGTTCACTAATTGTGGAACTTTCTGTCAACTGACAACATGTAAAATCTGCAAGTATGTTAAAACTTTTCTGTACGTAAACCTCATAATTTATTCAGGCTGTAAGTGGCAGCTGATGAGAAGCCAACGAAATAAATGAAGGATGGTACCATATTATTCTGCAAAATCCACACTGTTGTTCTAGCTTTATTCAAATTAATCAAGGGGAATAATTGCATGAAATGTATACACAGTCGTACGAATGATCTTTTCCTTTATTCCTACAGTGATCATAATAACCGATAACTTCATTGTGGACAAAATATTTACAAAAAGTACAAACTTCTCAGCATAATTTATTGCGCAATACATTTCCTCTTCATTCAAGATCTCCAAGTATAGTAGCAATCGATAGTATATCATGTGAAGCAATGTTGATCCATCTAAAGCACCAACCAATCAATAATCGCCTTAGGATATTTCTCCTTCATCACCGCAAAGTATTCACCAAAAGTTAGAAAAAACCAATCGAAAGTATGCATAGGTACATTCTGAGACTCAAGGACATCGTTGAATGGTTAAAACAAATATGATGCATTGTGTGTGTGTGTGGATGTTGGATAGAGATTCTCATGTAGGTCAATGATTCAAGCTAGTTCAGTTGACTTATTCGTATACTGATTTTTTTTAATGCTATTATCACCTAATTATTCATTCATTTATCACATTCATCTTAGTTAGTATTATTTTACAAATTATCGGTTATGTAATAACCCGTTGTTACTAGCTGAATAGTCTTGATTTCATATGGTTGGAGGCGATCAGCAGGAACCCCCCCCCACCTGACCTACATTTCGTGCTAGTGGCCACTTACAAGACAGCTAGGCATATTTGAAATCTTTAAGTTCCTCCTCAGATTCGAATTAGTGTCACCCAGTGCTGTAGTCAGAGAGGTTACACCACTGAGCTATTCAGGCTATTCAGACTCGCTACTGACCTTTTGTAGGATTGTATTATATAATTTGATTGAACAGTAGGCAGTATGTGACTACTAGTGTCATGTGTATAGCATGGTGGCCACAGCAAACGAAGGTCTAGACGCATGACACTACTTAGTGCTCAGTCAAAGTATCTAATCAGTCCTACACGGAGTGCATCACGAGCACGAATATAGTACAGTGGTAACGTCTCTGACTGCAGACTGTACTGGGTGACGGGGGTTCGAACCTCAAAAGGGACGTGAATTCCTTTAAAATTGCAGTTACGCCTTGCTGATGATTGGTGATTACCAACAACCACGGAGCCTGCCGACTGCCTCCAACCATCTAATAACAACAAATCAAAGTGCACTGTGATGGCGAGCCACCTAGTGGCATGATGGCCACACACTGCAAACTTGACTGGCAGATTTCAGTCGGCAGCAAACAAAGGATAAGACGCATGATGCTAGTTACTAGTGTCCAATCGAAGCAGTCTTGATTTCCTTAATTATTTTTATTCTTGCCATGTCTCAAAATTGATATTTTTTATTTACTAACACCTCACTGTATGATTGGTACAATTTTGATGAGGAACTAACTGAATAGGGGTGCATTTCTTCACTGTATTGATTGACTTTCTTAAAAGGAGCAAATCGTATACGAGTGACAATAAACCACATGTATTTTGTGAGAACTGACGGTACTACACATGATGACTTAGAGAACTTGAGCAAAGATTTAAATGTATTATCCACTTTCTGAAGGTTAAGTGAGTACCTAAACTAACGAGCCACAGTCTTATGTTTCATAAAAATAAAAGATAATCACGATTGCACTGAACACGTGAGATTTTTAAATTTCTACCATGACAGGAAGGTTGTTAGGATAGCTATTAGACTAAAAGCAGTTACTGTCACTGTGTAGAAAATTTTTTACACTATGCTGGGGGTTTGTGGGCGAAGTCGTACTGCTGGGGAACAGGGATGTATACCAGTAAGGTGTTTCCTTCAGATGACCAGCATACCGGTCAGCTATGCTGTCTCTGCACTCTGGAGACAGGGGGTCGACCACAAACAATTGTAAATCCCGACTTACCCCATCTACGGTGGTCCGTAACCGGCGGTAAGTTTACTAATACGGAACCAATCCCAGAAGCCAGTTCATACAGGCCGTGTGGACCGGCCAGCATCAAGCAGTTGTCTCCTGGGCTCTTCGGTCACGCAATACTAGCCCTTTTTCTGTTTCAGGTACCTGAAGAGGAATCAATCAACTTCCATGGTGTAGGCAACCGGGAAGTAACAACCACCCACACACACTTCCAAAAGCAAACGCGATTCTCCTGATCATCACCACATTCGGGCAGGCCTACGTCAGTTTTTCATACACCAGCTAATGCCTTGGTTACTATTGCAGCTGACAGTTGATCACCGTAATCCTTAAAAACCTCTAAAGCCCTAGAGTTTTGCGTTATTATTTCAGATTACAGACAGCTTCCACAACCTCAGATAGAATTGCTGAACTAATATTTAGTGAAATAAAATATAATTATACTTCAGTAATTTTCACACAATGATAAGTTTTGTTATTGGTAATATTTCCACAACGCTCAAACTTTTTACTGACTGTTGTAGCACAGCTAAATTATTCTGCCCAGGAGTAACTTTTCAACGGAATAATACACATGTAAAAAGAATAAATAATACATAACAAACAGATTTGTCTTTTAAAAAAGTGGCGCTTACATCAAGTGCATAAGATGGTTGTTTATTGTACAGCCTGACAAATACTTCACCAATCAGTAGCTCTTGGGCATATGCTTCATGTGTAAAGGTTAGAACAGAATTCAGATTGCATTCTCCCTTGTTAACACCAAAGCCGAAACACACAGAGAGAAGTTTTTTAAAAAAAAACAAAAAAGATAAATGAAATTACTATTAGAAACAAAAATAAACAACATAAAACTGACATGCACATTAAGAGGAATTTCAATCCCACTGTAGTAGATTCCTGTCTGAATATCTGAAAACTTAGAGCGGAGAACAGCTTTTTCATCTTTGTCTGGGACTCTTGAGTTACTGCATTCCAACCCGGCAGTTGAATGGTCAAACAGTCGGCATTGATGTCGAAAGGTGCTAAGTTCGACCTCCGGTGGAGTCGCTAGTGTTTACTGTTGATGAGCCTCAAACTAGGACGAAACAACTGTCTAATGCTCCTTGTCGGTCTATCACTAAGTCTTCATTGGAACAAATCAAATAATCCATGTGAGACCAATAGGCACGCCCCCTCCCACTGGCAAGAAAACTAAGTACTACTGTGGTGACAGCAGGCTGCCAACCAATTGGTAGACATTAATTTACGTTAATGCATAGGTCACTAATATTGGCCGTGAGAAAATATGAACAAGGCTGATTCAACAACCAATCACAGCAGACATAGCGTGGGCAAATAAGATTCGCAGATAGATGGCCTCACTTTTCGATGTTACCCGAAACAACCAATCAGAAGCCTGCGTTTATTTGCTTAACTTCCGAGAAACAACCAGTCAGAAGACTGCGTTTGTCTACTTGCATAAACTATAATAATGTACATGAGATATATATAAATACATGCTGATTTCCGTAATAAAACGATCTGTTGCCTGGCCCTTGTCTTCTGATGTTACACTATTTCTCATACATATTCAGGATTCCGGTAAATTCCTTTGAGTTGTTCATTTATATTTCAATCTAAAATTTTTGGTGATTGTCTATAGTCTTCATCGGTTCATAGCATCCCGAGGACCCCAACCAGCAAGCCAGTCTACACCTCCCGACGTGCCTGGCCAATTCAAACTAACTGTTGTGGATTTCATTGGCTAATCAGGTCATGTTTTAGTTTGACTACCACTAGGTCTTTTCCAACCTGATCCACCGTTCTATGTCAGCTAACATTGCCTGTCGTTCAGGAGGGCGATGGCTAGGCATGCATGCGTAACACATGTTCTGACCATCAACCTTGTCAACCGTTTTCCCGTCCCACCTGCCTAGAACTCGACGTCTAATCTCAATATCGCTCACCTTGTTATACCACTTAACACGGGAGATAGAGCGCAGACACCTATGATCAAAGACAATCAGCCATTTCGTATCTTCCACTTTCAAAGGCCATGTATAACTCACAGCCATAAAGGGGGGGGACAGAACGAACTGCTGAGTAGTGTACACACGCCCTTTGGTCGATAGCCAGCCGGATATCACGTCTACTAAGCGGGAGACGGCGTAAACTGGTATATGCGAAACTAGCCCCCTGTATCCGTGCTGAGATTTCGTCAGAGATCAACCCGTTGGCGTTGGCTGATGGTACTTCCCAAATAAGTGAAGCGGTCAACGTGCTCTACCACTTCACTTCTTATTTCTAATCTAGGAATCGGTGTAGGACTAGTTAGAAAAAAGATGGACCTTATAAGATCAGTGAATAATCCCTAAGAGAACAGAATTTGTGACTTTGATTTAGTTGTGTCCTTTGAGCGCTGGTTGCTTTAACTGCGAAGCTTTCACTATCCTACTAGACTAAGTCTTCAGCGCAGGTTTTTTAGTATGAAATGAATTTGTGTGGGAATTCACTGTCCATGTGAATGCTGTAATTATATCTCCTTCTGACAACCATTGTGTAGTGGTTGGTTGTCAATTTATGTCTCTATTGACCATAACATCAGCAATATGGAGAAAATCCCCATTTAGACATTTAGAAAACGGAAACATTGAGCGAAGAAATATTTACTTTTCAATTAGATCCTCATCTCACTTTGGAGCTCTACTCTAATATGACACGTATAGCATTTTTATTATTACAATACACAACAGTTTACCAATCAAGTAAGTGGCACTGATATGCTTGTTAACAATAATCAGTCAGTGTCAAAATGTCAATGGGTATTGGGGCGATGATTAACGAAGAAAATCAATACACACAACTAAAAGGTAGAAATGGTTAGAATAAATTAATTTAATTTTACAAGGATAACACGTAAATTAATGATGAAGTGGTCAGAAAAAAATAAATAGGAGGGGCGAAGTAGTCTGCTTTATACATTCATGTAACGATGGCCAAGGTAAGGAAAGTGGCTCTACAGATTTCGTCTAAACACACAGGTCTGGCTTCTTCAGGTGGATTCTTATTGCTTCAGCTGTAGGTATGTAGAAGACGAACTTGTAGAGCGAAATTAGAATAAGTAGGAATGCGATAAATAATTTTAATTGTTGTATTAACGTCAACCTTATGCTCACTATCTACAAGGTGTGCTAAAATAGACCTACGAACAGACCTTGTTTGTCCCTTTCTTAATCATGCTGGATGATGTTCGGAAATACGATGTTGAACCTGCCTAATTGCCTACCAGTTTGACTGCATCTGCGGAGACAGCTACATTGGGCGTACAATTAGGCAGGTTCATCATCGTATTTCCGAACATCATACAACATGGCTGAGCAAGCGACAGACAAGATCTATTCGTAGGTCTATTTTAGCACACCTTGTAGATAGTGAGCATAAGGTTGACGTTAATACAACATTTAAAATTATTTATCGCATTCCTACTAATCTTAATTCTACTCTACAAGTTCGTCTTCTACACACCTACAGCTGAAGCAATAGGAATCTACCTGAATAAACAAGCCAAACTTGTGTGTGATTAGAAGAAATTCGTACAACCACTTTCCTTACCTTGGCCATCGTCCCTCTTCCCCAAAAACCTTTAAAAATTATAATTGTCGAAATCATTTTATTTTCTTCAACAATCTGTTACGCAATCAACCTGTACACACGCTTATTCCTTATTTACTCTCCGCTTTTTCCCAAATTATGCATCATGCAATCCACGTGTCGTAACCATTTCTACCTTTTAATCGTGTGTATTAATTTTCTTCCTTAATTATCAACCCATTTGACATTTTGACACTGACTAACAAACATACCAGTGTCACTTACTTGATTGGTAAACTGTTGTGTATTGTAATAATAAAAATGCTATACGTGCCATATTAGAGTAGAGCCAGAGTGAGGTGAGGGTCTAATTGAAAAGTAAACATATTTCTTCGCTGCTAAATCTTTCTGTTTTCTAAAGCTCAGCTCTATGAAACTTGAAAACTGATACACCTAATTGTAATTTGAAATTATTTTCCAATTACGTAATTATGATTATCGGTGTTAACTTTTTTCGGAAATAAACGACTTTTCGCTGTATAATACACAACAGCTTTTGTAATCCAACAGCTAGCTGGTATGTATTCAACATCATTAGTGCGTCTCGCACTGCACACCATAGTCGCTATTCTTTCTTTCTTTCTTTATATTTTTGATTACAACTTGATTCCACAATGTATTTTTGGTACAAGTATGGAATTGTCAGCATGTTATATCGGTAGCCCAAATTTTGCAGACCGACCATAGATATCAGGTGTGCGTCGGGGCAGAGGGTCGAACCCCGGAACATGTGCATGGTCGGCGAGAGTCTTAACCACTGTGCCACCGACTCACTTTATGTTTGCCTACATAAGATTTTTTTGTTCAGTGAAGAAATTTCTTTTCAATGACTTCATTTTCAAGCTGTACAGTGGCATTTATATTACAGAAAAAGGTTATTAAGTGGCAATAAACAATTGCTCAGTCAATATATATATATATATATATGTATATATATATAAATAAAGATGTGAAATGAAGTGGAAAGAATTCAAGTGGTAAAATAAAATAAAAATTAGAAAGAGCATTACTATGACCAAGGTAAAGAAAAGGGTTTGAAAAAACGTTTTTGAACACACACATAATTTAGCTTTCTGTTCATGTATAGCTAAAGCTTCGGCTAGCTATGCATAAGTGAAGAAAACGTAAACTTTTGGATCGATTCGATTTTGCAATGAAGATAACCTTGAAGGATGAATCACGTGGGGCTAAATGACCACACTCTAACAGGTGATAACAAATAGACGGCTTCGCAGTTCTACGTTCACCTTTCATTAACCAAACCGGATAGTGCTCAGCTACACGTTTTCGGAGAGTACGCTTACAACATCCAATATAATCAGTTCCACAGGAGCAGGTGAAAGAGTAAATCCACACACAGATGTGGACAATAGCGGTAATCTATCCTTGACTCATTGTCTAATCATATTTCGGCTGGTAAAAACTAGTTGCAAGTCAGCTGCAGGAAAAGTGAGTTTAATACATTTAGATAAACGATTTTTAATCAATTCAGAAATGGTGTCGCCTTTGAATGCCAGACTCATAAACAGTTTGATTTCTTTGGCACTGTGATTTCTCTAGGGGCGGATTCTTTCTGGATGTTACGTTCAATAAAGCTTGTAGGATATCCATTGTTAAGGAGATTTGATCGAAGGTTATCTAGTTCACTACCACCGATTGTCTCTGTAGAGCAGATTTTACGAATTCTGGAGCATAAGAAATGAATGAGATTTCTTTTTCTCCCTATAGGTACCCAACTGTTGAAGTTAGTGTAGTGCCCAGTGAATGTTGGCTTTCGGTAAATCTACCTTAACAGCGTATCATTCTCTGTTCTATCTACCTTAACGTCAAGGAAGTGAAACGAGGAATCGACTCTTCTTCGACCGTGAAAAGCAGAGATGGGTGAGAACCATTAAATATTCCATGAAGTTCGGCAGTTCAAAAATTCTCCTCACAGACAATGAAGGTATCACCCATGCATCTTTTATACATGAACAAACTGTCGATGGTTTCCTCCAGTGGGCCGTTCTCTCAGCTTGCCATGAAGACATGATGTGATTCTACTTCACTTCACATCTTTATTCTTATCGTAATCGTACTCCTAATTTTTTTTAAAATTTTTAGACAACGCTCGACATTAAAACAAAATTTTTGGTATCAATTCACTTATAAAACAATCTTTAATAATTTTGTAATTCATCGACTTCAAGTCTACCCCTTGTAACATTTTAATTATCGTTATTCTTATCACATACCTATGTATATTGATTGAGCAATTACTTAGTGCCACTTTTCTGCCACCTTTTTCTGTAATATAAATACGACTGTACAGCTTGAAAATGAAGTCGTTGAAAAGAAACACGTTTCTTCGCTGAACAAAAAGAAAACCTGTGTTTTTACTTCTGGTTAAAAATGGGTATTTTTCGTGATACAAAAGATTTCTCGAAAAAACAAACTAACACAGACGCAGAATTGTAAAATGAAACTTACAGTTTTAATCAAACGAACCACCTGAAAATCGATCAACGTTTCCAATTCAGCTCTACATCGATTATCCCATATTAAATATGGTGTCACCGAATTTGTTGTCAACAGCTTAGCCAGCGAACGTAAATACTTTCCTCTAGGTGTATCAGCTGGGAAATCGTGTATTATCTGTGAATCACTTGTACTACCCGATCGGCCAACTTGACTTGAATCGTAGACATTTAGCTCAAGAATTTTACGCGCTAAATGTGGTGTCAGCAGTCGACTCAATGCCTCCATAACATCTGGTCCTTCACGAGCTAGAAAACCGTCTTCTGTTACCTCACGACCAGTTGTATAACTATTCACCATACGACCAATAGCCCATAAACACAGTAGAGCTAAACGATTAGCAACCACCTGAAATTGTAATGATGAATACATAGAGAGAGTAATCTATTCGTAGGTTTTTCTGTTCTGATGCGGAAATTATATTTGTTTAATTTAATTTTATTGAATTTGAGATTTTCCCGTCGATTGATTGGACCGAGAAATGCAGGTACATCGAGCTGTCGAGTCACAAATAGGACGAAATGCGCATCCTGGATCCCACTGCTAGTCACCATCCACCGATTGTTCAATTTAATTTCTAACACTAATAGTGCTAGTAGAATATATGGTAATATAAAAATACATAAGCCAGGCTACCCCATACAACCAATAGTAGATTTTAGAAATGCCCCTACTTATGAATTATCAAAACACTTAGCTCTAATATTATGCCCCATTAGAAATCATTCAAACTCTACACTAACTAACTAATTCATATGAGATGAAAAATAAACTGAATGACATCCAACTAGAGAATGATGAAAAAATGGTCTAGTCTTTATACTAATATACCAATCAGTATGCCCGCCTTAGAAGCAGTTAAACAAGAACTAACTGCAGATCCCGAACTCACTTATATGACAAAGCTACCCATTGAACAAATTATGTTAGGGATTCAGTTATGCCTCACATCTACTATCTTTAAGTTCCAAGGCAAAATATATAGTCAAACTGAAGGTGTAGCAATGGGATCACCAATAGCCAATATTGTAACAGACATATTTATGGACAGCTGGGAAAATATTGCTCTTAATACGTTTAATCCTACTCCAACAATATGGTGGAGATATGTGGATGACACTTTCACAGTGTTAAAAAAAGAACATATCTCTAGCATCTTGACACATAAACTCACTAGTAGAGGGTATAAAATTCACATTTGAATCAGAAAATGAACAAGGAGAATTAGCTATGTTAGATTGTAAAATAAAACGAATAGAAGAGGGTAAACTGAACACCAGTGTGTACAAAAAACCAACTCATTCTAATAGATACTTAGACTTTAGTTCATTTTATCCGTTAACTGTTAAGGCAGGCTTAGTTAAGTGTTTAACAAACCGAGCCATAGCACTAAGTAGCACAAGAAAAGACCTAAATGATGAACTAAAACACATAAAAGACGCGTTGGTGTTAAATAACTAACTATCCTATAGAATTCATTAGGAAGATCAGAAAAGGTCAAAAGCAAAATAAAAATAATTGTGAAACTAGTAATAATAACGTAAATAAGAAAGAATATAAGACATTTACAGTTTTAACATATAAAGAGGAGAACATCTGAGACCCTCGCTACGTAGGATTCTAAATAAAGCCGGAATTAAGGTGGCATTCAAACCTAAAAACTCACTCACTCAGGGACAAGCTCTGTAGGTTAAAGGACCCAGTTGACCCAATTAGACAAAATAATATAATTTACAAAATACCCTGCAATCACTGTGAGGTCAACTCTACATAGGTCAAACTAGTAGATCGGTGGTAATCAGATTGCCGGAATTTAGCTAAGGTGAGAATGGTTGACCTCGAGAAGATAAGTAATTTAGAAAAACAACTGAGCTATAGCACTGCATGTATCAACACACAACCACACAGTAGCATGGTAGGAGAGGGTTAAGATTCTAAGAAGTAACCTATGTAGGTGGAGAGGAGAAAGAGATTGATTACTGAATCCTGCCTGGTTCATTGAGTCTACACCCAACAGAACACATGCAATAGGAATTACCCACCACTCATATCCGAAATATGGAAAATACTACTACCAATCAAGTCAAGCGATGGAAAATAATGGAACTATATAAACGAAGTTAGGAAGTCGTGTGAGTAATGCCTTGATATGATTATGAGTGGCAATAAATTGTGCTCGAAACGTCATCAGTAAACATTACTGTATAACACTGTGAGACTTTATCAAAACAAATTTTTACTGATAATGGAATTGCACTCTACCACAGTGAACATGTTTTATTTTTGAAATAATAGAGAAGATTTGTAGCTCAAGTGGGGATGATTTGCAATTAATAGTGTTCTCTGAGCTGGTTGGTTTAGTTGCGAAGCTTTCGTCTCCCCCCCCACTGCTGGACAACATCCCCTTTCAGTGCAATATTTAGCATAAAGTGAAATGATTTAAATTTTTCATGAGTGATATAATTGCGTCTCCCGGTAACCATCTTTACATATATACTGACCATTTTCTATTGACTTGGATTTTAAACTTTCTGGTCACCTGATTTACCTTTTATTAGTTGGACGACGAAAGCTCCGCAACTAAACCAATCAGCTCAAAGAACACTATTAATTGCAAGTTTTATTCTTATATCAATGCGGAAACTTGTTATATTACTATAATGAATTTCATACAAACAGGATAGAACTTGACTTATCCACACATTTGGCATTAGTTAATACATTGGTAGCTGATATGTATCCATATAATATGTGTGTTTTGTTTGACAGTCTGTTCTTGGTGATATGTATCCATATAATATGTGTGTTTGTTTGACAGTCTGTTATATTTTGCTATGTATATATGGATCGATGTTCCATTATAATTAGCCAATCATGTTAAGACTGTCTATTGATTTGTTCATTTTGGATATTCGCTCACACACTTGTTCGGACATTCTTATATTTTTGCTCTCACACTCTTGTGTGACATTTTGATTCTCCTTGTGTTTGGAAAATAGAAGTATCGTCGCAAACCTAGTGGTCTTCTGATTTCCTTCTTTCTTGCGTCAGGACTATTAAATTCTCGACCAGTACATAACAGTAGCCAAATAATACCATGAATACAGATAGAAAATAAGGAGTCATGATTACGGGGTTGTTAAACTGCTCAAGGCAAAGTTAACCTTTAAGCATCAGTACCAACATACCAACGTATAAATGACCTTGAAAGCACGCACCAACTATATAGATAATGGCAATATTTGCGTATAAAATACATATACATATATCCATAAAAAAGAATGAAATAAAAGGCATGAAGCTGCTACACACACAGCATGTCTTTCTCTGACGTGTGACAAAAATGCCTATCAGTTTCGGCACTGGAGCATCAACAGAATATTATTGTGACACAAGTATAAAACTTGGGCACTGTTGCAGTAGAGTAAAACTCCATTATGGATAAGATTTTTATTTTGATATATCAGACAGTGTTATTTACTGATGACCACGTTTCATAATCATATCAAGGCATTGGTTACTCTCACAACTTTCTTGCTTCATTTATATACATGAGTAGAAATTAATGATTAGACATTTGAATATGAACAATTTAGGATAAAGTACATTCGGAAATAATACTATTAGTATTTTCTATAAAATACTATAAGATGGGAAATAAGATGTTTTTTACAGTAAAATAAATAAATAACTTGTTGGAATGTTATAATGTGAATTGAATTGAATACATTTTAACATTATTTATTATCCTCCTCTGATTTGACTGACTGGTGGTCATAATATCTTCCATACATATCTCTCTGGTATTTGCTTTGAGGCACTTCTCTATTGCATGTGTTGTGTGTAGACTTGATGAACCAGGATTCAGTAATCAACCACCTCTCTATCTCCACCTACCTATTTATACTGCTTTTTAGAATTTTGAGTCTATCCAACACACTGTATTGTGTGGTTGAGTGGTAATGTATGCAGTGCTGAGTACTTTTTTCTAGATTACTTATCTTCGTGAGCGTGGTCAATCATTCTAACCTTAGCTAAATTCTCATGTTCTGATAACCTGACTACTCCTGATCCCCTAGTTTGACCTATGTAGTTGACTTAACCCAAAGTCATTGCAAAGTATTTTGTAAATTATATTATTTTGTGTAATTGGGTCCACCGGGTCCTTTAGTCTACACAGCTTGTTTCTGAGTGACGGCGTAGGTTTGACTGCCACCACCTTGATTCCCGCTTTATCGAGAATCCTACCACGAAGGGTTTCAGATGGCCCATCTTTATATGGTAGAACTGTAGATGCTTTATATTCTTCCTTATTTATTTTATCATTATTAGTTTCACCATTATTTTTATCTTGCTTTTGATCTTTTCTGATCTTCTTAATGAATTTTATGGGACAGAGAGTTATTCAACACCAACCAGCTATTCTTCTATCTATTTTATTTAATTATTAAGGTCTTTTCTTGTACGACTCAGTGCTACTGCTCGGTTTGTTACACATTTAACTAAGCCAGAGTAATTTAACCACAGTCTGTGCATGTAATTATCTATGTCTTCCAACCCTAACAATAACTCTAATCTCTCCTTAATCTAACTCTAATGTCGCTCTCATTACGTTAACCTAACTCTAACCTGTCGTCGAAACATCTGTACAAGAAACCGAAATGTCAACCTGAGATCGAGCACTTCGGTCCAATCAATCGACGGGACATTCTAAAATTCAATTAAATAATTAATATGCACAAGAGGTGGCTCTCGTCGTGGCCCAAGTGATCTAGTGGATAACGCTTTGGTGTTTGAAACTATGAGCACCGGGTTCGAGCCTCGGTGGGAACATCATCAGTCACTGAGAAATGCAAGTACATCCAGATGATGAGTCCCAAATAGGACGAAATGTGCATCCTGGATTCCACTACAAGCCACCATCCACCAATTAAAGAATTCAAAGACGACCAGTGAAATACTAGTAAAATCTGTCCTCGAAAACGTATTACGTGATGTGAGGTATAGTCTATAAGAGGTGACTAATTGGAAAATAGAAAAGGGGCAGGGAATTGTCTGGCAGGGCAGCCACCTTACGTATCACATTCTCCAGCAGACAATTTATCCAGTCTAATGTTAAGGATAAGATACTGCAATCGTCACCTGAATGTGTGTTTATCAGCTTACTTGTTCATGTCGAGCAAAGTATATCGGCCGTACGTAAAGTCAAGTCCGCAAACGTATTCTGCAACACTCTCTAGCTTGGTTAGTCAAAGGAGAAAAGAAGAATACCAGTAGTGTAACAACAGAAGGCAAGACACGGAAGCCAAGGTATATTTTTCATCAATCAAATCGAGTAATATTCCGTTGGAACATATTGTCCGTATCACACCACCACATCCTCAAACACCTTGTCAACCCTGGACATCAAGCACTCCAGCATGAATGCTTCACAGTGCTACACAGAGTCTCTAAATATCACGGGAAATGACATCTTGAAAGCCCTATACAGAAACAACTCAGGTAGAGTGAGGGCATACAATCAAATATCATCACTGTTCCCAACCAACAGTGGGGTTAGACAGGGTTGCCCGATCTCTCCATTTCTCTTTAACTTTGCCATCGATGACATCCTGGAGTCAGCTCTGAAGGATGTGTGTGAAGGTGATGTAGATCTGCTACCTGGAGATAGACTTTTCGACCTCGAATATGCAGACGATATCGTCTTACTGTGCGATAGCATGCAGGCTGCCCAAATCGCACTTAGTCAGTTGGTGATCAGTGTCTGTAAGTATGGTGTGTGCTTTACGCCGTCTAAGTGCAAAGTACTGTTACAAGATTGGCAGGAGCCTATACCTGAACTCACTCTCGCGGGTGAACCACTTGAACTTGTTGATAAGTTTGTGTATCTTGGTAGTTGTGTGAGTGCTGGCAGAGGGGTGACGGATGAGATTTCCAACGGTATAATGAAGGCTAGGGTGGCATACATCAACTTGAGCCACCACCTCTGGCGCCGTCGCGACGTTAGCCTGGCTGTCAAAGGTCGGGTATAAAATGCTTCGGTGCGGGCTGTCTTGCTCTACGCCTGTGAAACCTGGCCTCTCCGATTAGGCTGAGGATGTGCGGCGACGACTCTGTGTGTTCGATCATCGCTATCTCCGCAGGATTGTTTGCGTTCGATGGTATCATCATCGCGTGAGTAATTCTGAGGTTTGGCGGCGTGTGTTTGAACACACAGTGGAGATTACCATTCATTGAGTGTCGTCATGCGGTAGCTTGGACATGTGCTGCGAATGTTATCCCAGAGGAGGCTTCCGTACAGGTCTCTGTTCGCTACCCAGCCCTGGGACGGAATGGAAAAGACGGAGGGTGGTTAGTCCATGACGTGGGGTCGTGGGATGAAGGACTTTTGTGCTAGATTAGCATCGGTTAGTGTGTCACGACTCCCTCGCTGGGGTCTGAGAGATAGCTCTAATCGATGGCTCGAAATGTTGTCGGATATGGACAAGAATCGTAATCAATAGCGAACGTGTTGCAGTTTCCTTCTTTCTTCCCTTCCCGATGATAGTTAACGAATACTGTTCGAACTTGTTAAGCATAACTGTTTTCCTTCCAGATGAAGTTCTTTATCCGTTCTCTACTTATATATTTTTTCTCTTTTCCTTCTTTTTTCCTTTTGATCTATGTTGTTTTATTATTACTGTGTGGTGCATCCATCTTGGTGACATATTGTACCAAGTTTTTATGCGATTAAATAAATAAATAATAATAACACGAAAGGACTTCGAATATGCAGTCTGTACATAGCTGAATCATTGAATATTCGGGATCTGAAACTGGACCTCTGCATTCAAAAGTACCACATACATTCACCCGCCTTACCGTGGCCACAGTAACATTCTTACTATAATACTGCTTCCTTTTACTAAGTAAGTTTATTATTAGTATTACTATTATTATTATTATTATTCTCATCATCTTTATTTTACTATCACTCTACTACTGTTTATTGATAACATTGCGTTTTCATACAGGTTTTATAAAAACACTCTGTATCGCCTTTCCAATAGTTCTTGTCCACTCTACACAACTACACAAATTAGTCACTTTCTCATGTATCATCCCAACTTCTACCTATTTTTCTAATTTCCAATTAGTCACCCCCTCTAGACTACACCTTACAACATTACGTAATACATCTTTTGAGGACAAATTTTACCAGAACCTGATTGGTCATCTTGTGATTTCTCTGTTAAATATGGTAATTACGATTGTTTACAGCAGCTTATGAAAATAAATCGTTGAAGCGAAAATTTTCTTCGCTGTTTACATCCTGCTTTTTCTTTTAACTCAATAAGGGAGAATATTTCATGCATAATGAACTTTACTCTGTGACTCACAGTCTTCACCTAAACCAGCTGGCTCCAAGATTGACCAAAAGCCCTCTTCATTTCCTCCACATAGGATTTTCTCCATATCATTCACCCTTGGCTTCCACTTGAAGATCCTATATGTGTGATAAATCAATCAATGATTTCCTCAGTATGTGATCAATCCAATTCCTTTTTTATATTTCTTGGGTATTATTATTATTAGTAGTAGTAGTAGTAGTCAAGGAAAAATGGTGCGTCGGTGGCATAGCAGTAGAATGTGGTCCACGGTTCGATCCCCGGCCACCGACGACGCACTCCTTTGCCTCACTAAGCCAGTAAGTAATAACGCCTGTAGAGAGGGGAGATTGGACATGAAGCTGGCTAGCAACCCACCCTATCCCATAAGAAATAAACACCACTGCTACCGAAACTTCAAGCCTCCAGCTTGAAACCCCCTATGTGGTCCAATAGGAACGTAAAGAAATAATGATAAACTAATAAAATCGATAAAAAAATCAATTGTAAGCATACTTGTGAATTAGTCTCCTCGTTAATCTCGACACCTGCCTCTTCCAAAGTGAAATCGTAGGCGAAAACATGTTGAAGCAGTAGAAATAATCCACCATATTCATAACATGTAACGCATAACCAATAATCTATGCAGAATGATGCTACGCATACGGCTGTTTTACAACAGAGTTGAGGTAAATTCTATAAAAGAAAACAGGAGGTAGCAGGGGTGGGGGATGAAGAGAGAGAGAGAAAATAAAAAACATAAAAATTAAAATTTGAATGAGAAAAACCAGTGTGAATATATGTGTAAAACTTGGGCACTGTGGTGGCAGTAAGTAATTCCATATTAAAGTGTTGGTTTGTAGGGATTTGATTGGTTTCAGGATTTCATCATGAGCTGACATTAGTTTTCCAATGGTTCTCTAACTAATGTCAGCTCATGATGAAATCCTGAATTCCATATTAGTTTGTCTATTAGATGAATGATACAGTGAGTGAAACGGTATTCATTATTTATTGGATGACACAGTTTCGAACACAATTTGTCACTGTTCATAATCATCTCATCAACTGTAATCACACGACTTCGAAATTTGAGTTTTATAGTTTCCTTTGCCATAGGGAATAGTAGGGATAGTAGAATTTTCCAGATATCTGGTTGGACAGGTGTTGAGTCATTCCTGTTACACGTGTTGCTTCGCAGTTGATTTGATAAACAAAGCTTCTGTTATCAATCTCTCCCTCCACCCTGTGACATCAGACTTTAAAACAGTAATCCCATCCCATCCTATTGTATGGTTGTGTGTAACTGTATGTAGTGAGTGGTATAGCTGAACTATTCTCTAAATTTCATATCTTATTCGGGTCAACCAATCTAGATTTTGCCTCTAGGTTTTTATGTTCGGCTAATCTGACTGACTGCCCCTGTTCTAGTAGTTTGACCTATGTATTTGACCTCACAATCATTGCAGGCAGAGTATTAGATAAACTAAATTGTTTTGTCGGTTAAAGGCTCCACAGGATTGATCCTTTAACTGACAAAGCTTGTTTCTAATTGAGTTTGTGGATGGTTTGAATGCCAGCAGCCACTTTATTCCTGCGTTGTTAAGAATTCTGCGTAAGCTGGTTTCCGAAGTTCCTTCCATGTAGGAAACGATAGTAGCCATAGTGATAATAATAACAATGAACACAATAATATTAATGACGACACCAACAATAAGGAATCTAGATCATCAGTAGTAATTCCATACAAGGAAGGAACCTCGGAAACCACCTTACGCAGAATTCTTAACAACGCAGGAATAAAGTGGCTTCTGGCATTCAAACCACCCACAAACTCAATTAGAAACAAGCTTTGTCGGTTAAAGGATCAATCCTGTGGAGCCTTTAACCGACAAAACAATTTAGTTTATCTAATACCCTGCTTGCAATGATTTGTCCTACGATAAATAGGAGAAGACAGAAAAAACTATAAAATTCAAGTTTCGAAGTCGTGTGATTACAATTGATATGATGATGGACAATACTAGATTGTGTTTGAAACTGTGTCATCCAGTAAATGCTAATACTGTTTCACTCACTGTGTGATACATCTATTAAAAAAACTAATATGGAAAAACCAATGTGAACGAAGAATATTCCTTTCAATAATTTCTCCTCTTCAGGTTCTTACAATTATAAAATATAATATTTGTGGTCGTTACAATAAAGATAGCCAGGTATGCGGCGGATACATTTTTTAACGTAGAATAACAGATTAGTTATGGGGTGTCAAAATAAATAGTCATATTTGTGTGACAAACGTGCTAGGCTGAAATCGATTAGAAATATTGTAAAACGGGAGACAATAGTGGTGGTTAATCATAATGGAATTGTAGAGTGTGGGGTAGGAAAATTGACAAATCAGTTCAAGGTTATAAAAGGTGTCAGGTGAGTGGCTAGTACAAAGTGGTCTGAGTTAAGCAGGATATAGTAAGACTGGAATGAGAGGTTCATAGTGAGATAACGAATATATTAAATGAAACAGGTGGAGGCATATATTGAGAAAACAGATAATATCACTAATAATAAGTCCGTACAAATGAAAATTCGATAGTATTGAGGGAATGTTTGCATAAAGGGCATAAATTATGACGAATAATAATAACTGTAATAATAATATTTATAATAATAAGCAAATTAAAAAAAAAACCAAGAGGCTTAAGGGGAAGGAGCACTCTTGGTGAGAAGAAAAATCTTCAATCCAAGGTTGGCCACGGTAGGAACAGCGTCTGGACGTGTTCCTTTTGGATACACAGTTCCGGTTTAGTCGATCTTATTGCAACAGCTTCAGCTATGTGTAGGAGACGTAAGCGAACTGTACGTGATAACGACTTCGGAATTCGGTATATAACTCTGAAAGCTGTGTTGACATCGATGCGATGTCCAGTATCGACCAGGTGTGACAGGATCGAGCTTTTTATGCACTTAATTTCCCCCCTGCTGAACCAAGCTGGTAAGTGTTCTCGAACCCGTAGACGAACCTGCCTAATCGTGCGCCCTATATAACTTGAACCACAGGAACAGTTGAAATGGTATATGCATGAAGAAGAGCTAAGGTTAGGTAAGGCATCTTTGAGTTGCTGGGTGAACATTGGACGGCTAGTGAAGGATAGACACAGACGTGCAGAATAGAAAGTTTTCTTGATCGCCCTGGTTAAACGTTGGGATAGAATCTCCGCAGGAGTATCTCCCTTGAATTGGAGACGTAAAAACAGAGGCTTTTTCTCCACAGTTGTCAGTTCATGTTTACGGCTATTATAACCTATGTTGGCTTTAATGAACTTCTCTGGATATCCGTTCTCGCTTAGAATGTCTCGGATGATCTGGAGTTCTTTCTCTACGCACTCTTCAGAACAAATAGACCTCGCTCTAAATGCTAAGCACCTGATTAGATTACGTTTGTATTTCATCGGTACGAAGCTAAGGAAATGTGTATACTGGGCTTTGGTCTCTAGCTTTCTAAATATGGTTCTTTTGATGGAACCATCCTCTCTTCTCGTTAGTAGGACGTCGAGGAAGTGTAAAGAGTCGTTGTATTCTCCTTCGTAGGTGAAATGGACCGCTGGGTGAGCATTATTGAAGTTGTTCAAAATCAAATCACTATTTAACCCTTCATCGTACACTACAAAAGTGTCATCCATGTAACGACAATACATTTCCATTTTCGCTATTTCCTCTTTCAACGGACTATTTTCTAGTTTTGCTAGAAATATATTCGCGAAAATAGGTCCCCATAACTAATCTGTTATTCTACGTAAAAAATGTATCCACCGCATACCTGGCTATCTTTATTGTAACGACCACAAATATTATATTTTATTATTGTAAGAACCTGAAGAGGAGAAATTATTGAAAAGAATATTCTTCGTTCAGATTGACTTTTAAAAACCAATGTGATTTATTAGCAGTTATCATTATATCGATCTTTTCCTGCTTTACTGATAGGGACCTGTTCAGAGAAGGAAGACTTTACCATAAAGAAGTTTCTCCAGCATGATACAATTAGATGAAACGTACAGGAAAGAAACTTTATAAAATGTGTACGTGAGACAGAATGTCAGTCAAAGTATGTGCACAGTTATTGCTTCTCAGCCGCCAAAATCGTAGAAGTTGATTTCTCCTTGAACTATCTGAAACAGAAGGAGCATAAGTGTTGCGTGACTGGTCACACACAGCCTGTTCTAAGTTGTTTTTGAATATTACCGTCGGTTTCACACCACCACAAGGTGAGTCGGGATGTATACATTGTGGGATCGATTCCTCACCAGAGGGGAGAGGCAGCATACCTGTCTGGCCTACTTACTGTTCATCGGACAGAGACACCTTAATGTTCTTAAACTTCTGTTTACCATAAGTACGACTTCGCTAACACACTGCCCAAAACTAAGGTAAACCACTGATGCTATGATGGTAATTGCTTCAGTCTAACCATTATCCTAGCAACTGTTTTTAGCACTGTAGGGGCTGCAGGAACGTTTTATTTTAGCCGGTGTAACTTAGTGGATCATCACCATATGCAAGCCTCACCACCACGTGTCAAGGTAGTGGCTATCGGTTGGGAGGAGACAGAATACTCAGATAACGACTTACAGTTGAGATAACAAGCAGACATAGTCATCCTTTTGTATCAAGTGATTCATGTCGACCGACTCTTGTTCGTATTACTATACAGATGGATAACTTAAAGTGTAACAACAGAAGACAAGGGCCAGGCAACAGATCCTTTTATTGCGGAAATCACCACGTATTTATATATATTTCATGTACATTATTATAGCTTATTCAAGCAGACAAACACAGTCTTCTGATTGGTTGTTTCTGGTTTCTCGGAAAGTTAGGCGATATATCTGCGAATCATATTTGCCCACGTTAAGTCTACTGTGATTGGCTGTTGCATCAGCCTTGTTCACACTTTCTCACTGCCAATCTTAGTGACCTAGACATTGACGTAAATTAATGTCTACCAATTGGCTAGCAGCCTGCTCTCACCACAAAAGTACAAAGGGTACTGTAAGAAGATTTCACGTTACTGTCCGCATCATCATCTTGTGGAGTGTACTACTGATGAGATCTATCAGTAGTATACAAAGGGAAGTTCATCGGCATAAAAAGCATCAAACATCAGGGAGAAAGATAGATTTGATGTCAGAGAAAGCAAACGATACAGCCTTGAGGAGGAGGTACATGGGAGACGACGTGAAAGGAACACAAAGAAACATAGTATAAAGGAAGACCAGAAGTGGCACACCACGAATGATCTGTGCAAATGGTACGACGTTAAAGATAAGAGGTGTACATAATTTCGCTATACACAGAGATACAAAATTCCAAGTCTTTCATCTTCTACCGTTAAAGTAGTATGGTGCTATACCTAATCTGCAAAGGGGTTAATAATGCTAATTTTCCTTTTCAAGCATCAGTAGATGCAAGAGGCGCAGTTTGAATCCATTACCTACTGGTTGGAAGTCGGGTGACTAAAGTAATGGAATGACAAGTCTCACTTCATTTATTGCTGATAAAATGTTCAATACAAGCGAACAGCACGGTCCGAATATCTCAGTAGTATTGTTGTTTAGAGAATGTATTTATTGAGCGTTGCAAATATTTCCCCATCAAGAAAATATATGCGCCTTATGAAGAAGTAAAACGTTGAATATGTCGTTTTTTCAGTAAGCCCGTTTAAATTACTGAAGCTATCGAAATACTTGAACTCTTTTGAATTTGTTGGAGGATTTCATTATGAGCTGACATCAGTTAGAAAACTATTGGAAAACCAACTGAGGCTACTGGACAGCTGTTTCGTCAGTCTAGTTTGGGACTCTTCACCAGAACGCACTCGCCGCCAGGGTCCGAACCCAGGACCTTCTGATTACAAGGTTACCGAGCTCGTAGACCATTAAGCCACGGGGATCCGATCCAATGACCAGCCCATGAATTGTAACATTTGACAGTTCACGGCATAGCGCGACCACTTCTCAATGTCTTCTTCGATGACTAACATAACACTGGATTGGGTTCTAGTGACTTAATGTTTTACGAGCTTGCTCACCTTGTGACCAGAAGGTCCTGGGTCCGAACCCCGACGGCGGGCGCGTACTGATGAAGAGTCCCAAACTACACTGACGAAACAGCTGACTGTCCAGTACTCCCCTGATGGTTTCTCAATGGTTCTCTAACTGATGTCAGCAGCTCATGATGAAATCCTCCAAACAATCAAACAAAATCCTTACAAAAACCAATAGTTGAAAATCTTTTGGATTTCTCATTGCTTTAGTCATTCCAATGATCAGTACATAGAATTAGGGGACATTTTTAATTATCTTTCAACAAAACGCGCTGTGAAGCTTTTCAAGGAAATGAAGTAATAATATCGTAGATAATCGGTTCTTTCTTTATATAGAACAACAACAGTGCGTCGGTGGCACAGTGGTTAGGACTCTCGCCGACCATGCACATGGTCCGGGGTTCGAGCCCTCGTCGATGCACACCTGATGTCTATGGTCGGCCTGCGAATTTTGGGCTACCGATATCCACGCTGAAAATTCCATACTTGTACTGAGAATACGGTGTGGAATCAAGCTGTAATCAAAAAAAATTAAATTAAGCCAGTCACTCGTAGATCCTGTACGAAGAGGAACTATTTCGCTACTAAATACGCTGAGAACTTGGTGAAATTAAACTATCACAGGCAAAGCCGCAGTGAACTTGAACAGCCAATCAGAATTCAGATGCAAAAAAGATGCATAGTCGCTCAAAAATACACTACAAAATATTGCAAACATGATGTCGCGTGTGTGTGCTGTTATAATGTCTCCGAGTCAGTGCACAGATGATCTATAGAGACATCCTACCTTGTGTGATATACCCATTCATCCATGCAACTGTAGTTCAGGTACTTTGAGATCAATTGGTATTCCTGAAACCATTCTCCAAACTACTCCTAACTTAAACCATAATCCTAACTTTAACCTTAAACCTTAGTCTAAAACGCTATTACCACCTACCTGACAGTATAGATTTGCGGAAAAAGTACCTAGTAAATAGGCAGAATACTGTATCTATCCTCTCTAAATTCAAAAAGGCAGGTATGAATTGATTTAGAATGACAGATCATAGCATTTCCTGTATCTAATCGCTTCCTGTAAAGGTCAACTTTTGAAAGACCTTGACTTTGACTATGAGATACTTTAACAACTTCGCTGAGAATTTCTGTACTATTGTGGTGAGAGCTGTCTGCGAACAAGCCGAAATTGCAAACAACAATTTACGTCTATGTTTACGTCCAAAATGGGGATCATGAGAAAAAAAAACAGGAACATAGCCTAACCTTGAAGAACTCAACAACTAATCACAACAGACTGAGCGTGGATGGATACGATTCGGAGATATATTTCAAAGGACTGTCCAAGAAACGGCAATACAGACATGACAGAATAACCTTCAACAGGAAAACCACCAATCAGTAGACGTTGCTTCTCTGCTAACAATAACGCTAATAATAGCATCCATAAAAATTTATAAATATCTGTTGATTTCCTCAAAAAAAAAACGATCTGTTGCCTGACTCTTGTCTTCTGGCGTTACACTATGCATTAACATATTGTCTGAAGTGAAGCTTTATTATTATCATCATTATCATTAGATGATAGAGACGTGGATTTTACTGGGCTCAAAATCATCTTTCGACATATATAATCTATGATTGAAATTAAAACCGCCTAAACAAAGATTGGTTCTCAGTCAAAAGTATTTTCACTAACGGAGAATTTCTGGTGAAATCGAGATGAGAGTGTTCCGTGGTTTTCAAATTACGAAATAAAATATATTCTCCGCGGGGGGGGGGTGTTTCTTTATTCCGAGATGAATCTATCTGAGTAAAAAAAACAGCTGACGGGGTGGGGGCGCAAATGGACGAAACGCCTATTATCTGGTGTCAAGATCACTTCAAGAAAGCGTGCTACTGGTTGACACGAGTGTTTCCAAACTATTCACATCACATCAATCAGCAATATTAACTGCGAAGTATTATTATGATTTTACTTTCATCTTTTCAAACAGGATTCTTCTGAACAGAAGCCCTGCATAAGTACAATTAAGCTAAATAAAGTTGATAAAAATATAGATCTTAGAAATAACTCACTTTATAGTACAATAATCTCATTGTATCTTTTACCAACTGTGGTGTCTCTTGAATATGTTGACGTGAAGACGGGAACAATGATGCAGCAGCCAATACAGAGACAATATGACCACAGACTTGTACAACTATATGCGATGGTTGACTTGATGTTCGAGATAAAAGGTTTGAACATTGGGAAAATGCTTTCTGCAATACAGGTATACCATTTTCACGTCGGAGTTCTTCTGCATTCAATACACTAGTGACGACTGTTTCATAAGTGAGCTCTGTAGCAGCCACGAGTAGGACAGCATTCTCTACAGTCTCAGTTGGTTGGCTACTACTACTACTACTACCCTTGCCAACACCGCCGCTATCACTGGGGGTGGTTGGCTGACCAGTGGTGTCTTCCGGACTTTCACTTTGATCTGTTTGTGTCCCATAGGTGAATAACTTGTCTTCAGCGGTTTCGGCGAGTATTGTCGCGACTAGCATTGGGTAACCGGCATATTTTTGTGATAGAAGTACTACATGATGGTGGAAAGGATAAAAGAAGAATTTGTGAGAACGATAAATATTAATACATATGAAGAATTCAATATAGCAAAAATATTCATTTAGACATCCATAAAACACACAAAACAATTGAGCAAAGAATATCCTTCTCGATATTTATCCCGTAAATATCACGTCTATGCCAGAGACAGCGTAAACTGGCATATGCGAGATGAACCCTTTGTATCCGTGCTGAGATTTCATCAGCGATCAACCCGTTGGCACTGGCTGATGCAACTTCCCAAATAACTGAAGTGGCCAACATCAGTCACAAAGAGTATCCCCAACCATTGATTCTTAGCTTCTCTCAAGAGCCCAGAGAGTCAACCTAAACCTAATATACAAGGAATGCATAGTGTGATCTTCCTAAACCATTTTCCAAAAAAAATTCTGCTTTTGTTAACGCTGTCAGTCAAGGAAGATAATAACTTGTAATGGGAAACACACACATTCTAGTTCTTACACACACAATGGAGGCTCTACACATCCGCCTTACAATATTCATCTCTAACACGCAGATAGTAACCTGTACTTCTTCTTTAGGTATAAACGAGATCTACAAACACTAGTAAGCACTCATGAAGACTATAGCATTGAGGGAACTAGAATTGAAACCAAGTCTAATGCAAAATACCTCGGATTAGTTCTATCTCCCAATCTTACTTGGTTATCTCATATCCAAACGATTTCTAAGAAAGTGTTCCGTCTAACCTACTACATTATGAAACTCAGACTAACTGGGATCACTCAACGTCTACTTTCACAATTTGTCAACTCTCGTATCTTACCTATTCTAATTTACTGCTCCCCATTAGTCTTTCCTCGGTTACTGAAAAAGTCCTATACCATCCTGAGAAGGATGTTGAAGGTAGTTAGTAAGCCCAGTGGTGTAATACTCAGTCAGCTCCTCACTACATTAGTAGATGAGCATCTGAATACATGCGAAAAATGGTCTAAAACCATACTCTCCGACCCCCCGCCAGCATCCCCTCTATTCCCAATTCTCTCCTTGTATCTCATCAGGCAGAACCAGAAATCAGTACAAAATAATATATGCTCGTACAACCAAGTACAGAAACTCAATGATACCATATTTGGCCCGTGTTCAAAGTGAAACAGACAATGTTAAGCGCGAAACCTATGACTTGCTTTGTTGGGTAATAACAAAATTTTAGGCTCTTTTATTTCTCTCTCTTATTTGTATTCTATGGTGAACACCTTCTTAAACATACTTAGCTACCTGAATTGTTAACATTCGCTTACTTTTTTGGTACTTTACTCAATTCCTTCTTTTGTGTATCTACTGGTTCAGACTATATTATCACTATGAGTATTACAAAATTGTCCTGTCATTAACCATCACGTAATATTAGTTTTGTGGTTGTTTTTTGTTCGGCAATATTAAAACTAACAATCTTGGTTGTGAATGCCATTATTACCATCTTAAAAATTTTGTACTATGCAGGATTACTCACACTACCACTACAAACACCACATTAGTGCTGACAATAAAAAAAACCTGAAATGTTTATTTTATGATTGTTTAGTGTAGTTCAATCAAATTAACTGATCATCATGGTGATAAACATTCTACTAAATATCATTTCATAACTTCTTGCATGATAATAGTTTTACTGTTCACCAAGCATACGCATATCATAGCTTCCACTACCCAATACTGAAATATTAATTATTATTGTTGTTTATCTGCCTTTGTACTTCTTGGTATATTTTTGCACTTTTCAATTGCTTTTGTGTCTTTTTTTGTTTTTTTGTCTTTATATTTATTTTTTTCAAATACTATTCTTAATATTTGATAAAATTAGATGCAATAGTGAAAATATCCCCATTTAGACGTTTAGAAAACGGAAACATTGAGCGAAGAAATATTTACTTTTCAATTAGATCCTCATCTCACTTTTGGGCTCTACTCTAACATGACACGTATGGCATTTTTATTATTACAATACACAACAGTTTACCAATCAAGTAAGTGGCACTGATATGTTTGTTAGTCAGTGTCAAAATGTCAATGGGCAGTGGGTTGATAATTAAGGAAGAAAATTAATACACACGATTAAAAGGTAGAAATGGTTACGACACGTGGATTGCATGATGCATAATTTAGGAAAAAACGGAGAGTAAATAAGAAGTAAGCGTGTGTACGGGTTGATTGCGTAACAGATTGTTGAAGAAAATAAAATGATTTCGACAATTATAATTTTTAAAGGTTTTTGGGGAAGAGGGACGATGGCCAAGGTAAGGAAAGTGGTTGTACGAATTTCTTCTAATCACACACAAGTTTGGCTTGTTTATTCAGGTAGATTCCTATTGCTTCAGCTGTAGGTATATAGAAGACGAACTTGTAGAGTAGAATTAAGATTAGTAGGAATGCGATAAATAATTTTAATTGTTGTATTAACGTCAATCTTATGCTCACTATCTACAAGGTGTGCTAAAATAGACCTACGAACAGACCTTGTTTGTCCCTTTCTTAATCATGCTGATGATGTTCGGAAATACGATGATGAACCTGCCTAACTGTACGCCCAATGTAGCTGGCTCCGCAGATGCAGTCAAACTGGTAGGCAATTAGGCAGGTTCAACATCGTATTTCCGAACATCATCCAGCATGATTAAAAAAGGGACAAACAAGGTCTGCTCGTAGGTCTATTTTAGCACACCTTGTAGATAGTGAGCATAAGGGTGACGTTAATACAATTTAAGCGCGCGCTTTTCGACTATTACGCTACATTTTGGTCATAAATAAAAACTCTTATTACTCTAAAATTTTATGCAAAGTGTTTGCGGAAATTATCACAATTATTAACCTTTCGAACACTGAATCCAAAAAATACAATCTTATTGACAGATAATACACATAACTCACTGTTTGGATTTGTGGAATTTTTAAACATAAACACATCTATAATTGTATATATTGTTGGATTTATATGTTCAAGTTGCTCCAAGTCAGTGAGTTTATGGTTAAGATATCATTTTAGTTAAATGTACTGAACTATATTGCATGTTGTCTTATTGTATAGTTGTCGTCGCTTTTTGCCCTTTTTTCTGTGAACTGTTTCCTTTGTTGATGTTGTTCTCATTGTTTGTCCGTTATTTTCTGATTTTGAGGGGAGCAACCCAAAAAGTTGCTTCTCTCTAAACTTTTACTTAATGTAATCATTCTTTTCTCAGGCGTGAGGCTAGCAACCCCACCCTGTAAACAAAAATTGCTAAAGAAACTTCAGTATGATGAACCTCCTTGCACCAAAAGAAAAAGTCTGTGTAGGAACATGGAACGTCCGAACTATGTACGAGACTGGGAAAGCTGCCCAGATCGCCAACGAGATGAAAAGATACGGAATACAAGTGCTGGGAATATGTGAGAGCAGATGGAATGGGAGTGGACTCACCAAATTGTCAACAGGTGAGTCAGTGATCTACTCCGGTCACCCAGAAGATAACCACACGCACACCGAGGGCGTGGCTATCATGATGTCACCAACGGCAACGAAAGCCCTGATACAATGGGAGGCGATTTCGTCCAGGATAATGACCGCCAGGTTCAACTCCAAAGGAAGGAAAGTGTCAATCATACAATGTTATGCACCCACAAACAACGCAGACCTCGAGAAGAAAGAAGAATTCTACAGGCAACTACAGGCAACAATGGACAATACTCCAGCTGGCGACATGAAAATACTAATGGGAGACATGAACGCCAAACTGGGACCAGACAATACGGGAAGGGAACTCATCATGGGTAGAGAAGCTCTAGGAGAAATGAATGAAAACGGAGAACTCTTCGCCGACTTCTGCGCCTTCAACGAACTGGTGATTGGTGGCAGTGTATACAAGCACAAAGATATCCACAAGGCTACATGGGTGTCACCAGACGGGCAAACCAAAAACCAAATCGACTTCATCTCAATCTCAAGGAAGTGGAGGCGCAGCCTACTGGACACAAAAGCAAGAAGAGGAGCAGACGTTGGCTCAGACCACTATCTCGTACAAGGGACAATCCAAATCAAATTAAAAGCTTTCAGGGAATCAGGAGCTGCAGATAGACCACAAGCCAAGTTCAACACTCAAAAGCTGAAGGACCAGGCTACAAAGGACATCTTCATTGCAAGCATAAAGGACAAAGCCGAGACACAAATCAACACTAGCGAAGAGGTCGGCGTTGAAAAGCACTGGAACAACTTGAAAACGGTGTGGAGCCAAACCTGCATAGAAATTCTAGGCAGAAAAAAGAGACAGGACAAACAGTGGCTCACTACGGACACTTGGAAACTAATAGAAGAGAGAAGGACAGTGAAGCAAAAGATTATCCAGTGCACTGACGAGCAACAAAAACAGGAGCTGAATGCAAGCTACAATACACTGAACAAAAGAGTGAAGAAAAGTGCCAGGGAAGACAAAAGAAAATATTATGAAACCATGGCAAACGAAGCAGAACAAGCTGCAGGCAAAGGAGACCTCGCCACACTCTACCAAACAACTAGGAACCTTTCGGGCAAACGTTCGACACAGATTAAGCCAATAAAGGACGACAATGGAAAGTCAATCACCAAAGAGGTGGAACAGAGAAAGCACTGGGTTGAACACTTCAAAAGACTTCTAAATCGTCCGCCACCTACAACACGTCCAGCAATACCAACAACGGAAGCAGAACTACCAGTGAACACTGACCCCCCGACGAAATCAGAAGTCCTGAATGCAATCAAGATGCTTAAAACTGGGAAAACACCGGGACCAGATGGAATCCCAGCAGAGGCTTTGAAAATAGACCCAGAGACAACAGCGGACTTGATGACACCACTACTGGAGAAGGTGTGGAAAGAGGGCAAAGTACCCGAGGATTGGAAGAACAGTTACTTATTCAAACTTCCAAAGAAAGGAGACTTAAGTCAATGTAAAAACTGGCGTGGAATTATGCTTCTGTCCATTCCAAGCAAGATACTAAGTCGCATCATCCTGGAGAGAATCAAACAAGCCCTAGATGAAAAACTTCGTCCGGAACAGGCTGGATTCAGGAGAAACAAATCATGTATTGATCAAATCGCCACTCTACGGATCATCATTGAACAAAGCTTGGAATGGCAGTCACCTCTCTATCTCAACTTCATCGACTTTGAAAAGGCCTTCGACAGCGTCGATCGAGAGGTCATTTGGAAACTACTTCGCTACTACGGGGTCCCATCGACAATTATACACCTCATCCAACAGTTATACGACAATGCTGCATGCCAAGTAATCCACAACGGGAAACTTACGGAAGCCTTCGAAGTGAGGACGGGAGTGAGGCAAGGCTGTCTACTATCACCAATGATCTTCCTGATTGCAATTGATTGGATAATGCGACAGACAACGGCAACCAACGAGGGAACAGGCATAAAATGGACTGACACAAAAGACTTGGAGGATCTGGATTTCGCCGATGATATATGTCTGATTTCCCATAAACTGGAAGATATGCAAGTGAAAAGTAACAAGTTGGCAGAAGAAGCATCAAAGATAGGACTTCACGTGAACATAGATAAAACAGAGATAATGAAGATTCCTAGCCAACATCAACAGCAACAACAACAACAGACAACAATAAGCATAAATGGGAAGAACCTGAAAGAAACAACCTCCTTCACCTACCTGGGAAGCATCGTCTCAACTACAGGCGGAACTGACGAGGACATCAAAGCCAGAATCGGAAAAGCAAGACAAGCTTTCATTACTCTCAAATCTGTGTGGAGGTCAACAGCATCAGCATCAAAAATAAGATCCGGATTTTCAACTCCAATGTGAAGTCAGTGCTACTATACGGATCAGAGACTTGGCCAGTCATAAAGAGCATCTCAAACAAACTTCAGACCTTCATTAACAGCTGTCTTCGCTCAATACTCAAGATCAGATGGCCGGAAAAGATCAGCAACAGGGATCTCTGGGAGCGAACCAATCAGGAACCGATTGTGAAACAAATAGGCAGAAAGAAATGGAGATGGATTGGCCATACGCTGAGGAAACCATCAAGTGACATCACTAGACAAGCCCTCGAGTGGAACCCGAAAGGGAGGCGGCGAGTTGGTCGTCCAAGGGTGACTTGGAGGAGGTCATGAGAGGAGGAGATGAAAGCATGTGGACAGACCTGGAGCAGGGTGAAAAAGTTGTCAGAAAACCGAAGTCAATGGAGGTGCGCAGCTGAAGCCCTATGTTCCTCTAGGAACTAAAGGATACAATAATAATAATAATAATAATAATAATATACAACATTTAGAATTATTTATCGCATTCCTACTAATCTTAATTCTACTCTACAAGTTCGTCTTCTACATACCTACAGCTGAAGCAATAGGAATCTACCTGAATAAACAAGCCAAACTTGTGTGTGATTAGAAGAAATTTGTACAGCCACTTTCCTTACCTTGGCCATCGTTACATGAATGTATAAAGTGGACCACTTCGCCCCCTCCTCCTAAACCTTTAAAACTATAATTGTCCAAATTATTTTACTTTTTATTTATTTTGACCACTTCATCATTAATTTACGTGTTATCCTTGTAAAATTAATTTATTCTAACCATTTCTACCTTTTAATTGTGTGTATTGACTTTCTTCGTTAATTATCGCCCCACTGCCCATTGACATTTTGACAGTGACTGACTAATTTTGGTTAACAAGCATATCAGTGCAACTTACTTGATTGGTAAACTGTTGTGTATTGTAATAATAAAAATGCTATACGTGTCATGTTAGAGTAGAGCCCCAAAGTGAGATGACGATCTAATTGAAAAGTAAACATATTTCTTCGCTGCTCAATCTTTCTCTTTTTTATATGCAATATTGTAGATATGTATTGAAAATTCCACACTGTACCTCTAGTACTGCTTCTGGAATAAAAGCAAAATTATTATTATTATTAATTATAACAACACCTGTTCTTAGGATCTCGAGGATAGCAGTCAGACACACCTTTTGGTGTGACCACATTCACAACTCTTACTCAACTACCTACTCTGATGTAGGCTAACATTACTTGACGAGGTGAACGATTGTTTGGTATGTGTAACACGTGTCTCAGCCATCTTCATTCATTCAGTACAACTTTACAATCCTATTGATTGATTTACCCCTCTGCTTACCTAACACTTTGCACCACCTAACCTCAACACCCACCTTATAGTATTTAACACAAGAAATAGAACGTAGACAGCTATGGCCAAATACTGCTAGTCCATTCATCACTCGTTTGGTGTCATCACTAAAATACAAAACTGGAGTCATCAATAAATTCAATGATCTCAACTGACTGCCTTCGAAATTTGGATTGATGCAAACCATGAATAAATAATGGACAGCGGGGAAACTGGTAAGTAGACACACATAGACAACTCAATTCACCAAAGTGGTGAGAGAGTAGGTGAAATAGTCATCATATTACATTACAGGAGACAGTATAAAGGTCGAGATTACCACAAAACAATAGTCTTTCTGGTATCTGCTTCAATTCACACAGAAGACCAGATAATTTCTTTCATATCTGACCCCTAGAAAAGTCGAAAGAATGGCGTAACAGGTAAGTGCAGAGGGGCGGGGGGGGGCAACGGGGGATAAAAATGCAACAAAGAAAGAAGACTTACAAGGCCGATAACGTCTGTACACAATACTTTGAGCACGAAGCATCAATTGAATATGCAGACGATTTGGTCCACGCGACAGTTTACTTCGATTGCATAAAAACTGATAGGCTTTAGTAATGGATTGAAATTTCTCCTGAGAGAGATTAGGAAAAAAAAGAAAAGGAATTAGGCGTCTGCATAAAGAAAAAAACTTAGCGACGAATGAAAATAAATATGAAAGAAACACTAGATAGGTTTTTCATTGCAAAGGTTGGGATACATGTCAATCCTGACAAGTGCCAATTGGCCTAATAGCGCTTCAGATTGAAAACAATTAAGAAATCTTTGTGGGCTTCTTCATCTTCCATCAATTTACTACTTATTATTACTGATGGAGACATTGATTCATTGGCTTCAGTACTCGTATTTTAGCAAACGGTTTTCGGGCTCGAATCCCGTTTTTTACTTACCTAAACCTGGATATCGCTCACACAGTAATTATGTGGTTCATAGCCTATCAGTTTTGCGAAAAATCTGTTCTAGGTAACCGAGATAATCAATCAAATGAGTTTTACAAAATATGGCTGAAAAAGGTCATACCCCACTACTTCTAAATTACTCCCGCTACGATATAGAAATCAATATCATGTTCCTATGTGCTTGAGGCGAGATGTTCACGGATAAGTGGGCTCGGAACTGCAATGTAATCTACCTGACTCCAGTTTATCATGGGAAGTCTTTGTTCTATGTGTTGGTTGACCTAGATTCAATGTTAACTGGTGGTTGTCAGTCATTAAATTGAACTGATTACGCTGAACAGAAAGTACATCTCCTAAATTCGGAACACTAAGAGGTGTGGAATCTGAAATCAAGACATAAAAGTAAATATATTGGATTCTAACTGCCCAGCAAAATCTCTACCCTTCAAAAAACAGTAAATATGCAAATTATATGCACCACATCAACAATTGTTCAGAATAGAAAACACATGGCATAACCAAGCTAAGGGAATCAAGCCTCCGCTACGATAAATTAGTATAATATAAGAGCCTATTTCATTGTGTCAACAAATTTAAAAGCCAGGGAGTACTGGATAGCTGCTGTTTCATCCTAGTTTGGGAATCATCGGCAGTACGCACCCACTGGGATTCGAACCCAGGACCTTCCGGTTACAAGGCCAGCAAGCTCGTATACCATTCAGTCACTGGGACCCGCCCGATTCAATGGCTCATGAATTTTAGCTTCTACTGATTCGTGATTTTAGCGCGACCCCAACCATTATCGTTGGTGGGACATCCACCCACAGACGTGACATATAATTGGACCTCACTGGTCACGACTTCTCACTAGAACTGACTCCAGGAAACTCCAACCTGTAGCAAGTCACTAGCGAGCATCAGATTAATTTTCTATAGTTTTGGTTTGTAAGGGTTAGTTTTGTTTTTACTAGTTGATCAAGGATTGATATCAGTTGGAGAACCATTGAAAACCAACAGGAAGTACTGGACAGCTCTTTCATCCTAAAATCATGAATTGGTAGAAGTTAGTATTCATGAGCCATTGAATCGGGTCTCGGTGGCTGGAATGGTATACGAGCTTGCCTTGTCCTGGGTTCGAATCCAGTTGGGGTGAGCGCGTACTGCCGATGGTTCTCAAACTAGGATGAAACAGCATCTGTCCAGTACTCCCTGGTTTTCAATGGTTCTGTAACTGATATCTATCCGTGATCAACTCGTAAAAACATAACTAACCCTTACAAACCAAAACTATAGAAAATTTAAAGGCATCGATAATGACGGTGAAAATCTCTCCAGATCGATATTTTTCAAAAGAGACCTCGGTCACCATACAGCATATCAACTAGGGAAAATCACCGAAAACTATAAAATGTGAGGTGGATGGGTTGGTTGGACAACTCATGTATTGAAGTCCTAAAGTGTTGGATTCTTCAGTAGAATGTACACTATCTTACAATCTTGGTGTTCGCTATATGAGGTCTATCTAGAAGTCACACAAACGCCTATAAATTAATTAATTAACGATTGTGCATGGGGGTTCTGGTGAGAGTCAGTGACCAGTAGGGTGCAGCAGATTGAAGGTGATGCAGTAACCCATCGAAGAAGACATTGCGAAATGGTCGCGCTATGTCGTGAATTGACAGAAGTTAGAATTCATGGACTGGTCACTGGATCAGGTCGTAGTGGCTTAATGGTCTACAAGCTACCTCGCCTTGTAACCAGAAGGTCCTGGGTTCGAGCACCGGTGGGTGTGTACTGCTGAAGAATCCCAAACTAGGCTGACGAAACAGTGGCTGTCCAGTACTCCCACCTGGTTTTCCAATGGTTCTCTAACTGATATCAGCTCATGATGATATCCCGTAACTAATTGTACATGTGTATATTAAACAAGTTCGCAATAATAACACGTAATAATCGCAACTCACTCGACCATTTGGATTTTTATCTGGATGATACTTCATAGACATTTGATAATAAGCTCTACGAATAAACGACTCTTCATTTGATCTACAAAAACGATTTTATTATGATAAACGCAATGATTAGATAAAGTGATACATAAAGAGGATAAAAACCTGATTTAACAACAATCTGTCAGCTAGTGCACAACACTTTGTCGTTTGAAACGATGCGTGACGGGATCCAGTCTCAGTGGGAACACTATCAGTCGCTGAGAATGCAGATACATTCAGCTGGTGGGGGTCCTAAATAGGAGGAAATGTGCACCCTCGATTTTTCTACTGCTAGTTTATCCGTATTTCTTTGATGTTTGGTGGTAATATACTGAGATCTGAATTCTACTGCATAGAGAATCTATCGTGCCTCTTAGTTTAGGATACTTACTCACATAAATTGTATTACCGAAAGCTGCTACCTTGACGTGGTGGTCGGGCTTGAACACCGCAATGACCTAATCAAGCTATACTGGCTGAGACTTATGTCTCTTGAGGTTCTACCATGCCAGGCAGGTTGTTTGGATAGCGGTTAAACAAAAAGCAGCTACCCAATCCAACATCATGATCCAAACAAAATTACAAAATTTCATGCCGGATCGGCCGTGGCCCGGATTAACAACGACCGCGCTTCCTGCTGCCGTGTCACAGGGCGGGAGTGATAAATATGCTACTGAGACACACAAAACAACGAAGAACGAACAAAAACAGGCCGCGTGTGACCGGCCTCAAGCAGTTGTCCCCTGGGCTCTGCGGTCACGCAACCAACTTCCACGGTGTGGGCAGCCGGGAAGTAACAATCGCCCTCACAATCCGAAATGCACACGAAACCTCTCTATTACTCACTCATCTTTGTCTTCATCTTCATCTCTATCATCTTGCCTTCCTTCCACTGATGCAACTCCTCGACTTGATAGCTCTCCACTTCCTCTCCACTCTGCGTCCACTAAAAACGATGGAAGCCAAAAAACCACCACCGACAGCCTCTTAAAGCCGCGCCACCAATTTCATATAGGAGCTCTTAATGTTAGGACACTTTGCCAAATAGGACAACAAGCATCACTAGCCAAGACCCTGGCATCACGAGCCATTGATGTATGCTGTGTTTCAGAAACACGCATACAAGACCCAAGTGTGGTTATTCACCTAACCCCACCTGGCCAACAGGTTGAATCTGCAAAATTCACCTTGAGGGTGTCAGGAGATGCCACAGCTAGTTCACGAGGATTAGCTGGCGTAGGGATAGCTTTGAGTACTAGGGCAGAAAAGACATTGCTTGACTGGATCCCGGTAGATAGCCGAATGTGTGCTGTCCGCCTGAACGGATCAGTAAGAAGGAGGAAGGACTGCACTACTCGCCGATGCCTTTTCGTAATCTCCGCCTACGCCCCCACTGACTGCAGTTCAGATGAAACGAAGGATGAGTTCTACCAAAAGCTGTCTAGTTTGGTGGAAAGGCTAAACGCTCAGACATAGTCGTTCTAGCTGGTGACTTTAACGCTCAAGTAGGGAAATTGTGTCAATCTGAGAAGGATGTCGGTGGCACCTATGGAGCTCCGTGCCAGCGAACCGACAACGGTGACCGTCTCCTACAGTTCTGCTCTGATAATCATTTGTTTCTTGTAAGCACTAACTTTAAACACAAGGAGAGACACTGTTTGACTTGGAGACCCCCTTCATCAAACCAACGCTGGACACAAATAGACCACATAGCAATAAGCTATCGTTGGCGTGGGTCGGTAGGAGATTGTCGCTCCTTCTGGAACACGTGCGTAGATACCGACCATGCACTGGTCCGCGCTCGGGTGTGCTTACGACTGAACGGACGTAGGAAACAGCTGGCGGTAAAACCATCACGTCCCCAGCTCGATCAGGAAACTAAATCCGTATTTCAGGAAGAACTAGCTAAACACATATCTGTGTTCGACAGCTGTGCTCACCCTGAAGAAGCTTGGAAAAATATCCAGGCAGCCATAGATACAGCTGTAAAAGCTGTGAATAAGGTAAACCCAAAGGTGAGTAAAAACCACTGGATCTCCACCGCCTCATCCGAACTGATAGATGCTAGAAGACTTATTCCGGCGAGCTCCGAATTCAATGAGGAGCGAAAGCTGCACAAGAGGAAACTTACGAAAAGTCTCCGCAAGGACCGTGAACAGTGGTGGGCGACAAAAGCCAAAGAGATGGAGAAAGCTTTGAGGATAGGCAACACCAGGCAACTCTTTGGACTCATCAGGGAAACGGGTGGGAGAAGACAAATCATTAGTGAGACAATCTCGGAAAAAAATGGCACTATAATTAGCTCACAGGATAGACGACTGGATCGTTGGAAAGAGCATTATGAGGAGCAGTTTAATTTGCCCACAGCCACGCTCAACCTTCCGAGCATCCAACACCTCCCTGAATGGGATATAGACACAGGTCCTCCGTCACTAACTGAGGTTACTAAAGCTGTCACCAATCTGAAACTAGGCAAAGCAGCGGGACCTGATGGAATGACTCCAGAGGTATTTAAGTACGGTGGAGACAGCTTACTGTCCGGATTAACTGAGGTACTAGGCAGCGTCTGGGAATCAGAAGAAGTCCCATCGGGTTGGTGTAAGTCACTGATTATCCCCATATACAAGAAGGGAGACAAGTCTTCCTGTGATAATCACAGAGGGATTAGCTTGACTAATATAGTATCTAAAGTCTTAGGCTCAATAATCATGCGTAGACTGAGTGGTGCTCGGGAAGCACAAACACGAGAGAGCCAGGCAGGCTTTAGACCAGGAAGAGGGTGTATTGATCATATCTTCACCCTCCGACAGATTCTAGAACATAGGCATTCCTACCGGCGTCCAACAGTCATTATATTTCTTGACCTAAAGGCAGCATTCGACTCTGTCGATCGGGAAGTTCTCTGGAGATGCTTGGCTGTAAAGGGAATTCCAAGAAAATATATTGCACTGATTAAGGCACTCTATTCGTACTCATACAGCCAGGTGAGGGCTTACGGCGAGCTGTCATCTGAACTGATGACGACCAGTGGTGTCCGTCAAGGATGCCCATTATCTCCTTTTCTATTCAACTTCATCATAGATGTGTTAATGGACTTAACCCTAGGTGACTTCAGCGACTCAGGGATTGACTTGCTACCGGGGAATAATCTCGTTGACTTGGAATATGCAGACGATATAGTCCTTCTAGGCGAAGACGCTGACGAAATGCAGAGTCTTCTAAACACCTTGAGCCGCAATCTACGAATGTTTGGCATGCGATTCGCTCCCGCCAAATGCAAGATGATGTTACAGGACTGGACTACATCGACGCCTAGTTTAAAAATAGGAAGTGAAGTGGTAGAGCACGTTGACCGCTTCACTTATTTGGGAAGTACCATCAGCCCCAACGGGCTGATCTCTGACGAAATCTCAGCACGAATACAAGGGGCTCGTTTCGCATTTGTTAGTTTACGCCGACTCTGGCGTAGACGAGATGTTCGACTATCGACCAAAGGGCGGGTGTACTGCTCATCAGTCCGCTCCGTCCTCCTTTATGGTTGTGAGACCTGGCCACTGAGAGTGGAAGACATGAAAAGACTAGCTGTCTTTGATCATAGGTGCCTGCGTTCTATTTCCCGTGTAAAGTGGCATAATAAGGTGAGCAACATGGAGGTTAGGCGTAGAGTTCTAGGTAAACAGGGGAAATCAATCGACGAAGTCGTGAAGCTACAAAGACTGAGATGGTTAGGACATGTGTTACGTATGCCAAGCCATCGCCTCCCTCGACGAGCTATGTTAGCGGATATAGGGTCAGGCTGGAAAAAAGCTAGCGGCGGTCAAACAAAAACTTGGCATCAGTCAATGAAATCCACAACAGTTGGTCTAAGCCACGTAGGAAGGTGTAGACTTCCAGGCTGGGGTCCTCGGGACGGTAAAAATCTATGGTTGGAAACAATTGGTGACATGGCTCAAAATCGTTCTCAGTGGCGCAGATGCATCCACTCCCTGTGACTTATGATCTTCAATGAAACTGTTTTGTATTTCTTTATTACTCCTTTGTCTCACACCTCTGCTCACTGTTTCTATTATGCTTTTCTTGTACTTTCTTCTCTTGCTTCGCGTGCTACACGGAATGTGGCGACTTGAACTTCCGCACATTTGTGCAAAGTTCTATGTCGAAAACAGACAGACAGACAAGAACAGCTGTATTGAATCAAATCAATATTTATCTGTGGTAAACTCTTCTCGCTCAACACATAATAAAGATATTAACTTTTAGCATAAAGTGCTAGGCTTTCATTCATCTTCTAGCTTATCAGATGGTCATTTATGCATCTGGCGAGCTACACCAGCTCGTAGAAGTAGAGGAGAGCAGTTAGTTAGTGTATTGGCAGAAATCAATTGTCACCCAGAACAAATTTTTCGTATACCAGAATATAATATACCAGAACTTCAACCGGAACAAACTGGATTCACGAGAAACAAGTCATGTATTGGTCAAATCGCCACTCTACGGATCATCACTGAACGAAGCTTGGAATGGCAGTTACCTCTCCACCTCACTTAACTTCATGGACTTTGAAAAGGCCTTAGACAGACAGCGTCGATCGAGAGGTCATTTGTCAACTACTTTGCTACTACCAGGTGCCGCCGACATCTATACATCTCATCCAACAATTATACGACAATGATTCATGCCAAGTTATCTACAACGGGAAACTTACGGAAGCCTTCGAAGTAAGGACGGGAGTAAGGCAAGGCTGTCTACTATCTCCAATGATCTTCCTGATTGCAGTAGATTGGATAATGCGACAGACAACGGGAAATGAGGAAACAGGCATAAAATGGACTCACTTTTACAAAAAACTTGGAGGATCTGGACTTCGCCGATGATATATGTCTGATTTCCCACAAATTGGAAGATATGCGAGTGAAAAGCAACAAGTTGGCGATGGAAGAAGCATCAGAGATAGGAGACTTCAAGTAAACATAGATAAAACAGAGGTGATGAAGATTCCTGGCCAACACCAACAGCAACAACAACAACAGACTACAATCAGCCAGCATAAATGGAAGAAATCTGAAAGAGTCAAGCTCCTTTACCTACCTACTTGGTAACCATCGTTTCAACTACAGGTGGATGGAACTGATGACGATATCAAAGAGAGGAACATCGGGAAAGCAAGACAAGCTTTCATTACTCTCAAGTCTGTGTGGAGACCAGCACCACTAATCAGCATGAAAAATAAAATCCAGATTTTCAACTCCAATGTGAAGTCAGTGCTACTATACGGATCAGAGACTTGGCCAGCGCGTCATAAAGAGCATCTGAAACAAACTTCAGACCTCCATTAACAGTTGTCTTCGCTCAATACCACTCAAGATCAGATGGCCAGAAAAGATCAGCAACAGGGATGGATCTCTGGCAATGAGCCAACCAACCCAGCAGGAACTGATTGTGAAACAAATAGGCAGAGAAATGGAGATGAATTGGCCATACCTGAGGAAACCATCAAGTGACATCACTAGACAAGCCATTGCTCGATTGTAACCCGACCGGATCGGAAGCGGTGAGTTGGTCGTCAATGCAAGGGTGACTTGGAGGAGGTTATGTGAAGAGGAGATGAAAGCATGTGAGCAGACTTGGCGCGGGGTGAAAAAGTTGGCAGAAAATCGAAGGCAGTGGAGACGTGTGGCTGAAGCCCTATGTTCCTCTAGGAACTAAAGGATATAATAATCATAATATCCTACAATAGGATTATATACAACCAATAGGAGAAAGCGACATCGAAAGGGACATGGAGGAGATAAGAGCTTACGAGGAATCATGTTGCCAACTAAAATGTGATTGCAGAAAACAGAAGGGAATAGAAACCTGCTCTTGAATCCTTATGTTCCACTGGGAACCATACGGAATAATAATAATTATTATTATAATAACTAACATCAGACACACTTCAAAGCAACCTTGTCCATATAAAAGACCAAATCCCGAGAGATTCTACATCTAATTGTGTCTATAAAATAAAATGCTTGGAATGTGATGTGAAACGATCTACATCGGATAAAGATCTCGAGAAATCAAAATCAGATGAAATGAACACCGTAGAGCCGACTCTGTTCGACCACCGAGAAATCCAGTTGAACTAGAAAAACTTGAAAAATCATCAGCCATAGCTCGTCTACACGCTATGGTAGAATCAGGTCACAAAATCGATTTTGGCAATATTGAAATAATCCAGAAAAAAGATTTCAGAAATCACAAAGAACGTCCAATATCAAAAGCCAGCCATTCATATCAAATGGAATCCAAATTGTCTGAACTGAAGAGGAATGGTAGACTAAAACATAATCTGACCTGGTTACAACACCTCCCTTCCCTCACCCATGAAGTTACAAAATCAACACAAATGTGATAAGCAAGTTCACTATGTAAACACACACACACACACACTGTTTTTATAATTTTACGTACTGATCAAATCCAACAATCTACACTTGATTTTGTTATCGCTACCAATTGACCAACTTGACAACAAAAAATGACCCCAGACTGACAAACGATGATCAAGTTTGTTTTGATATCATAACAGATGTACTATTACCTTTGTTATTTGGTTTAGTGATCTTCATTACTATTCTGAGTTTCTATACGTCCCTTTAACTTGACCTAACTTGAGTCTATTTTCTCACCTCTTAACTCTTTGTTATATATTTGATGCCAAGCCATCGCCTCCCTCGACGAGCAATGTTAGCGGATATAGGGTCAGGCTGGAAAAAAGCTAGCGGCGGTCAAACAAAAACTTGGCATCAGTCAATGAAATCCACAACAGTTGGTCTAAGCCACGTAGAAACGTGTAGACTTCCAGGCTGGGGTCCTCGGGACGGTAAAAATCTATGGTTGGAAACAATTGGTGACATGGCTCAAAACCGTTCTCAGTGGCGCAGATGTATCCACTCCCTGTGACTTATGATCTTCAATGAAACTGTTTTGTATTTCTTTATTACTCCTTTGTCTCACACCTCTGCTCACCGTTTCTATTATGCTTTTCTTGTACTTTCTTCTCTTGCTTCGCGTGCTACACGGAATGTGGCGACTTGAACTTCCGCACATTTGTGCAAAGTTCTATGTCGAAAACAGACAGACAGATGCTGAGTGGATTTTGTAAATTCCGGTTTAATAATACTGCTTTGAAAAAGCTATTAGAAGCAGCATTATATAACGAATCGTCAGTAAAAAAAACAATATCATTTTGTTTTTTATTCATTGAGTGGGAAATACAAAAAAAGCCTTTATTATAATGAATATCATATACCAAATATGCCAAAATGTTTTCAAACTGTTAAAAGTGAATTTGGTTTGGACATATATAACTGACTACTTACGAGTTTAACTGGTTCACATCTAAGCCAAGTTCACGTAATGCCTCCTCATAGGACATATTTACAGGCTTTTTCTGAAGTTCATCACGCCAAGCTTTTAGAATATCACGTATCAATGCTACCTGTAAATAAAGAAATCAAACAGACATTTTATTGGTAAGAGGAATATTACGCAATCGATTTGTTTTAGCACTAATAATAATAATAATAATACCATCAATATACGTGTAAAATCTGATTGACAGGGTTAAATCAGATGCAGCTTTATTCAGTTAGTAGGCATCAAATTTTGTCATCCACTCTAACCTGTACATCTGAGAAGCGTTGAAAGAGCCATAAATTGAAGTTTAAGTCATAGCACATAAAATATGAAGAGATATAAGCGGGACACAACTGTGAAACTAACCTATGTGTATACAGTGAATCAGTGGTTCAGCAGTAGAGCACTTACCGACCATAAATATGGTCTGTGGTTCAATTACCGGCCGGCGAACTCCTGTATTTCGCCTAGTGAATTAGCCGGTAATAACCCCGAAAAGACGGAAGACTAGACACATGACGCTAGTATATTCAACCCGTGGAAAATAACACGGCTGAAGAAAATTCTAGGCTATTGATCTCAAGCTCTATGTTCCACTCAGAATTCAAGGAATATATATATATATATATATATATATATATATATATATATATATATATATAGTACTATTTGACGACGATTATCTGAGACAATCTTGGGTTAGCAGACCGTTATTGATGTAGCGAAGCCGATGACGATTGCAGCTGGAATAAAAATATCGGTTATGTGTGTGTTTATGTGTATGTGTCAGAATTCGAACTAGTGGTCGTGGAATAACTAATCCAACGCCTTACCGGAGATTAACGACAACCAACTACTAACCAAGTTGTCATTCCATAGCAATCACTACGAGTAATGCCCAGTTGCAATGTGAATATGCTACCATGTATTTGTCGACACACTAACTGATCAGCTATACTTATCTTCTAACAAACTAGACGGAGAACAACAGGTTGTTAATTCATGATGAGATTATCTGGGAGAGCGTCGGTGGACACGAACTGATATGAGTTATAGAACCATTAAAGGATGAAAAGTACCGGAGAACTGCCTCATCCTACTTGGGAACTCTAGCAATACGCATCCAAGACCCTGTCGTGGATCGAATCCTGGACATTCGGATAAAGAGGCAAGCTTATCAATCATTCAGTCATTTGGACAGAATCCAACAGCCTATGTATTCTAATGTCTCTTATTGATATTGCATTTACTAATTGAAGGTGAAATGGAAAACTCGGTAGCCACTGGATTCGAACATACAATGTAGGTTAAACGTAATAATTCTGTAACTTTTAGAACCTCTGCCTCTGTCTGTTTTCGACATAGAACTTTGCACATATGTGCGGTAGTTCAAGTCGCCACACTCCACTCCATGTACCACACAAAGCAACAAAAGAAAGTAGAAGAAATGCATATTAGATACAGTAAACAGAGGTGTGAGACAAAGGAATAGTAGTAACGAGGAACAAAACAGTTTCATTGGAAATCGTTAGTCACAAGGAGTGGATGCATCTGTACCAGCCATTGAGAACGATCACTTTGAGCCATATCACCAATTGTTTCCAGCCTTCATTTGTTTTTACCGTCCCGAGGACCCCAACCAGGACGTCTACACCTTCGTACGTGGCTTAGACTTACTGTTGCAGATTTCATTGACTGGTGAATCCATGTTTTGGTTTGACCGCCGCTAGCTCTTTACCAGCCTGACGCTATGTCAGCTAACATTGCCCATTGTCGAGGAAGGCGATGACTAGACATACTTAACACATGTCCTAACCATCTCAGTCTTTGTACCTTCACAGCCTCATCGATTGATTTCCCCTCCTTAACTGGAACTCGACCGTTAACCTCAATATTGCTCACCTTAGTATACCACTTCACATGGGAGATAGAGCGCAGGCACCTATGATCAAAGACAGCTAGCCAGGCTTTTCATGTCTTCCACTCTCAATGGCCATATCTCAATCACAGTCATAAAGGAGGACGGAGCGGACTGATGAGCAGTACACTCGGTCTTTGGTCGATAGACAGCCAGATATCACACCTACGCCAGAGACGATGTAAACTGGTATATACGAAACCAGCTCTCTGTATCCATGCTACTTTTAAAACCATTAAGGCTCAGAGGTAAGTACAGTTAATCATTTTGCTTGGACCACAACAATTCGATGTAGACTTATACCACAGTCGTGTTTTTGTGAACTTTCAAATTACTCAATCCGAATTCATCAATTTATAAAATGCGAAAAGAGAAAAATAGGAGAAATCAACTTACCGGATCACGTATAGGCCAATCAGGAAATCTTCGTGTATCGCATAAATGACGTAGATAATAATTATTACAAAATAATTCATTCTCCAATTGTGGATAGATAATAATTGGCATACCAATAAATCGGTAGATAGCACGTATATTACTTTGCAGGCGAGGTGAAAAGTCTGCTAAATGCGATGTTATCCGACCAATCATGTACCTTCTAAAAAATTGGAGAAACCCCGGGAAACAACTGATAAATAGGCAGTGAAGATAACGTGTTTACATGGTGATATCTAATCTAGTTTGAATGATAGAAAAGTCTAGAAATACGACAGTGGCTACAGCCTAGCACACTAAATAAGTGTATCTGTTACATGTCCTATATGAAGTTATTCGTGAACCTGAATGTCTCCAAGAGGATGTCACTCCCAACGGAGTTGCAGATACAAATGGGGCTGACGAAAGTCAACAAGCTAAAAACCCAGGTCCAAGGCACCTCAACGATCGCATGAAGACATATATAACACCAATTTGAAGCGAGAGGCAGTGGTGGGTTATCAAGCTTCGTAAGGGCGCATTGCAAACTTGACTGATAGTATTCACTTGGCACCTTCACACAAATTGGATCAGCTTGACTAATATGGTATCCAAAGTTCCAGGTTCAATAATAATTCGTAGATTAAATGGTACTCGAGAGGCACAAACACGAGAGAGCCAGACAGGCTTTTGACCAGGAAGAGAGTGTATTGATCATATTGATCACCCTTCGACAGATTCTGGAACATAGGCATACTTACCACCGGCGTCCAACAATCGTCATATTTCTTGTTCTGAAAATGGCTTTCGCTTCCGTCGACCGGTACTATAGCTTTTTGGCTGTGAAGGGAATCCCGAGAAAATAAATTGCACTAATCAAGGCACTCTACTCGTAATCATGCAGCCAGGTGAGAGCTTACGGAGAGTTGTCATCTGAAGTGGTAATAACTAGTGGTGTCCCCTTCAGTGAGGGATGCCGACTGTCCCTATTTCTATTTAATTTCATCATAGACGTACTAGTGGACTTAAGTCTAACTGCCTTCTGTGACTCAGAGATTGCATTGTTACCACTAGTGAATAATCTCGTTGACTTGCAGAATATGCAGATGGTGATATAATCCTTCTAGGTGAAGAGGCTGGCAAATCGCAGACTTCTGAACACCCTGAGCTGCAATCTGCGAATCTGTAACAGGACTTCATCATGAACTGAAATTAGTTAGAGAACCATTGGAAAACCAAATGGGAGTATCGGACAGCTGTTTCCTACGTTCTAGTTTGGGACTCTTCATCAGTACGCACCCACCGGGGTTCGAACCCAGGACCTCCTGGTTACAAGGCTGGCGAGCTCGTATACCATTTAGCCACTGGGACCCGATCCAATGACCCCTGAGTTCTAACTTCTGCCAATTCACGATATAGCGCAACTGCTAGCCAATGTCTTCGCTGGCGAGTATATGTCCTCACACCCGACTTGCCGCACCCTACTGGTCACGACTTCTGTGAATCTTTGGCATGCGATTCGCTCCTATCAAATGTAAGATAATGCGACAGGACTGACTGGACTACATTGACTCGTTGCTTAGAAGCAGGGAGTGAATTGGTTGGTAGAGCGTGTTGACCACTACACTATGTACGGTGGAACAGAGTACATATCGTCAATGAATACCACTCGAATTACAGTTCTATTAACTAACAGATGACGATATAGTGAAAAGTATACACAACAACAACAACAACACTACCAACAGGAAAAACCATTCAGATAAAAAACGTACCGCATTTCCGGATTCCATATAGCTTCCGGTGAATCAAAATCACCGAGGAATATTTCAGCAAATTTCTCCGGTGAATGGTTTTCTAAATAAGCAATCATTGCATCTGGTAGCATATTTCCCAATATTGATCTTGATGTGAGATCAGCTCCAGATGATCCTGTGAACTGTAATACATATAAAATTTTTTTAAAAAAATCAACAACAAAACACTTAACATTCACAATAAAATATACTTCATAGAGTGTATGCAAACGCTGAACTACTGTAAGAAACACAAAGTTTTTGATGTGGTTGCGTTCTTTGAGCTGGATAGTTAGTTAATTTGCGAAGATTTCACCCCCCCCCCTGTCTACTAGGCGACATCTTCAGCGCATACACTTCAATTCGATGAAGTGAGCTTTTAGACTTCTCCACGAGTTCACTAATAATCATCTCTTCTGGTCGCTGACCTTGAACGTGATTAGTTGTTTTTGTATGTTTTCACAGCTTCTAGGTTACTTTGTATTGGAACTGATTGTTTCTTTGACTTGAACTTTGACCCTTTGTTTGTGTGAGGTTTCTTTCTTATCGGTTGATAAATTTTGTCTATCTCGATGTGTCTATTGATTGGTGATTGACTTCGTCTTCGTATCCACGAGCATAAGCTAGCCGTCAAAAGACATGATATCCACTCCCTCATATCAATCACTGCATACAGACAACCACAGACATCAATTCGAATGGGACCACCAACGTTCAAATATTAGACAGAGGAAACAACAAGAATGCTAGAGAATTTTTAGAGGGTTGGCATTCCGGTGAATCATCAATCAATAGACACATCGAGATAGACAAAATTTATCAACCGATAAGAAAGAAACCTCACACACAAAGGGTGAAACTTCAAGTCAAAGAAACAATCAGTTCCAATACAAGTAACCCAGGAGGTGTGAAAACATACAAAAACAACTAATCACGTTCAAGGTCAGCGACCAGAAGAGATGATTATTAGTGAACTCGTGGAGAAGTCTAAAAGCTCACTTCATCGAATTGAAGTGTATGCGCTGAAGATGTCGCCTAGTAGACAGGGGGGGGGTGAAATCTTCGCAAATTAACTAACTATCCAGCTCAAAGAACGCAACCACATCAAAATCATCCACCTCAGCTACAAATCTTCTCTATCATATCTGAAACACAAAGTATATGAAATATTAATAGTCTGTGTGAAGTGATGACCACTCTTTTTGAGGTCTATGCATATACCATTAGCGCAAAACTTGATAACAGTGACTTGCTTGAATTCTCGGACTATCTAAATTTTCTATGCAGAGAAACGCATCGTATTTACACTACTACTACACATTGTGTTTTAATCAACCAGTCATGTCTAAGAATAGCAATGACTACTCCGGCATATTTTTAAATACGATCCAGCCAACTGTTATGAATTGTTTGAGGGAGATGGGGGAAAAACACTATGGAGTAGCATTGGATTATGCTTTGGATGATACATTATTGATGATTATATTACTTGTAGATTCTGTACAAATAGTCAATAGCTTACAATGAGAAAACACATTTAGAATTGCGTACTGTGTATAAACCCGTTTTCCAGAAGGAAACAATTATTAATATTATTATTATTATTATCACTATTACTAGCCATAGCAAGAATGAGGAAGACAGATGTGAGAAACATCGGTAAAATGCTAAGCTAATGCATTCAGTCCACTATTCGTAAACAGTAACAACCATATACTTCATAAGGCATTTATTCTTCTGAAATAATAAATAGAAGACTTGTAGGTGAGGTGGATGACAAAGTCGAACTTTAACCAGCACTAACTACCAATCAGCGAATGACCTTCAACGCACCGATCACATGAAAGCGGCATTTTTGGTTATGGAAAACATATATATTTATGAAAAAGATGCATAAATACATAAAACTGTTACATAGAGTATCTTTCTCTCACATGTAACAAAAACGTCTCCCAAGTTTAGCATAGGAGTATCAACTGAAACATTACACCACATCCTACACATGTATTCATCTAAATGACTATAAATCTTTTCAAGATCCATTTACAGCGCTAATCCTGTTCTCTAAACTTCCCGTGTAATGGGATCCACAAAATCATTAGAGTGGTTCATTGCGTGATGAATATATATCCAAGGGATAACAAGGAGTTATCACCTTTCCACTCATCGGTGTGTAATACAGATCCCTGTTTCACCAGTCGAGTGATAATAAATACTAAGGTAGTTAACTTTCTGTCTGCTATCCTCTCAACGAATCCTTTCATTAGTGAGGTATCATATAAGCCAATCACCGAAATATTGTTAGCTCGCTCACGACCACTGTTGTATTTTTTTTCTTCAATTTCGTCAACGTGTACGGCGACACCTTCTCCTCCTAGTAATGAAGTAATCCTCTTTGTTTTCCATGACGCGATGTATCTTCAGTGTTGGTACCACTAACCTGTTGACACAAGACTATTTTCAGTTTCAGCACCTGCACCTTCCACAAGCTGTTTTAAAACCCACTAATTACAAATATACAAAATCCGGGTTAAGGACAGATTCGACCTGGCAAAAAATGTTCCTGCGAAATATTAGAATCATCAGCTTAGCTTCTCTGACATTAACTCGTCTCAAACGAATTGCGCAACGATGGAAATATCCATCAATCAACCTGCTGAAGCCTTTTATACTCATGACAACTGCACATGGAAAAATCCTCTATTTCTTTAGCCAACCCACATCCAAGCAGTAGTGAAAAACTTTATCCTTACCAAACTGCAAGCGCAACTGCGTTACAGCAGACATTTGACTCGAATCAAGAGGAATAGAACCTTTAACTAACGTGGATGAGACTCATTGGACCATTTAAGGCCATTCCTTAGTGGTACTTAAAGTTTAGCTTCGTCGGGTGGATGATTTTGGTTTAGTTGTGTCCCCTGAGTTAGTTCATTTAATTATGAAGCTTTCGTTGTCCCCTTTCAGACAACATCTTTAGCTTAGGTTTCAGTATCAAAGAATTTATATGAATCCTCTCTACATAAATGATGTACCTGTTTTTACTGACAAACATCGTCATGATTGGTCGCGTTACTTGATATCTTTATTGATCGTTTTTAGTTACTGACTTGAAAGTTGAACTTCTTTATCATGACTTACTTTTTATTAGTTGGTAAATTTGCCTTATGGTAATGTAGACAAAGCAGATATATGCGTATATATCAAGCTACCCTATATGGGGCATCAAAGCAGCTTGATAACTAGACAAAGATTGAACGCTACGGTTAAAAAGACCTTTCATGCAGCTAATATCATAATAATTCGGAGTGTGAAGCCAATATATCCATCCATCTAAGCCATTTGAACACGCATAAAAGGTGTCACATTCCACTGCATTTACCGATTTGAATGTACGTGTGACCACACATACATAGGGAAGACTCATCGGTCTCTGCAAGTAAGGGTTGATTTCAGTGCATATTCTTAAATGGCTTCAGCAGCAAACAGAATCCCCAGAAACCATTCATGGTGAGAACCGACAACAACCTAGCTCCTCTATTGATGTTTACAGGTCTTTTGAACCCATCTATAAAAAGTGTTTGGGTGAGGGCGTATCCTAAAGTTTGTTGAAGCCCTAGCTGACAACAAGTAAGTTTAAACCATCTTTAGGCGTTCAAAAACAATTCGTCATCATCACACTTAACCTTTGTAAACTTTATTTTGATAACAGTCAAGGTAGATGTACTACTATCTTTCTTATTTGGTTCAGTGGTCTCCATTGTTATTTTGACCTTCAATATGGCGGCCTTTTAACCTAAGTCTATTTTCTCACCGCTTAACTCATTAATAATTTTGATATACATTCCTATTACAAGTCGGTGTGTGTGATCAGATTGTTCGAAATCTGTTCCGCAAATACACATTACACACGATTCAGACAAATTACGACTTCTCATTGCTTTTTCTAAATTCGTTAAGGGAACTCACTGTGTTTTAAACCATGGTAATATATTTGTTAGTCGCTGATTCATTTGAATACCAATCATATCAGGAAATACCATTATATCATTCGTGCAGGAAGAATTCAAATAAGTTTATTTGATACTAAAACATTCACTGAAGATGTTTTCCAGAAGGACACCGAAACCTTCGTGATTAAATCAACCAGCTCAGGAAAAACACAATTAAATTAGGTATTCTTCTGCACTTCTCATGTCACTTGTGAAATTCCCCTTAGTATTAATTACTATTTATCCGTTTCTTCTGTAGTGACGTAACCAGTTCAGTATAAGCTATTGTTACATCACAGGAAGACATCATACTATGTAGTTTTACATCCATTGTCAGACATAGCACACACACACACACATCCCACTGTCTAATAAGACAAACAATACAGGCGTTCCTAGATTTTGAAGTTAGATCAGATCACATGGTGATACTACTCAGTTGCGTCTAAGTTGAAGTAAGAGGAAATTGATTTGGAGGACTCGGCAGGCAGTGGCTGAAAACCGAAGCCAATGAACCAGAGTTTCTCATGACTACAAACAACTACAGCTGTCTCATTCTTCTTTTTTTCTTCAAATATCTGAACGCAAAGGGTATTAGTGTTGTGTAATAATCAAGCCCAGATTGGGTAAGATGTTTGAGACTCGTCGCCAACACCCTACAACAGATTGAAGTGCTAGTTGTGAATCTCAGTTGTTGACCTTTTCTTAACCCCTATACTGCCCCTAAAGAGGAGAAAAAGAAGAAGAATAGCTGGCTTGTTGGTGGTTGTCCAACTCATGTCAGTAGTATGACATAGTCTTTCAACTCCAATAGTGTGTAAGCAGCAACGTGTATACTATGCTAATAACTACTTTTATTTAACCTGACTTTCTATCCAAGTGAAATATTTTAGCATGGTAGGGGGTAAGAAGGAATATCGATTCGTGCCAGTGTTGTGCTCATTTTGATGATTGTAATAGGCATGCCCAACCGCCATGTAAAAGTAGCATCTACTGGTCACTACCATGAGATCCTTTTAAATCAACCAATCAAAAATTGAGAATTATCATTCACATATTATTAGAAGCACTTTAGATGTAGCTGCCGTCTTATATCATAACATTGTTTCCAGTCTAGACAAGGGGGCTAAATTTGTTCGTTGTGCCTTCCTAGACTGCTTTTGACTCGGTCCCTAGGAACATTTTATTACATAAACTTCCTGCAAGTCAAACAGAATGTTGGGCTGTTAACTGGCTACATTCCTATTTCTCAGAAAGAAAGCAGTACACCGTGTATGAAGGGAAGTCTTCCACTTCATTGCCTACTGAAGCTGGTGTCCCTGAAGGCGCTGTTCTTTCTCCTTTTATTTTTTTCTTTCTTCTTGCATGACTTGCCTCACTCTGATGAAATAAACTTTGTGAAGTACGCTGATGATTTAGCAGTTTCAATGGCTGTTAAATCCCAGCTAGATTGTACCAAAATAAATAGCTTTCTATCGGGAGTCAGCAAATGGTCTGAGTCTAACGGGCTTAAACTGAATCCGTCTAAGTGTCAAACTGTTGATTTCAGCTTAAGATGTAAACGACAGTTAAAAGAAGTCATCGATTCCCATGACAGTTGTAAGGTTGATGACAATGATATAGGAATCAAATCAGAAATTAAGTATCTTGGACTTATTCTCTCTTCTGATCTCTCCTGATCTTCCCATGTCTTAGCAATCTCCAGTAAAATATTCCGCCTGACATTTTACACTAATAAGTTAAGGCACTCGGGTATAACTCAACCAACCCCTCCTCTTACAGTTCATAAACTCTTGCATCCTACCTATTCTTCTTTATTGTTCACCCTCATTCTTTCCTGGTTTGCTTAAAAAGGACTATGTCACAATTCGTAGAATACTGAAGACTGTCAGTAGGGTGAGTGGTGTCCCAGTGGACCACATAGTTAACGTCGTTGTCGATAGACACTTGACTTTGTGAAATAAATTTGCTAAAGGGATTTTGTGTGACTTGGAGCATCCACTTCACCCTCAGCTTTCACTCTGCATCTCCTCAGGTAGAACAAGAACGTAACTTCAGAAAACTGTATGCTCGCACATCTAAGTATAAGAATTCTACGATACCATACTGGGCACGTATTTTATGTGATGAAAATAGTGTCAGGCAAGAACTAACTAACCTTTTTTCATCTAGCAAATAAACAATTTCCTCCATCCATCCATCCTTATATACCTTCAAGTTTTACTTTATTATTTCTATGATATTTATGGTCCTGTTGCTTCTTGGTTTGTTTTACTCTCATAAATGCAAACACCAACTTATCTCTATGACGGCTGTACTCTTTGTTTCTCCCCTCACCACATCATGTAAAGAGAACATTATATTCAATAATTTTTAAACATGCTAGGCTTTCTATACCGTATCGACAATACTGTGAGAAACAAGCCCATAACAATTTTTCACTTGTATTATTGTTATTATTGTTACCTTAGCTGTTATCATTATTATTTTCATTGTATAGGCTGACATTACCCGCCCCTATTGTAAATGTAGAAAATTTTCTGTGTGATTAATTTTATTTATAATTTGAGGAAATTAGATGGAATATTGTGATTAGTGCTGAAAATTCCATTCTGTATCACAAGTACTGTTTTTGGAATAAAGTAAATCATCACAATTATTATTATTATTATTATGTGAAGATAACTCACCTCATCAAGACGTAATGCTTGCAGCATATGTACATCTTTTAAAAATCTTGCAATTGGTAATACATTACTTCCCGTGTATAACAATACAAAATAAAATATTCCAGTTAAATACAACCTTGGTAGACTAGGATTTTGATCCATAACAACGTGAAGTAAAGAGACAACACGTTCAACCAGTGGAGGATCGAATGTCAGCAGTAACTAAACACACAGAGAAAAAGGCACAAATATATATGAAAGAGAAATTAAGACGGATTAAAATTGTTTGAACTTCACAGCTAATGTGTGCATGTGTGCAGGACGGTGTCGTCATAGAAAGTTATTCTTGACTTAAATCCACTAATGAATAATGATGTCACTGTCACAAAATCGAAGACTTACAAGCGAAAACCAACTGATGAACTGGTCGAGGAAGCAGCCGACGAAGACAGGACTCCATGGGAACATAGACAATACGGAGGTGATGAAAATAACCAACCAACCAACAACAACAGCAGAAACATCCAGCGCCAATCACCATCAACAGGAGGGATTCGAAAGAGTTTACTTCATTCACCTACCTAGGGAGCATTGTCTCAACTACAGGCAGTCGGAACGGATGAGGATGTCAAATCCAGAGAGAATCGGGAAGGCGAGAAACACATTCACTCATCAACCTGGAACCAATCTGGAAATCTTCGTCACTCAGCCAGCATCAACAACAAAATTCGGAAGGATTTTCAATACAAACATCAAGTCAGTCAGTTCTTCTATACGGATCAGAAACTTGGCGGCGGGTCACAAAGAATATTTCCAATAGCCTGTTGCACACCTTTATCAACAACTGTACTGTCTTCCCTGGATCTATACTGAAGATCAGATGGCCGAGCGGGAAAGAATCACCAACAAGAAACTATGAGAAGTCGGCGGCCTGCTTGAACATAGGGCTACCAAAAATTCCACCTTACAACATTTTGCAAAATTGCTTTGGTTTGCTCTTTTAATTTTGTTTTAATTTATCAATAATGTGTCCTAATCGTATTATATATAATCGCGCATTTTTAAAATCATTACAACCTACCGCGTTGTGTCATCCACAAAAATTGAGAAAAAAGCATAACTGTGGCTGGCAGCGTGCACTGAAACGTACACAAATTAATCAAATGACTGTTCCTGAACTCGTTAGCACTAATTGTAGATCCCTGTCCAACAAAATGGATTACCTTCAATCCCTAATGTATTCCAATGTGTATCGAAATGCTGGCGTTTTAGCAATACAAGAGACTTGGCTGCACCAGCATTATGATGATAATCTAATTTCAATAAATGGATATAAAGTTTTTCGCCAAGATAGAAATAGTTCCAAGAAAAAATATGGAGGAGGGGTAGCCACATATATAAACACAAATTGGTCTACATCAAATCACGTTTGTTTCAATTATTCTAATGACAGTATAGATTGCATAACCGTCAGGTGTCGCCCAAAACACTTAAGTAAATATTCTTATATATACATAACAAATATTTACATAACACCCGATTGTAGCCTTTCTAATATAGTTATGTTTGCAGATGAGTTTACTGAATTCGCTGCTCCTGCATTCGGAAACTCGTTGTCTGTAGTCTCTGGTGATTTTAATTTATGTGATCACAGCTTTCTTACTTCGCTTGGTCATGAGAATCTAGTCAAGTTTAATACACGTCTGGACAAATCACTAGACCTGGTTTTCATAAATGACCGTGATGTATATGAAACCCGAAGGAGAGCTCCTTTGCTAAATTCTGACCACTGCATTATTCGTATTTTACCGAAAGTGTACAGCAAGTCACAACGAAAATTGTTTAGTCATTTAACAAAGAAGATACATGAACGTTCATATTCCCATGACAACATTCTAGCATTAAGAAGCATGTTGCATGATACCAACTGGGAACTGTTTACTGACGATAAGCTGGATGCTACTGTCTCTAATATAACCGATTATCTGAAGTTTTGTTTGGATATTTGCTGTCCTTATGAAACACTGTTTTCGAGATTTGACAGAATCTCTTCTTTGCAACTGAAAAAACTTAGAAGACAAAAAGAGAAGTTGTATAAGAATTGTGATAATACTGGTGTCCGTAAAATAAACACCCTTATAAAAATTGAAATAGAAATGTTGAACAGACTATATAATGAAAAATTTTTATCATGTAAAAATCCTTCAAACATTTGGAAACTTTTCAATAAACTAACAAGTAAAAAACAAATGTCCGTTGATGCTTATTCTGATGTAAATGTTTTAAACAAATCATTTATCAAGAAACAAATTAATGTGGTTGTACCTGATGTACCTAGTCAAGAAAATGGTCATTTTCAGGGTTTTGAAGAAAAGGATGTACTATTATGTTTGAAGTCATTAAATCCAACACACAGCCTTGGTCCAGATGGTGTACCAAGCATTCTTCTCCAAAAGTGTGCAGACATCTTGTGTCATCCACTTACTCAAATCTTTAACGCATCATTTAAGAGGGAAACGGTGTGGTGAGAGCAAGCTGCTAGCCGATTGGTTGACACTAATCTACGTTAATGTCTAGGTCACTAATATGGGCCGTGAGAAAATATGAACAAGGCTGTTTCAACAACCAATCACAGCAAACTTAAATGTGGACAAATATGATTCGCAGATAGATGGCTCTACTTTCCGAGAAATATCGAAAACAACCAATCATAAGACTGTGTTTGTCTGCTTAACTTCCGAGAAACAACCAATCAGAAGACTGCCTTTTTCTGCTTGCATAAGCCTTATTAATGCATATAAAATATATATAAATACGTGTTGATTTTCGTAATAAAACGATCTGTTGCCAGCCCTTGTCTTCTGTTGTTACATTTGGTGTCGCTGCCTCCAAAAAGATGAAGATCCCGTGGCCAGCTGCGTTTGAAGAAGGAGACATACGGAGCTTCTTACGTGACTTCGAGGCCGTTGCTGAGCTGGTGGGTGTCAAGGAGCAGGCGGCGAAGGCAGTTGTCCTGGGGACGCTGTTGAGAGGCCGAGCGAAGGCTGCATATGACAGCGTAGACAGGTCAAATGGCACAGCGTCTTGGAAGAAATTGGTTGAACGACTAGTGTCCGAGTTTGACAGCGAAACAGACAGACAGCTAGCAATGCAGCAGTTCCGGTCAATGAAGCTTGGACCTGATGGAGACCCGCTAGTGTTGGCGGTGAAACTGACTAATCTACTTCGACGCGCGCTTCCCACTTTAGATGAAGAATCAGAAGCGCAGTTACTGTCTTCCCAATTCATCGAGAGTGTCCCAGACCACATTTCTCAGCGATTACAACTGGTTAACGCAACGCAGCCGATGGATATTAGTGAGCTGGCGAAGGTGACCAGACAGCTGCTGAGCACAACGGTAGCCGCTATAGACCAACCAAAACCAAACGAATATGAGCAGAAAATTGAAGCATTGCAGCGGGAAGTGGCGGCGTTAAAGTTGGCTGATAGAAAAGACCGGTGTTTTGAATGCGGTAAGCCGGGACACTGGAGAAGATACTGCCCAGAAAGGCGAAAAAGAAAAAATTTCAGACGGTATAATGCTTGTTCTTTCTTTCGTATGAACCTAGATTTAGTGGGGGCTATTGAGAAAGGGGCTCTGTATTCGAAGTTGCGAGTGAATGATCGAGAAGTAGTATGTTTGATAGATACAGGGGCGGCCGTGTCGTTAATAGATAAGAATTTATGTAAGAGTGTTAGCCCGTGTTCATTGACAGTACAAACAGTAGGCGGGTATGTGTTGCGTATCACGGGTAGATCGAACTGTACGGTCGTTGTTGGTGGCTGCGAGGTGACGTTTCCTTTCATTGTTGTACCCGAACTACAGCGAACGATATTAGGAGCGGATTTTCTGCGTGAGATTGGTGCAATAATCGACACGCAAGCGAACGTGGTGATCACGAAATACGGGCATATCAACATGTATGAGACCAGCGAGATAGCAGCGATTAAGCTGTCGACGGTACACAATGTGACAGAGTTAATTAATAAATACGATCATCTGTTCACTGGAGATGGCGACCCATACGGTTATTGCGATAAGGTGAATCATGAAATTCCGTTAAGTGATCCGAAAGTAAGGTCATTTTTAACGCGAAGAGTTCCATGTCATCTGGAAGGCGAAGTGGAGCGACAAGTGCAAGAGATGTTAAAAGATGATATTATTGAGGAAGCTGATAGCCCGTACAACTCTCCAGTGCTGTTAGTAAAAAAAGCGAATGGGAAGTATAGATTCTGTGTTGATTTTCGACAGTTAAACAGTATGACAGAGTTAAGACCGTGTGCCATGCCAACAGTGGTAGAAACTTTAGATCGCCTACAAGGTGCGAATGTGTTTTCGGTTCTCGATCTTCGCTCAGGATACTGGCAGATACCGATAAAACAAGGTGATAGAGATAAGACGGCTTTCATCGTGGGTCAGACACAATATCGATTTAAACGCATGCCGTTTGGACTAGCAGGTGCACCGTTTACGTTCAGACGACTGATGAAGCTATTACTTAGGAACTTGAAAAACGTGGAGGTTTATGGTGATGATCTCGTCATATACAGTCAAAACGAAAACGATCACGTCAACCATGTAGAAGCCGTGCTGCGACGCATCGAAGAGTTTGGACTACGCGTCAACAAAACCAAGTCTCAGATAGCCAAAAAGAATGTTACTCTGTTGGGACATAAAGTGGGAAATGGTGAGATTAAACCACTGCCGGAGAAAATTTTGACGATTAAAACGATTCCAGCCCCGAATTCAAAGAGAAAACTGAGACAATTCTTGGGTAGAGCAGCGTTTTATAGTCGCTTCGTGAAGAACTTCAATGAGATAGCAGCCCCTCTATACAGGCTACTAGGTGAGCCAAAGTTTGTTTGGTCGGAAGAATCGCAGAGGACATTCGACAGAATTAAACAGCTGCTCGACCACCAACAAATGACGCTAAAACTACCTGTGCCAGGAAGACAGTTCACAGTGTGCACAGATGCCAGTGACTACGCTATAGGTGCGGTCCTAAGACAGGACGAGGGAATCGTTGAGTATGCCAGTAGGGTTTTGACCCTCACAGAGAGAAAGTATTCAACGATAGAGAAAGAATGTTTAGCAATGGTATGGGCAGTCGACAAATGGAGACCTTATTTACTCGGCCGGCGGTTCCACATCGAAACTGATCATAAGCCGCTACAATTTTTGA